CCCGGGAATTGCATCTGCACGAGAGTGCGGCCAAATCTCTTGCATAATGTCTGAGTCTGCGGGGCGTCGGAGTGGAATGGCGCTGGCGTGGAGGAAACTGTGGAAGGGACCAGACTGAATTAATGGCTACGATGTCGACAATATAGTGTTGAATTTGTTGCCAGAAGCTCGAAAGCTCGATAGTCGAGAGACATGTGGGAGTCAAGTTTAAAGTACATCTCAATAATTGCTCTCTCCAAGTGTGGTTTTAAAGGGGGTGGATTTTCATTTCAGCAACTCTGCACAGCTTCGCACTTTCGCCCTCATCATCACGATATTCCGTGCGATGGGACAATTTGAGGGAGAGAGAGAGAGGAAAATATTATCAAAACTTCATGGGGATGATTCTCTTCCCCCTATAAATTTTCAGCAAAATAATTGAGAGAATGTTCGACGAAATGTCTTCATGAGCTATTAAGTAATTGAACGACACACTTTCAATTTCATCATTTTGCTCCATTACGCGAAAACTGTCTAGACATTCGTCTTGGGCGTTCTGAAAAATTTCTCCCCACAGATAAGATTTCCATTGGGATTTTTCCGCTTCTCATCTGCACTCATTAATGCAAGAAGTGTTGAACTTTTAATGTGCCATTTGTCATCACCATTGAACGCGGAGCACATTTTTTCTGCCCCTCTTATGCAAAGACGCCACGGGTTTAAGGGAGAATACATTTTGCACGACGTTCCGCAACATTCCATTAATCTCAAAATAATTTATAGCATTTTTCACTTTGAGGGAAAGTGGAAGGAAAACATGAATAATTTATTATATCGATGTTTTCCATCCGTCGTCTTTTGTAACCAGGAAAAAATAGAGGACATCGAGTCGAGATTGATAAAACAAAATCTACCCGAAATTGCCATATTTTTCATTTACTGGCGAAAGAGAAATCTGATGCATACAGATTGTTGCCCGCCATCCGGCATCGGGTTGATCCTAATGGAATTTGCTCGCTGTGCTGCACTGCGGGAAAATTGCAAGAGCAGTCACGATGCTGAGCAAATGTACATTTTCCCAATTTCTGTGCTGTTCTGTGTATGAAGAATTTCCTGCGAACTTGTGCATTTTTCTCTTGCCAGCAGGATTCTTGCTTGCCATACAAATGCTTTCTTAATCTGCAGATTACACTTTCGGTGAGATGTTGTGTGGAAATTGTTAGTGATTCCTAAATGTGCTCATGCGAGAGGAAATGGAAGTTTTCGAGGAAGCTCTCGAAGTGTGAGTGAAATGTTTGTGGTGAAACGAAAATGCCAATTGCACACTCTTTTTCCAAAGCTCTCTTCCAAATTGCCTCCCAAGTTTAGTCGCTCCTTTGAACGTGATAATCAGATAGAAGTCTAGATTTAATGTAGAATCAAATATTTCTATTTTAATTATAACTTTCACAGAAGCCTTGGTAAATACCTAAAACTCTCCTTGTTGAAAGACAGCGAGCGTCTCTTAATCTGCACGAAATCTCACCACGAGCAATTCAACTTGAGAGCTGTCTCTGTTTGGTCTGGTAATTAGAATACTCGGTGAATCAATTAGGAGTGACAAAAGACGGCATATTAATTTATTATTCATCCCCATTTTGAAGTCATAATCTTCGCCTCTGCTTAAATTCACCATTTGAATTAGAATGCAGCGCAGACTTGAGATTAATCTCCTCGGCGGGACTCTCAATCTTCACGTTCGCGTGAAAATTTCCACAAACATTTTCCCATAGCATTTTCCCGAGAGGAGAAAACGAAGCGATTAAACTGTTTCTGGATGATTCTCCTGTATCGCCATAAAAGTTCTGCCACACCACAAAAAAAACCCTCCCCAGAACGGCGGCTGGAGTTAATGAACTGTGCTATGTTAAAGTTCAACTTGAATTCAGCGGTGAATCTGAGGGTTTCACGCAAAGTGAGCCAAAGTGTCGATTCTACTGAGCACTTTGCATTGTTCTGCAGCATCAACATGTCTCATTGTGAGACTCGTGAAAACCTCTTTCATCACTCAACAATCAATCTCGAGGGAGTGACAATGGGAAATTTGTAATTTTGCACCTTTTCACTCACACCTCGCGGCATTTTCCTTTTCAATTTCCCGAGACATCTATTCTTATTCATACACTTCTCTCTGCGCCACACTTCCAACTCAGCAACTCTGCATCACGGCACAGAAAGGGGGAAAAGCTCGAGAAAGTGAGCGAAAGGAGAGGAAAAAGCTGGAGCCAATGTACTTTCTCGCAAGCGGTGCTTTCAAAAGGGAGACCCGGAAACCCCATGAGATAAATCATTCCCATTCAATTCTCAACATCTCTTTGATGGCACATCAATGATTGTTTTCCCCGAGACATCCGAATGGATGCATGATTTAGCTGAGAATATTGATTCCCACATCGAATGTTCGAATGATGATGTGAGATTTGCTTGGGAAATATGCGTTAAAAATTTCCTTTTCCATAACGCGAAAATCATCCTCGATTTTTGGGGAATAATGGGGGAAAGGCTCCCAAAGGAATCAAAGGAGACGAAATCTCGCTGTGTCGCCGACAAAAGCAATTTGGCATAAAATTTGGATGTTATTGAAAGCAGTTGGGAAGATGAGGAAAAAAAAATTCACCAATGCTTTGCTGGTGAATTTCCCTATATTTTGTCAATGAAAAGAGACTCTTGAATCTCTGAAATCAAAGAGATGAAGAGTGCGGGTCGCATGAGATTCAAATTACATTTGGGGAGGAGATGTAAAACTGGAAGAGCATCTTTTGCACAAAATTGATGAGATCCTTTGAGGAGTGACCAAAGTTTGCCAAAGACGATTTGATGGGGAAATTAATATCACCGACAAGAGCCCAGAAAAGTACTGTGTATAAATTAAAATTTAATTTGATCATCAATCTTTGGGTAAAAAGAAATTAAAAGGGATCGAAAGTTTGACTGGAAACTTCAGGGATGGTTTTTCGAGCACTGCTAGAGAAAATTTCGTTCATTACAGAATTGGTGAACAATTTATTTGAGTGTATATGCTTATTAAGTTAATAAATGTTGTTTGTCGCATTGATGACCCAAATGAGTGTCAAGGAGAAAAAGTTAAATCGTTTTTTAATGATTAATTAGATTTGGTCGTCTGTGATTTAGTTTATGCGGTTTCTAAACACAACTTTTAGTGTATCTTTGATATTTCGCCTAATAATGCTTGTTCGGAAAATCTGTGGTTTATTCTTGATTTTGCTTTTCTTCACGAGTTACGATGGAAAGTTGTTTGAAGGTGTTTGTCCAGAGTGGAATGAAGAATCTGATGAAATATGGATTATTGCGGAATTCACGCCAATCCTCCTAATGGAAGGTCTTCCGTCGAGAAATCACATCTTTCGCCACTTCTTCGACCATCAATTGGATTGCTGGACATTCATTCCTGAGACGAGAAACATGTCCAACGGACAAATTAGTATCGTAAGACAGAAGGATAGATTTGAAAAGGATGAGAGATCGTGTAGTGAATTTTATACACTAATGGATCGTTTCAACATTCAATTCGAAGCTCCGGATTTGAAGTTCTTCGCGGACTACAAGAAAGTCTATCAGTTTGCTCTGCCGCGAGATTGCACACCGAGTGCGACATGGAAATCACCGATGAGAGGCAGATTCAGGAAAACCACCCACGGAATCGAAGGATGGGATCAGTGGGTGATGCTCTGGGGCTGCGAAGAAATGCCCAATGGAATGCACGATCTCGGCATTCTCGTTGGATATGTGAATGACAAACTGCGCAATATTACCTACGCTATGTACAAAAGAGGAGAGATACTGCGAAAAGCTCTCGAGTACGTCCAAGAGTTGCCTTTCGCGGTGAATTTCACCCTGGAAGACTTCCAGCAAGCTCAATTCCACTATGGCATATCCTGTGACATATGCGAGGAGTTCAAATGTGTGTAAAAACATGCAAAAGCATGGTAAATATACGTATAAATTGTGAGTGAAGGTAATTCATTTTATTTCCCCTGATATCAATTGCATTTTTACTGTATTTAATTTACGAAATTGTGAGGGTGTTCTTCGCATGGTCGTGACAAAACGCTTTTATGGCCATGTAACAATGGTGGATAAAAACTCAAGTGCAGCTGGAAGATTATGGGTATCTTTACGAGATGGAGATAAATTTCTTGGATTGAAATAATCGTAAATGCCGCCGCTGACTCCACTTAACGCTGGTGCTTCAAAACAATAACTAATAAATGGCGAGAGAGTCATAAAAAGCCACCTCTACTGGAGGACGTCGTCCAGGAATCTCACGTGGCCCGCCATCCTCAATTTTCAGCCATCATTTCATGTATGATTTATGCATCATGAATACCGAATGACTCGCCATTTGAATAATTTCCTCGTCATTTTCCCGATGGAAGGGACCATAAGGATATTGACTTGTGAGCACACACACACACACGAGTCAGACTCGGTGCTCAAATCAAATGGGTGGGAGAGATTGAATCATTGAATGAGGGATTTGAAAGTTTCAAGGAGGAAAGTTGATATTGAATGGAAATCATGTCAATTGCATTGGCAGAAAAAAATACCGCAATAAATCCCGTGGAAAAAGAAAAGCTTCTCTCTCTCACTCTTCACGTGAATATCAACTGAAAATAGCATCAGCAATTTCCTGCTTGTGACAATCCATCCTCGATTGGGAGACCACGACGTGACTTTGTGAAATCAACCAGAGATTTTCCACCGTGATTCGCATGGATTTCTGCAGTGACTTATTAATTATAGCTTCGGGAAATGATATTTCTGGCTATGGAGCCAAAATCACAATAAAGCCTCTTCATCATGCACTGTGCGGCTCAGGCTCTTCTGGTGGCGTTGTCCGAGCAGTACGTCATCCACTTGTCGCTATATTAATTGGCAAAGAAAGAGCCACTGAGTTGGAATTATAAATAAATTTTCTGTGTCTCCACCGTGGAAATTTTCTCTCAATCGTTGCTCCATCATCCGCGTGTGAAGTCGAGCATCCTCGGTATTTTGAGTTTGATTTTATGTGAATTTCTGCTTCAAAGCACTGAATAAGGGAATTTTCAGTTAATTGTGATTAAAGAGTGCTGTGAAAATGACGGAAAAATTACAATTTCTCATGAAACTCAACGATTTTGCCACGCAATTCTATCGAGTGAGTGTTCTTTGTACACAAAAAGCCTTTGTGCCAGCGAGCAATCCTTTGTTCATAAATACTGAATCAGTCACATTTCTCCGTCGCAAAGAGATTAGATGATAAATTTTGAATATTGCAGATTTATGCCAGTGGCAAGACAACTGAGAACGTCGCCGTTGCACCATTCTTCCTGCAGAATCTCCTCACAGCCACGTTGATTGGCGTGAGAGGAAAGACAGCCGAAGAGCTGGCAGTCGCCCTGATGTACAACGGCCACAATCTCTCCTCCATCCTGACCACCTTTCGCACCCTCAACTCCAACTATCGCGACACAGAATCGATTTCCGTGGCCAGCAAGATGTTGCTGAGAGAGCCCTCGAAGATGGACGAGCAGTTTCCCAGCGACGCCAGGAGCAATTTCGATGTCAGCATGCAAAGCTTCAGCACTCGCGAGAAGAATTTCACAACTGTGGACTCGGTGAATAAGTGGGTGGCGGAGAAGACGCGCCAAAATGTGACTGAGTGTCTGAAACGTGGTCAGGATTTTGATGCCGCGAGTGACAGTGTCGTCCTGGTGAATGCCGCCCACTTTGGGGCGCTGTGGGAGCGCAAGTTTCAGAAGCAGCCTAACAAGGCGCCCTTCTGGACTGACGAGCGCCGCTCCAAGCCGACGGACTTCATGCTGCTCACAGCCAAGCTGCGCTTCTCCGTCTGCGCCGAGATCTCAGCCAAGATCCTAGAGCTGGATTTCGCGGAGGACGACTTCGCGTTGGTGATCCTGCTGCCGGATCAGAGGATGGGACTGGGACGCGTGATTGAGCAGCTCCCCAGCGTCAATCTCATGTACGCCGTGGCGCAGCTGCGACGCCAGGACGTGACGGTGCGGATGCCGCGCTTCAAAATAGACCACGGCTCGCGGATGCGCGTGCCACTCGAGCAGATGGGCGTTCATGACCTATTCTCAGGCCAAACAGCTGATCTCTCCGGCATCGCGTGTGACGAGCCGTTCTGCGTCTCTGAGATCATCCATCGCGCCAGCATCGCGATCAGCGAAGACGGCGAAGACGGCGACTCTGCCAGTTCCTCGTCGGCCGTTCAGGAGTTCACAGCCGATCATCCCTTCCTGTTTTTCGTCAAGCACAAGTGCAATGTGGTCTTCATAGGTCACGTGGTGGATCCTAATCAGTAGATTATGGGCAGTTTGGAAAGTGAAGAAGCTGCCAAAGATAAAAATAACAGAGAGAATAAAGATATATCTCGCCACATAATAAGCTGTGACACTGAGAGGAAAATCATATTCTCGCACTCAAGAAATATTACGGGTTACTCAAATTACTTGGATTCTTGCCAACATTTTTCCTAAAATGAAAGTCTAATTTATGGATGTGTCAAAAAGCTTTGGAACCCCTTTTCGGCTTACCAGCAAAAATTATACTGTTTGACTAATAAAAAGGATTAACATAAGAAGTCATACTAAATAGCCAGAGAAATCATGATTTTAAGAGATAAGAAGATTTAATTTGTTTCATACCTTCAAACCAAAGAATCATCCTTTGCGTGTCGTTTTAATACAAGTCATTTTCTATTGCTTCGTCGCTGCACTGATGGTGATTCAAATCTTGAAAGCACAGACAAAATAAATAGAACTATTTCCATCTAAGATTGTTCGTTCAGAACCTTGTCAGTCTTAAGGATTAAATCATATTCAATATAACATCATTTTGTGTAGTAAAAAAAAAATCCGGGGAATCCTCACGAAGTCCTCTTTCTCCGTTTTCAGCATTCTTTCTGCATGTCTGAGCGTGGCAAGAGGAGCGCTGTCTGTGGAATTTCCACCTCCAATAGTGCTCTCTGGGGTTTGAGAGTGATTGTGTTGTATTGCAATTTCAAAGATGCTCCACATCTGTGAGATTTTCCAGAGATTTTCCCATTCTGAACATGCGTTGGGATTGAAAAGTGATATCAAGAGGGTACGACAAATTGTTCTCAGCACTGTGCTTCCCTCTCATGAGCTGTTGGTTGAACACAAAAACCTCCGTCGAGAACAAGACAGCCCATATTGCAGAGCGGAAGACGCTGTAGATGATGGATTTTCACCGAGGGAAAATCGCTTTTAATCTCCATTGAATCTGTATTAAGCGACATCGTTTATCTTCCATCTCTGGGTTGGATTTGAGGACATAAAATAATGCTCTGTCGTGGAGCTTGAATAAATTCTCGAACAGATTAATATTGCGAAAGCTGGGGGTGAAAGCAAGTGTTTTAATAAGCTTTCATTTTTCTCTGAGGACACATTCATTGTTATGTATTTTTCTCCCCTCATTCGCTCCAAGTGAGGAAAAATGGAAGATGACTGAGATGGAAAATGTAAGCTTTCAGCATGGGTGGTCGCTTCCACCACTCATCCCTCCACAGGAATTCCCTCTCTCTCGGATGCCAGATGGAGAGCCCAGAGTTCAAAGGAATCTTCCAATGGTACATTTGGCATAAGTAATCATTTGTAACGTCCACAGACGAGCGCTTTCTCCTCTGTGCTCAGGCGAACCCCAAGTGGAACTTTCGTCACATTCTTGGCCATAAAGTGAATTTAAACCTTTTCTGAGTTAATGAACCACAAAGTTAATTACAATTTTGCTAGCAGCAGCTTATCTTGTAAACTGGGATATTCATTGGGAGGGATCCTGCAATCTCTCCCCCGCTGCGAGGGGGAGGCGATTAATTAATGCGAAATTCCACGCAGAGAATGGTTCTTTTTTCCCACCTCAGCTGTGTGTTATTCAACACCTGGCCAATAATCTCAAGTGTCATAAGATTCTCATTGACTTCTGGCTATAAAAAAACACACTTCAATTAGAATTACAGCTCCTGTCGGTGAAAGAATCTGAACGCGTAGCAGCAGAAAACGGACGATTTCCCACTTCAGAGGCGGGAAATTAATTTGTCATCCCTTTTCATCCTTCTCAATTGACATAACAATTATGGAATTAAATTATAAATGACACGAAATTAATTAGACTTCTCGCTAAGACGAGCACAACAGTTCTTCCCTTTTCTCCCCACCCTTTGAATTTGCTCACAACAAAAGAAAGGCACATAATTCTCGCTTTGCTGGGCGATTAGAGAGTGAGATATGAATATTGCCAGTGACTTAATCGTCATATGGATCAAAATTACGAATTCAATTTCTCCTTGAAGCAATAATCGCTGAGCAGATGAGCTCATCAATTTTCACCAGTGCTCTACACTCCTGCAATAATCCTCCATTATGGGGATGTGTGAGATTGCATAAATTTTCCACCCTGTTGGGATGGTCCGCAGATGAACCTCAGATGTTGCGAGTGGGAATTCGAATGAAGTGCGGTGTTTTCCCATGAGTAAAAACGTGCAAGAAATTGCTTCTTTTTTGCACCGGCAACGATTGTCTGCCTTGTGTGTGGTGTGTTAAAGTTCGAAGGCGCTCTTTTTCGGAAACATGATGAGTCATGGGAGAAATAAAGGAAGCGGCGTTCGATCAAAAACAATCCATTTTATGCACAAAAGCCGTGACCCATGGCGTGAAAATGGTGAGGAAAAGCGCCCCAAGAGTATCGATTTCCGGCCACGAGGATTAGTCTCTGGGGGTGGAAATGTGTATTCGGGGGGTATTTAAATTCATAATTCAGGGTGGAAATTTATGGGGCAAGAGAAAACACGTTGAGCCTCGAGAGGCATTTTCTTCTCTCTCCGTCAGTATAAACAGCGATACAGACGAGATTGTTAATGCTGGAAAATGTGTTGCAAGAGAGCGAGTCACATAAAAGTGCCGGCTTTCCAATATTCTCGCTTTTTATGACTCCTCATACACGTGTCACGATATTTTCCTTCTGGCTGAGGAACACTGTTAGAAGAGTCATTTCTCAGAAGCCAGAGTCTATCTAATAAATTCACTCCATGGGATTCTATCATGCTGTGAAATGTTAAAAAAATAAAGTCAGAAACTCATTCGAAGATGAATCCTCATCAAATTATCAATACTTCTTTTTACAATGATTCTCCCTTTACTAGCAGTGTTGCCGAGAGAATTTTCTGCGTACTTCTGAGATGCTCCGGGAAAAGTTTTTTCCCTCCCACACACTCGCTCAACTAATGATGTTCAATTGTGAGGAAGAAAGAACAGAAGAAGCCACTCATTTCGATAAGTTGTCTCTCTTGTGGCTCTGCCATTCTTCTTTTCTTTTGGGGTGGGAGAGGAAAAATTTCATTATCTCAGATCGAATTATGATGACAAAATATTGTGGGCGAAGAACCTCCAGATTATTGATTTTTTCATGCACTATCGTGAGTGGAGTGCGCGCTTTTGTAACGACCGAAGAAAAACATCAACTCAATTATGTTTAGTTCTCGAGAACATGCTTCAAGAGCCATAATTTCCTCGTCATTGAATTAAATTTTTCAGCGCGTGGGGATGAGAATTTGGCACTGTCGCGCAGTGTTTTGGCGCCCGTGCAAATGTTCTTCATGTTTAATGAGAAGTTCCATGGAAATCCCACCCGTGGAGAGATGTTTCAGGAGCGCACTCTCTTAATTTCACCCATTTTGCATGTGTCTCCGCAGAGATCCGACGCGCGGAAACGGCGATAAGAATAATCTCGCTGTCTGCAGATGTAAAAATATAATTCATATGTCCTGAGAATTTAATTTACGACACCCTGCGATTAAGTTGAATACACGGAGAGAACGAGCAAGCAAACGGCAGCAAATTGAGTGGAGAAAAGGGCCAGAGATTGATGCAAGTCGTTAGGAAATACCCAGAGTCAGAGTGAGTTTTCTTCTTTCCTCTGGTGCACCACACAACATTTGTCACGAAATGCAACGCGCCGGGGTGAAATTGCAACACAGAAGCATCATTAAATCTGTCTAGTCGAGTAAACAGAGCGCCCCAGAATGAGGATGTGAGTAATTGAAAATGCCATGGCAAAAAAGGGTTGCGAGTCGAAGGGAAAATGTGTGGCGTATTGGCAAGTCACTCTCTGTTAACTTTTCAATTATCTCAACAGGTGTGGGCAAAGCGCTCTTCAGTGCCCTTCAGAAGGGGTTCTCAATTGAATTTTAACTTGGAAAATGGCTCATTTCAAGGCGAGAGTGTGAAGTCGTTGTCCTATAAGAAGGTTGTACATAAAGTTAATGTGTGCATGATTTATCCCGTTCAGTTTTTAAGGCAAATTAAAACGGTGTATTTTGACTAGACACAAGAGTGTAAAAGATCTCATGCAGTAAATCTGATCAGGAGAACTCAAGTGTTAGCTTAGGACATTTCTAAAATGCCTTATTATGCGTCATTGACGTCAATCCTTAAGAAAGGCATTTGTCAACAAAGCCAAATTAGGTCACAAGCATCGAAAAATGTTCACCTCTTCAAGATGAACTCTAATGCACATATTTTGTTAGATAGAGTGCATTTGGTGTCGCTTAACCTCGCATCATTTTTCCACTTCACCCCAATGAATTCCATGACACAAATTCAGTGTGTGTGTGGAAGAACAAGATCAAATTGTAACTTGTGGAAGGATGAAGCTGTACAAGTGGCTATTGTTGGGTTGAAATTGAAAGAGAAGGAGCGGAAAATTCCATCAAAATCCATTTTTCCATCAAACGCCAGCTGCTTCACGGTGGGGGGATGTTTTTGTTTCCCCCCAGCGTCACTTCTGCACCTTCTTTTTTGGGGTCACACCAAGAACCATGTAATTGAGTCGGTAATTGAAGAATTGGCGTCAAGCGAGAGGAACGAAATGGGTCACGTCCTGGAAATTATCAGCCAACGTGTCGTGTATTTACTCAGGAGACAATTTCACTGTTCGAAACCACCAGGAGGAGAGGGTTCGGGCGATGAAAGGTGAGGGATTTGGGCATCAGTGGGAGAGTTAATAATTTGCACAAAAAGGATGCAATAGCCAACATCTGCGCTGTGTTGGTGAGGGAATTTATTTGTCTGCAAAATGAACCCGTCGCCGTGCAGGAATTGAATGAAAATTCTGCATGAATAGTCGTAAAGTGTTGCAAGTTATGTGAGAGATCGTAAAATTCACAGCAAATATTGTCTTGGGTGGAAAAGGCATCTCGCAGACGGAAAATATTTACTCTCCTCCCGAGTTGTGATTACAATATAAGAAAAATATATATCCTGAAAAATGCTACAATGCACTCGATGCGACTGCTGGAAGGAATACCTCAAAGCGTAATTGAGAGCTTTCGCTTTCATGGCTTCATATGAGAAATAATTAATTTTCTCCTGGGAATTTTTGGCTCCTAAAATGTTTATGGTCTGTCCATTTTCACTGTGCGCGGGACACAATTTCTGCTATTGGGGGCGATTAAATTGCTTCTCTTCTTGGGACGACAAAAATGCTTGTGTGCAACAGATGATGGTTGGGTCGCACATTAATAACTCAAAGCGTTTTGTGTGCTGCAAGAAAAATGCCAGTGGATTCTTCTTAAGTAATTGTTTGCCATTCATCGGAGTGAAAGACTCTCTAATTCACCATAAATCTCTGGCGAGGGTGGTAACTTTTTTCATTAATCCATTTATCTATTTGCCTTCTTGGGGAGTTTCTTTCGCCACGGCTGCTCTTTGTCTCACTCATGCACCCATTATGAAGGCATGAAATCCATCTGAGCGCCAAGACAGAACTTGCAGTTAAATTTGATATATTAAGCAAAGGAGATATCTCTCTCGCACTGCGACAGATTTACAGCAGTTTTATTGAGCTATTGCTATCGACACATCATCCAAATTGCGCAATTTACGATATCCAAGCAAACTTGGGCTAATTTCACTCCCGCCCAGCTTTCACTTTCTCACGGCACTTTCCTTTGTCCCGCAACTTTGCGACTCCATTAATAATTCTTCCCAATCGTGCTCGAGAAAGCACTTAGCAAGGCGATATCCATCCTCGCATTTCCCTTCATTCTCATCATTTATTCCTGCTAAAATATCAACCCTTGTCTCTTCTTGCAAACTGTCTAATGAACAGACATTTCCACAGAACACTCACAAAATTCCCGTGCAATTTGCACTTCACAGTGCAACTCTGTGGCCCTCATTAGAGTCTCCAACTTTTCATAACGTCGCCACTTAAGCCACGATGTGGAAATAAAAATGCTGACTTTCTGCCACTTACAATAATAAAAATTAGTTGAGCAACTTTCGAGGATATCTTAATGAAGAATAAACACTGTGCTGAATATGCACTCGTTCCGCAATGAGGGACTCAAGAGGAAGTTTGCAGAGAAAGAGGCTGATTAGAGTCACTGGAGAAGATTCCACAATTGCAGTGCAGAGGAAAAGTTTGATTGTACGGGCTGAGCATTGAAAACATGAGTGAAAACGAGTGGTTTTCTTATAAATCACCATATAAAAATTCCTTTGGAAAATCTAATTCATTTCACCCTTTCCGAATGTCTGTGAAAAGAAACTCCAACAATTCACGCAATTTTGAGGCGCTGGAGTTGACGGTGTAAATAACAGGAAAACTTTAAGGATGTCCTGAAGACTTGCCCTCGTTTGGGCATGAAATGGTAAGAAATATCATCGGCAGCAAGACCGGCAGCATCATTAGAGTGAATGAGAATTGAATGCAATTTACACCTCGAGAGTTCTTCTTGCTCAGGCAAATGATTCCTTGCGGTGGAAGAAATTTTCATCTCGACGAGAGCACTTTTCCCAGCTCTCCGCACTCTTGTATGAATTCTTCATTGTACTCGAGTTGTTGGCACAAAATTCACACTTGCATGAGTTTTATTGTGTAGCTTCTCTTTCCCTCTTTCGGCTCTCAATATAGGAATAACTATTATAGCGTCTCTGGTGAAAGAACACTTTTTTTTCGTGGAAGAATGATAGAGTGCGGATCTCATTTGCATAGCCGCGCTTCTTGCTGGGATATGTAAATATTTTTACATGTGTGAATAGAGATTCTCTTTGTATTCCTTTGGATGAAAGTGTAAACAGTGCAATTAACATTTCATCTTAACCGCCATGAGGTCTTGAATTATCACATGATGATGGCATAAAAGGCGAAAAATACTCAATGGCAGAGAGCTTGCAAATCAGGGCTGAGTCTGCACGTTGGGATTATGCTTGCGTGAGATGGTGCAATATTGTGGGATTACATGGAGCTTTCAATTCACGCTCGGCGATTATGTTTCTGCTTCCCGAGAAGAACCCCTCGAGACTCCCACTTTCCCAGATGATTGTTACGCGCCTATGAATGCAGAATTGCATGTTTATTCGGGTGAAAATTCACCTCAGCCATGAAGAGCACTTTCAGCTCTCAAGCTCACCTCACTTAATGAGATTCAGCTTCGTACCTCCGATGAATAACTTACCAACCACGCTGCAAAATACACATGTTTACGGGCGTCACAAAGCCTGTCCTGCGAATTAAATTCCTGCCTCTTGTTTAGAAGACATCACGTGAAACACATCTCAAGCTAAGGAGATTCTTTTTGCAAGTCAATTAATAGAACAACAAGGACATTTTCCCATTCTAGGAATAATTTTTTTGCCCTAAATACAAGGTTGAAAGCAGAAATTGAGGCAGAAATGCTGAACAATATGCAAAACCCCTCAAGTGAAATATGAATTGATATTATTTTGAGAGACTGATATTATTGAATAGGAAAAGCAAAGTGTGTGGGACTTTCCTAGAATTCTGCCAAATATTCTAGCTCACATTCAAATTTGCTCAGGTTATATAGTAAACACTAGCAAGCTGAGTATTTACAAAAGAAATGAAAACTTTAAATGAAATCTAAACTCTGCATAATATATAATAATACATGTAATGCAAAAAGCTAATTAGAAACAGTATAATTCTATTTCTCAATGCCATGCTGAAGCACACAAAAACCTGTTAGATTTTCTTCTATTTGCTCCAATTGTGTACTTAAATCGGAGATGGTGAAATCAGATTTAAAAGATGTGCTGCAAAATTTATCGAACTGAAATGAAATTTCACATTCTTTGCAATCTCACAAGACTTGCGACAAGTGTTTTTGCTGTAAAACTATCCTTAAACAAGATTTTCTCTCCTACACTTCGTCATGCATAGCAGATTCCTGCCTGCAGCATCAGCAATAAAAGTATGAAAGATTCATTGAATTCTTGATTGTGCTCGTGAGATTCGCTCAGAATTTAAAATATGCTGCATCTATCACGAGTTGAAAATTAAAATGTCAGCAAATTGTATGCAAAATCATCCTTTTCTCCATAGTGTTCAATTGCGAAGGACGAGAAGAGCTTCCCAGCTCTTGTGAATTGTTGAGTCGTCCGAAGTTTTCGCGAGAAAGCGAGATGACTTTGGAAGAAATTTAACAATTTTATTGTCTCAGCCACGAGACTTTGTCGTACGTGGACAGAGTTCGCAAGAGCTCTTGAGGATGAGAACATCAGACAGTTAACTGATTTAGGGTGCATTCTTCCTTCGCTGATGGGTGGAATTTATTCAAAAAATCCACCCACGGCTGAGGAACAGTGCAAATGCTGCGCTGCTCGTCTGTCGGTTTTGATTTATGACCAAAATCGCATTTGGCGAAGCAATAATTCAATGGCGCAATATAATGAGTTGATGGACTTATTGGCGGTGTGTCTCTTTACTTGTCATTTGCATTCGAAGGAGCTTCAAAGAGAAGTTTCAGAATCAAAGAATTCTCTTCAGCGTCTTCAGTACATTCAAAGTTTGTGTTGTGGGGAAGGTTGTGTCGGAAAATTCGGAGGGAATCTGCGCAGTTCTCGCACTTCCATCCCCACCAAGTGCAAGATGTTCCGTGACTCCTCATGGTCTGTGGATGTTTTGCCACTGCCTCAGTTCCGTGATGCCGGTGAAACGTGCCAGACGAAAGTCACCAAGTGCGTGTCTCACGTGTGGCGGACGTGACGAGAGAATGTGAATAGCTCTGCATGGATTTTGATTGCACACGATGGCCATTCTTCACTCCTGCTGCCTCTGGAAGTCCGTGCGGAAGGGCAGCTACGCCAGTGTCATCTACACCCTGGTGAGCCTCTGTCTGTCCCCTTTGCGAATGATTCACAGCTCCGCCGCAATCCTCCGCCGGGTGTCCGTGCCGCCAACGTGCGACTCATCGCAATCCCTTTCGCGGCAAATAAACCAGCAATTGACCCGGATGAAATTAGCCACACCGCGAATTTCCCACATCATTTCACATTTCTGAATATGCATAAATCATGAGCCGTTCCGCGCCTCCTGCGATATACACGGCATTTCACAGAGTCAAGTGTCATTCGGAGGAGCGAATCAAAAATTCAATCAAATTTCAAGTATTTCTATGTGTACTTTTCATCATTTCTGACTATTTGTTTTGCTCTCGATTTGACGATGAGCAATGTGAGTATTTCGGGGAATTTTTCTTAACTGGTGACAGACTTTAGGAAGCCGGAAATTTTTCCCCATAAATGGAGATATATTTGCATAATTCGATGGGGTTCTTCTCATCTACACAAACACAGTCGGCAAGTGTTGTGGCATGGCTTTTGGCCAGCTCAATGACCAGAAGGAGGAAGCAATCGATATCAATTGTTAGGATTTCCATTCACAACACACTTTGAGCCACTTTGTATGTTTGCCCGGGAAATTTGATTGATTCACAGGCCAAATAAACACGACTGTAATTGAATGCAATTTCTTCCACTTTGCTGATTTTCCGCCTTTCCTTTGCCTTCCTGTTCCAATTCTTCACTTGCCCCGCCGACACACTGGGTCAGCTGCGACTCACGGACAAAATCGATAGCCACACACACTTTCCTACCACGGCCAGATGACTGGAAATAGTTTGATAGTTAGTCCATAAGTGATTTGCCAGGAAGCAATGAGTTCCTTGTTAAAAGCAAAGTTATGCAGACTTGAGGATATTTTATTGCCTTGCGGCGTGGATTTTATCACGTTGTCTTTCTCTCTCTCGTTGGTACCCCATGAATTATTTATCAAACTTACACAGAGTATATGGAATTTAGCTCTTCATTATAAATTTGATGGTATATTTCAAATTTGAATTTCATACTCTGCACCATTTTCTCGGCGACAGTCTCTCGTCTTCCCCTAATGAGATATTTTTCCGGGCTATTTTCCTCGTTTTCATCTTGTTATTGCGCTTTTCCTGGCAAATTTAGACTCACTTCCGCATTGAATTGAGGAAAACTCGGCTATGACGCAAGTTATTGATAAAAGCTCTGAACTTCACAGTCACTTTTGCCTCTTTGACACGAAATGATGCTGTGCTTTTGACAATCACGCATTTTGTGTTCGCACAACACCTGACGAATTCTCGTTTGAGTGACAAATTGCATTGTATATAAAATTCAATTATACAGGTTGATGAATTCGACAATGAAAGTTACACACAGAGAATTTCATCAATTTTTTAAAAAATATGAAATTTTTTGATGTAAGAAAACTTCTTTTAATTGTACTTTAATTATGTGAAAAGTTTGCAATATATTCTTGGCAAACTTCGTGAAATCAGTTTCACTATGTTTTCTCTGAGTGCAGAAGTCCTTGTTAATTTGGCCCAAAAATTAATTCATGGGGAAAATGTATGATGGGAAATTCCGCACTATAAAGTTTGAATGTCAATTTGACACCTGTTCAATCAGATGACTCAACATCGCATCACCAGACGCAGTTTGTGGTGCGGCATTTGATCCGGATTAATAGAATGTTCATGATTAATTGGGGCACGTTCAGGTGCTCTAGCTCGGAGGCACTTTGCTGATGCACTCTCTGCATTCAGAGTGCCTTCGTTAGTGCCATTAACACACCCTCGAGAATCCATCACTGTGACGTTCTCGCTGGCACTCGAGTTGTCGCCATGCTCAGAGATTGCCGTTCATCGAGGAATTTCTTCATTATCTACAAATCAACACTGAGAATTTCAACTCTGACTTCAAATGGGGATTCCTTGCATTTTCTGCGGTGAAGTGACAGAGTCAAAAACAAAAAGTGGGAGAGAAAAAAAGCCCTCGTGGGATGACAAGAGAGACACGACGGGAAAAAACGCATTTGCCTCATTGTTTGACATCAATCTCTTTCCCCCGTGGAGGCGCCAAAAACCACCCACGCCACCTCCCGCGGAGTTTTCGTGGAAAATTAAGAAAGTGTCATGGGTGGAAAAATCCAATTTTCACCAACACACCCTCTTCCGCCGCCGCGTCAAGCCCGAAAATGAGATGTTGAGTATGTCTAGTAATTTTGCTATTCTTGATTTGTGGCAATGACGAAGTAATTGCCGAGCTTCGTTTGGGAGTTTCCCTGGGAAATCACAGACGTATGTCGCCCGAAAAATATCCGACTGAGCCTTCAATCACCCCCACAAGAAATTGCCCAAGATGGGGAAGCTCTCAACTTGCCATCCACTTCAAGCTCATTTTCCGCCATGCCAAAGAGGCGGGCAATTGACAATTTATCAGACCGACATCGTTACGACTCTGTGATCATTTTCACGACCAAATTGCCAATTCAATCATTCACTGTGGGACTTTCTTCGACACTTCCCCAGAAATTTGCTGTGAGAGATGGAAAATTGATGGAAAAATATTATTTCAGCTCCGCATAGAGACGGAAAACTGGCTGACAATCCAAATGAATTGCTTCTCCAAATAGAATTTCGTGTACACATGGCAAAAACCATGAGAGAGAATGTGAAATTTGAATGCACATTTCTCATGGTCACTCCTTCGCAATGCCCCCGAAAAGCTCTGGTGATTCAATTAAGGCGAACACTTGAAATGCCTGTCGGACTAAATTTAATGCACTTCGTTAGAGAGTTATAGTGCTTTAAAGAGTGACTATTAGAACATGCCGCAAATTCTCAGCTCATGCGCTTAAATGAAAAGATGTGTTTTTGCTCAACAAACAATTTTCTTGGTCTCTCTTCTCGGGAAGAATGGAGAAGTGAAGATGCTGTGATGGTATCTCAAGATCGGAGCAAGGAAAATTACGAGAGATATCTAAGTTAATATAGATGGTGAACATCCTGTGAATGCCTTGGAAAATGTTAGACCTTTTTTTCCACGGAATCACATGGAAGTTCACCTTTTGTATCCGCTTTACCAACTCTTATCATAGGATTTTAATGAAGGAAGAACAAAAAGGGGAGAAGAATATTGATAAGAGCTCGCGACTTTGCCGTTTCCACCTTCTTAAGACACACTTCAAGTATCTTTATTGAAGATTCGGAGAGCTTTTGAAAATTTCGCCCACAAATTCTAATTGCCTTTATCATATGTTTCATCAATTCGCCATTAAAACGGAATCAATTTATGAGCTCTAATTAAATTCGCCAACGCCCAGTGCGATGCCTCGTGATGCTGCCGAAAGCCACTTAATCCCCTTGCCGATGGGCTTCTATGGACAGTTCATCGGCGTTGAGGGTCTGCTTAAAATTCCTGGAAAATCTCAGAGTCTCACCTTTTTGTGCTGCGAAGCTGAGAAGGTGTGTTTCAATTTGCCAACTATTTGGAATTCTGCCAGTCAGGCGAGTAGTCATGAGAGAGAAACCCGAGGGATTCTTTTGCCCCCCGAAAGAAATTGATGTGAAATAATGCATGAGAAATCCAAAGCACAGAGAGATGGGAATTTTTTAATAATTCCTATATCATATTTTGTTGTTCAATATTTGCCCAGTGAGAGCTTTTAGAGAGGCAGCTTTACCGAAAGTGGTTGTGGAAATATTTGATGATGGAAAAGCCAGAATGTCTCTCCTTTTTCCGCCTCCTTATTCGCCATTCTTTCAACTTTTGTGTCCGGGGCGGATTGTGTGCCGCTCCTCTTTTGGGCCGCAGCAAGAAGCGAAGCAGGAAGAGTCAGGAAGGATGTGCTTAGAAATTCTTCTAAACATATTGTTAAACTTCCCCATAGATGAAATTTATGATGTTCAAGCTGAATGGGAAACACAATAACTGGAATCGTATAAATTCAGTCATTTTGCCAAGGGAACTTTTCGTGATGAAAAGCTCCTCGAGAGAGAGAGAGATCCCATAAATTTGATAGTCTTATCCGCAATACATACGCAAATATCTCTGCGACAAGAACACGGAGATGCAGATTTGATGGTAATCAGTCATATTGGTGACAAAATTCTTTAAAAAGCATCCGCACAGCCAGAAAGCACACCGCAGACGCTCAGAGGATTTCCATTTCGATGGAGATAAGGATGATAAAATGAAATTTTTATCACATTTGACAGGAAGCTATTCATTTTTTCAACTCCCTTTTTTTCTTATGTCTGTCTGGGGAGAAATCTCGCTCCGGAGAGAATTAATGACTCCCGCAAAGGCAATCCAATATTGTGTGCTTTTATGCTCCACTCGCTTCTTTACCACACTTTTATGTGACAGTTTTTGCACTCGCAATCGCAAGACGAAGTGAGATTGAGCGGGCGTGCTGGCAAATCCACGATATAAGCCTAAATTATTGGGGATTCCATCCCTTTTAATTACCAGGACACAGGAAAACGAGGCTGCGAACGAAATTCTGTGCCTTCAGATACTGAGCGCAGAATATGCAGATTAAATGATTAATCTGCACGGGAGTTATGTTGCTCTCGTTATTAATATCCCAACTTTTATTTGCGTCCCGCGTGCTGAAAATAAATTACTCTCCATCGCTGGATGTTGATAAATTCGCACGTGAATCACTTGAGAGTTTCTAAGGCTGCGCCTTAATGGACTTTAGAAATATTTACCAGAGAGACAATTGTAATGGAAAAATATCCTGCTGGGTTTTTTTGACGCAAAATGCACGGAAAAATATTTGCCAAGATGTGTTTTCCGTTTCCTGTGGATGATTGAGACATTTTTCTGTATGTTTTCATTAATCGCACATTTATCGCAGCATTGATCAAACTTCTCTGCGGTGAAGTGCTTCTGTCTTTGCCGCCCCTCACGAGGGGGAGGATGTAATTTTACGACGCAGAAAATTGCTTTCTTTCCTCTATGTCTATTTCCACCACCATGACCTCTGGCATTGCGCCGAAGAGTGTCACTGGAGTCAATTGCCTCATTTCTCCACTTCACGGCTTCACCAGCTTCCGTGGATGGATAAATTATTCACAAGATGATTAACTATTGAGATAGTTTGTCAAATGAATTGTTTATTCGATGGCTGTTTCTCAAGTTCAATGTCTTTGCGGGGTGGATGGAGAGCATATAGGTTTATGCTCTGCCTCGTCAAGGCACTTCATTCGCTTTCAGGCGGAATAGCGAGATATGGATAACGGACTGTAAGATGAAAAGTTGAACTTCACGAGGAATTCACTTAAAGTGGGATGAACAAGTTACTCGAGGAGCTCTCTTGCAGAATTTCTCAATTGCTCCCAAGTGGAAAAGAGAAACGGGGAGAATTTGGGTATTTCAGGGGTAAAAAAAATGATGAATAAAAGTTCTTCAAACTATTACACTTAATGAATTTTGACCCTTCTTTGATCCACAATCTCTCAAATATTCATTTAATTCCCCCCACACAATAAATTGTTAATGTCGATTCTCACAAAAACTTCTCTTCGTAAGAGTGTGGAAATTAGATGGGAAGGAAGTGAAGGAAATCCCGCATTAAATTATAATAATCCAAAATTGTATTTCGGAGGATTATGCAGAGGAAAACTCTGGCGTTGTGTGTCTGTTTTCCAGCGATTTTCCAGCTCTCGGACAGCACCAAAAGCGTCCTTACTTAGCATTCATCCTTTTTGCTCGATTTCGGTTGGCTTGTGTCCGTGAAAACGGACGAAATTGAATGAGTTGAATGCCAATTGCGATGTGTCACCCTCGAGGTGACTCCCTCGTTAAAAATTCACCCCAAAACCCCCACAAAACGCCATCGCGAAGAGCATCCGAAATGACAAAACGCCTCAAGCGATCCGTTGCTCAGGTGAAAGTCTCAGGACATGAATAAGTAATTGAAATTAGGACAATATTCACAATAATTCACCCACAACCGCAGGCATGATCCTTTTCCCGGGAAGCATTGAAAAACCACATCAGAGGCTTCGCAAGCTCTCGAGAGCTTTTCCTAAATATGTATAATTTCATTCCAAGCATAAGTTTCAAAATAGAACATAAAGACAGCTTCTGAAGCGTTAAAGTATAATCATTAAAACTCCACCCACTAGCATTTCTTGCCTATAAATAAGCCTTAAACTGAAATTCCTGCAAATGATAAAAGAACGTCACCAAATATAGTTTGATAACTTATGGAAAGTTAAAGCGAATGACGAGACGTTTATTAATAGTTATTTGACAAGAAAGTTGTGTTCCTTTGAGTATTCCACATTCAAAACTTTCATATATTGTCAGATAATACAATTACTAAGCAATAAATTTGCATACTCTAATTTAAAATGCGTTATAACGTCTCTCTGTTATTTTCCCATAAACTTCTCTCATCGTTAATCACGACAAACAATTCCGCTGAAGAAAGCGAAAAAGTATCTCATCAAATTCTTGTAAATCTCCTAATACCCTAATTGAACTTTAGCTAAGGGGGATTGTTTGGTAAATTCATCTGGCTGCGTAATAGCCCGAAGGCGCCCCAATGAGAGCAGTGTGTAATAGATAAATCCACAAAGTTCACTTCCCGCCACCCTCAAATCAGCCCCTAAACGGCGCTAGATAATGCAAATTATCCGTCTATAATTGATTAATTCTTGTGGGAAGTTGTGAAGTCATTAGTCAGCACACAAGAAGGCCAACTTTCTACGACTCCCTGATTAATTACCCATGTCTTGGGCGCTCTGCAGGGGCGGAGGTGGATTGGGTAATCTGCTGGTGATTTTGCAAGACATGATGAATCACTGCAAAATTCTTGACACACACACAAAACTCCGTGTTTACTTGCAGATCTACTTCTCTGCGTCATGCATCACTATTTCCATCTTTCTCCACGACGAGCGTCGCTACTTGGCCGGCGAAGTGGAGAAACCAAGCGGGAAGAGCATCCTCGAGAAGGAGGAGATTTCCCCGAGTAAGAAGATATTGGGAGCTTTCGGTGTATTTGTGTTGGACTTCTTAAATTCTAATTCTACGCATCGTGTCACGCATTTCTTTCAGCGACTGTGATATTTAATATTCTGCTGCTGATCTGTGCATCTTGTGGCGTTATATCCTCCATTCTTGTTATTGTTGGCCTTAGAACGGTTAGTTTTTTCTCATATCCTCTCCCTTTCATCGCCTCTTTACCATCACAACACGCAATCCTCATATCTTAATCCCTTTCTCCGCACACTCTTGCAGAACCAGAGAGAACTCCTCCTGCCATGGATCTTCGTAATGATAGCGGACATTCTCGTGGAATGCACCCATTTCGTCTACTTAATAGTCCTGGAGACGGTAAGGTTATGGCTTTCCATTTCATCCGCACGCTAATTAATCATGTTCATTCCTTTTCCCTGCTGCCCGGACGAATTGTGGAGAATAGCTCAATTTCGAGCCACTAACAGCCACATTATTCACTCTAGATTTCTTCATAATGTGTCTCAATGTTTATTGCTTGCTCTGCGTTATTTCGCAGTATCAGGAATTTAAGGAGGGTCGCGGAATTGCTGAAACACCAAAGAATGTCTATGGCGTGAGTTTTTCTCGTCTTTTTCTCCGTCTTCTCGTCTGGGTGTGATTTTCCCCAGAAGAAAGTGCTCATTCCCTTCCAACTCTCTCTTTTTCTCTCTTTTTTTTCAAGCCATACCAGAATGTGCGATATATCCCACCAACGCCATCGAGCACATGTCCAAACAGCCAACGACCAAATAACCATCGACAACTCACGAGTCCGACGGTCTGTCCACACACGAATTGCACGATTATCCCGGAAGAGACGCAACTCAATGGATCTCTTGGTTTGTATTTGATTCCACACGAGAAAGCGGAGAGACTTAACGTGTGGTGTAGCTTTTCCCCACCACGACTTTCACTTTTCCCCGAGAGCACGAAGTGCCACAGCAAGGGGCGAAAAGAGACACGCTGCAGAGATGGAAAAGCCATTGATGGCGATATGGCACAGAACAATGAGGAAATCATACGAAAGAGATCATCGCATAATCGTCAGATTATCCGATAAGACACTCATAACAATATTGGCCCCAACACATAACACGCTCACACCGGATTTCATGACATATATGTTGGAAAATAAACGCTCTGACCGCGGAAAAGCCTCCCTCGTGATACTGAAAATCGGCTTCATTCACGCTCTACTTATCAGAAATGAAATTGATGAATTCTCCTCGTTGGTCATGCAAATTTATAGTCTATTAGAGAAGTCACCGCAGCGTGAGAGCCGAAGAGGCTCGACAGAGAGCTGTGTGACAAAGAGATTTTGAGCAAGATTCGCGAGTTTAAATCAAGTATTTTCACACTTAATGCAAGGCGCAGAAAATACTTTTCACGACGGCCTCTTCGACTCTCAAGTCGAGAAGTGACAAAGCGAGTGAAAAATAGCGCAATGAAAAAGCCATTTTAACCCCTTTTTTGGTGATTTATGCCGATACAACATAATCATGAATTATTTATCCAGGATCGGCTCTTTTTCACGCATTCAGTGAAACAGAGCAAATAAATATTTCACCGTGATAAACTCAATATAATGCGCATATCCTGGATCAAATGTAGCTGAATGAAATGCATCAAATTGTATTTTATTACATTGAGATAAGTAATATCGCATGTAATTTCATTTCCGAAAAACTCAGAGCACGTGAAAAATTGCCCTCTTCTCTGCCAGTGTTGTTTTTCCACCCTTGATGTGGCGAAAATACGTAGTTCTCCTCTTGTTTTTTAGTTGGAAATTCTATATATCCACCAAACATGTGTCTTTCCCATCGTACAGTGTGTAGTGCCGAGAGTAGCGCAAAAAAAAATATGATGAAAATAGCCTCCACCTCACGCATCCCTCCCTTAATTTAGGTGTAATTCACATATCCTCCCCATTTCATCAAAGAACCAAAAAACAGTCGAAGCGACACGTTCAGTTTCCCGACGATGCGAAATGCTGTTCCGAATCATCAGCATTGAGTGACGCAAATGGAAATGGTCACACACTCGTGATAGACACTCTGCCAGGTGACACATTCTAACTGCAAAGAATTCGCAATCGAGGGGCAATCATCGAGGGATGCCGCATCCTCTGACACGTGAGGTTTTTGCTTACATCGCATCTTTCAGGCTGCGCTTCATTGCGAAACACTGAGCTTCATTCTGACATCAGAGAGAGAGCGAGAACGAGTTTATATCAAAACTTGGATTTAGTCACAAATTTGCTCAGACTATATTTGTTTTTTTTTCATTGAGATTTTGGTGTCAGAATTGAGTTTAGTTATCTTGTTCTCTTATTTCATTGCAAATAAATCACTGGGATTGAGACGCATAGCTGCAATGATTGCCCCTTCGACATTGTAATTTTCCTAATTTTCTGCACACTTGCTTTTGCTCTTTTTTTCTTTGTCTTTTGTGCCCCACAGAAATTTTCCGTTGAATGCACCTTTTCTGTGTCTCTGTTATACTTTAGCATACATTCTAGCTGCGAAAATATTAATGTAATTGCTGAAAGTGCAGCTCAAGTTTTCTCATTCACATCGTGTGCATATCTTCATTTGCAGAATTCAGTGAAGACATTCTCACATGGCAGGAGAATCAGCCTGAGCAGCAGTACGAGAATTACTGAAGAATTTACAACTTGTTTCATTTTAGGGAAAAAAAAAGAAAGACATTGTGCGAATTTTGGCGTGCTAGTAGGCAAAAGAAAGCGTTCAAGTGATGAGTTGAATGCGGACTTTTCTTTTGATAAATTGAATCGTCCTTTAGACAGGGACGAGACGACTTTTATTATACCAAAGTGACACAGGCATAAAAAGTAAAAGTTACATATTTGGTCAGGGCATTACAGCCGCATATTATACTTTTGCTAAAGGTTTCACAATCAAAAAAAATTCATCTTATAGTGATCATTACAACATTCAATATGGACGACAGAAGTCATGCTAATTAATATATTTAGGAGATGATTGAACGAGCTTAGGAGAAAATGATGACAACTTTCCATTAGCGAATGTATTCTTCAAGAGGAACAATTTCAATTAAAAATGGAATTAAAGTGTCATATTTAAGTAAACTTATTCGGTGTGAAGGAATTACACAATTAACACATCTCTTTCCCAAAAAAAAAAGAAATTCTTTGGTGACCATTTCATTAATATTATTGTACTGACAAGAGAACGAGTTACAGTTTAAGCATGTTTAAGAGGTAATTTGTATCATTGTAGAGTAAATAAAAATTCACGATAAATTAAATACAGCACTTGCGCTCCTTCTTTCTCCACCCTTTTGATTTTCGCCCACCCACAGAAAATATATAATACTTATGGTTCACTCTTGAATAAATAGAGAAATTCCCGTCTCTGTGAACAACCCAACAAACACAAAAAAAGGGGATGGAAGTATGATTGAAATTCCATTGACTAGACATCCACGAGATATTTTCATGTCAGAGAGAGCAGTGCTTATGGATTGAGATTGTCGAGCATGAAGGAGCTCGCCTACAGTTCCAAATCGTCAATTGAATCCGCCTCAATGAGCAAACGAGCTTCGTGTCTCTTCTTACCGCCATTGCCTTTCTTGCCGCGCCTGTTGACAACGCCGTCCTCCTCGTCCATCATCCTCAAAATCGTCGTCTGGTCGGAACAGTCCAGCGGTGCCACTGAGATATCCCTGACCTGGCCGAGAGAGAGAAGAATCACCAATAATTGTCACGTTTCGCCTTTTCACGCTCCACACATTTCTGCTTTTTTTTATTCCCGCCGTCATTATGGCCTAATTTTATGTTCATTGTTTGCTCAATAAACACGCCAAAGTGACGGTCCTTTTTGTCCTTTGGCGTGAGACGCGCGCAAAGAAACCGTGCGGCAAACAATGGAGCATAATTATTCCGGCGTGAAAGAAATTATGGCCATTTTTTAATGCATGCGCCTCAAATATTTTCCCGTCCACGCACATAAATTATCACTTTAACTCTGGGACTTAGACGCTGTCCAACATTGCAAAGTTTATCGCTTAATCATTCTCACGGCAATAGAATTGATGAAAGGTAGGAAAAAAAATGATGAATATGCATAAATATTGAAAAAAGTTACGGACGAAATTGAGATTCGTGTTAAAAAGAACATTTTCAAGATCATAAAAATATTGTAGAGTGAAATATTAAACGCCAATCGCGTCGAAAAGACAACAACATAGTAAAGAAGTGGTGGAAAGAGTGTGGAAAATCCCTCAATTTTCCCGCAGAGCTTAAAGCTCATCCCCAGGGATGATGGGGGAAAAAGGAACAGAGAGACTCACCGCTCGAAAGTTTCCACAGTTATTGAGGTGTTCATTCTCGAGACGAAAGAAATTCCAGACGAAGCGCCTGAAGACTTCGAGAGGACTTAGGATGGAAATCATGATTTCTCGCTCAATATATCCACCCTCAATGAGACTCATTGATAACGTCCAGCCGAAGCGCAGCACGAAATCCTCCAGCACGGCGAAGTAGTAGAACCACTGCAAGAGAGAAAGAGGCCACTCTTCAGAGGCCACGCAAATCTCACACCGTCCAATCTCTCACCGTTGACGAGTAAACGATTTCCTCCCGCAGAAACTTGTTGTCGCCGGCCTTCGCGTCGAAGAGTCCCCAATCCATTTTGATGTCCCAACCATAAGCGTAGCACGACGAGACGATCGACGCCACAATCCACAGATAAAACCACGGATTGTTGGTGGAGTCCGAGTAAGTGTCTGCACAAAAAAGGGAAATAATAATAATAATCTTTTCAATTTGCCCAATTTCCCATCTGCTTCCCGCGCCCCACAAAAAAGAGAGCACGAGGGCGAAATACGCACAATATATATTGATTTTCCTACAGGAGAAATTCCGGGAAAAGGAAATTTCATCTCCGTGAAGCATGCAAATAACGCACATTTGCATCTACAGATTCTGTTCGCCGGAAAAGTCCTTCATGCGGATTTTCAGCTGTAATATTTGCAATGCCACACTGAATGATCCGCACCTCAATAAAATTTATTGGATTGCAACCATTTCAACTGGGTTATTTTAATTGAAAAGTCAGTGGATAAATATTTGTACACATTTTTATGATCTTTGCGCAGATACTAAATAAAGTTTTCTGTAGGGAAAAGCAGGGCATTTGCAAAGAGTCCGTTTTACGGGGTAATTTTTGAGGGGAAGAGCTTATGAAAAAAATAGATGAATATCTAGAAGAAAAATCTGCATGTCCCGCGAGACTGTATCAAGTTATTTATCTTTTCCATTAAAAATTTCGCTAAAAATTCCCCTAAATGAAAATATAATTAAAATGCAGCGACCCTCAATAAATCAGGCAGTCCGCATTGTTTGTCCAGAATAAATTCCTGCTGTCCGCACAAGAGCAAGCGAATAGTGAAGATTTTTCACGGTCTTCTGATGCTGAAGAGCTGATGAATATGTTGTGTGCACGGGTTCATTGTTTGCGACCATATAATATTGCAAAATAATCTCTTGTGTGTGGTAAACAAATGTGAGATAGAAGCAGAAAATCATTTCCTCCCACGCGTCCACGTCAGCCTGGCGCATCTTCCAGGAAGAGTAATAAACTCTCTTGACGGACGCGCACTTGAAATGCGATAAGGACGAAATGGGGTGCAAGGAAGCTATGCGGATGTGAGTGACAAGTTTTGCACAAGATCGCTTGATGAAACTTTTTTTTACGACATTGTCGAACAACATCTTTTCCCATAGAGAATAACACACATGAAAGAACCTCAGCTTTTGTGTGGCTTTTAATCGTTGCGTCAGAATCTCTTGAAAGTGTCATGAAACTACTTTATTAACCATCTTTTGCAGCAGTCATAAAAGTGAAGATTCACTTAAAAAAAAACAACCCCGAAAAGTCAAGAAGTCTCATGAGATTTTCATTAAACACTTGGAAAAATGCCTTTTCTCTCCCTTTCTCTCGCTTTCTAAACATCTTTACAAATAGCAGTGAAATTATGCCATTAAACTTAAAATCCTGAACATTTTGCACCGCGTCGTGGTGTGAGAGAAAATGTGAAAATCATCTCTTCTCTCGCAATTAAGCTGATTATCAAAAGCACAGCGATGGAAATTATAAATTACTCCCTAAATGACTTTATCCACTTTGCAACCTGAAGCAATTTTCAAGTGGCAAAACTATAAACTCTCTCACCCTTTCCTTTGTCTGGGGGTGAAATTGCGAAAACCACACCAGTGAAATTGTATGCATCGGAATGCAAGATTGCGACTCCACAATTAATTTTCACCCACACGAAACAGATTGAGTTAAATGTTGCAACTTTTGGTCAATTCCTCTGGCAAACGTACAATTTATTCTTCATGCTTTTGTCCATTTCGTCACACTTGAAAATCCCTGTGAAAATCTGTGTGTGTGAGAGGAGAAAACTTTCGTCCAGATGTGCGGTGAAAGTTGGGGAAATAAATGAGACAATCCGCAGAGGATTATAAACAGCTGAAGAGTTATTTTCACACTCACCAAATTCTTGTCACTCTCTTTTTCGCCTCTTTTTCGGGGCGGGCTTTTTCGCTCTTTCAACCACTGAAAAGCTACACATTTTAGTTGGCAAACTTATGCAATCAGCTTGTTAGTTATGCAACAGTTGTCGACAGAGGCCAAATTTCGCTCGCGCATCCTGATCAAATATTTATGTTCCATCTATTAATTAATTATTTTAATTAATTCAAGCTATTGAAGCTATTCAAAAGCTGGAAAACCCCATTGTTTACCGCATCATAATTGTAATTAAAACTAACTCAATGAGTTGGTAATATTGTTTATTGGGGGAAAAATCCATTGCAGGCCACATTTTCCAGATGATAAAGCGTCCCATTAGAAATTGACTTGCACTCGGAAGTGCTTCTGCAGATTATTGGCCTTTGTTCCCAGCTGCATGTACCATTTTGTGTACTGCCGATTCCACTTGGCCACATTGCGTCGCCCCTGAGCCTGGACAGGCGCCGCCAGCTTGCTGAGATACATCCTGGAGTGCCTCTTCTTCGGCACCAGCGCCAGAGCCAAAGAGTTGAAGCGCTGCTTGTAATATCGCGCCAGAGAACGATTGCCAATGACATTACCAGACGGCAGAACCAGCTGGAATTCATCGCCAGCGATTGGAGTCGCCTCAGGAGCCTCTCCTTCGGGATACGTCGAGCTGTAGTCATAGAACATCTCGTACTCCTCCACCACATCGCCGTCGAAGCGCATCATGCAGTGTCCTTTGTCTCGCATGTGCTTCTGCACGGCGTCCACAGACGCAAAGCCCGCCGCTGAGCACCACAGACAGAGGAAGTCCTTGTGCGCCTTCACGATCAGGTAGCCAATAAGTCCGCCAATGTCGCTACAAAACTCCACGTCCGGAATGAAGAAAGAGTGCACTTCAGCCATGTGTCTGATGTTGTGCGACAAGTTCTCGTGCATGAGAGAGCAGAAGACGCACATCGTCGAATCCACATCCTCCAGTTCATCCACATCGCTCAAATCGTCCCAATCATCGTCAATGTCCTGCGCAGGAGAAGGCAAATCATGAGGAATCACACACATTCTGATGGAAGTTTTGCATTTCACTCACGCTTTCAGGCTTCACAGCGCCTTCGACGGGTTTCTTCACAATCACCGGTTCGTGATCGTCCTCAGACTCTGACACGTTCCTGATGTGTTTATTAGACAGCACGTGATTCTCATAGGCAATCTTGGAGGCGAACTTCTTCTTGCACGCCGTGCAATAGAGCACATCTCGGGTTTTCTGGGAGTTTTCAGCTTCCTGCAATACAATTGCACAGTTTCACATTAACATATAATAGGTTTCCTCAGCACATGTTCCCCCACCTCCAGAAACACCCATAAATAACAAAACCCACGCACATCAATATTCCCAGACAACAATATCTTGTAAAATGCAATTTAAGGAATCGATATAAACTGCAAATTACCTGGATTTTCTTCGTGAAAGCCTGGAATTCTTTGTTGCTGAGCGGAGGCATGTCCGCAAGTTTTCTCTTCATATTCAGGTGATGCCAGTCTGTTCGGCAATGCGCCAGGTGCTGTTCCTGAGGCACCTTCACCAGACACCACTTACACATCACAGACATATTGGAAAAGTGATTTTCCACGCGAAAATTGAGAAAATTGTGAAATTCACTGCTTCACCAAAGAAAAAATCTACTGTCAAAGCACTTTGCCAAAAATCCGCTAGATGGCCATGCGTACGTTTCCCACGCAAGATTTTCAAAAAATTATCAGAAAATGATCAAATATACGAAAAATCTCTTAAACTCACTCGTTGTGGCAAATGTGAGCGATGAGAAGATGATGACGAAGAATGAAGCGGCGTATTTCGAGGCGTTGACGAGGTGTGGGAAGGCTTCGCGGGTGTTTTTGTAGCGTCGACAGCACTGAGCGAAGCGGAACCAACTGGGCAGCATTGCGACCAGAGGACGAATTACGTAGAATTCCTCCACGCAGGAGTTCACATCTGACAGCAAAGATAGCTTAGAATCAGGAGGATGATCATATGATGAAATCTTACCGGTGGCTTTGGACCAATCGGTGTTTCTGGAGTAGAAACAGAAGAAGTACTGCAAATCCAGGAAGGCAGGGATGATGCTGGTCAACTGATCGGCCAGCCAGAAGTCTGAGAAGGTCACGTAGCAAAAGGGCGCCACGAGGATTCTGCCCAGGACGCGAACTGTCCAAAATCTGGCCTCGTGGCGAAACGTTCTCGTGGGATTCAGGAGGAACAGCGCCATCAGGGAGTAGAGAATCACGGGATGAGCGTACGCAGGCACTCCCAGATCGCCGCTGTAGAGAAATGCCAGCACGCTCAGGGTCCAGATGACGCCAAAAATAGCCGCCAGCTCCATGATGTGCTGCTCTGAGAGGTGATTTCGTGGGTCAAGCTCGAAGATCAGCACGTGATTCACGCCAGAAGAGCGCCAGCCGTATACATTGATGCCCCAGAGGAAGAGGAACTCCACGATGAGAAAGGGGCCACGGTAGAGGCGCACGGCGGCGCGCCAGTTGTCTTCCGGGGCGTGGAAGAGCGCGCAAATGGCCACAGTGAAGAGCAGGACGAGGAAGGCGCCCGAAAAGAGGCCCACCTTGAAGGTGATCCATGGACTCTGCGCCTCGCCGAGCGGAGGCACTCGGAGGCGCTTCATGGCTCGCTGGCGGTCACCCTTCTCGATTTCCTGCGTCACGACAGTCTCAGTCTCGTGGATGAGCCGGTCGATGTCCTTGTTCGTGTGGAAGTGGGCGGTTTCCACATGCTCCCGTCGCCACTTGGCGCCAATGTCCACGCTCAGCAGCTTGTCGTGCTTCTTGAGGATCTTCCTGAAGCCAGTGAAGTTGAGATTCTGGTAGTTTTGCAGCAGAATCAAGCTGAGATAGAATTCACTGAAGGCCAGCTTCAGCTCCTGAATCTTCCTGGCGGGCACACTCTTGTTCCTCAGCAGATACTTTGAGTGCAGAGACCTCTTCTTGCTGGGCATGTCCACCTCCTGCGCCTCCGTGAGCTCCGAACGCAAGCTGCTGTACTTCCTGGTCGCTTCGGCCAGTTTCTCTGAGTAGAACGTGTTGATCTTGGTCAGTTCCTTGTCACAGTAGTGGAAGAACTGCTCGTCGAACTTCGTGAAGTAGCGCGTGAGGACGTCGGGATCCACAAGCTCAGCTGAGGGGCTCTGCTCCACGGCCTCATAAAGCATGGTTTTCATCTCCTGGAAGACAAACAATAAGATCAGACGCATATTCAGCAGATAATACGTATTTTGCACCTCACCTCGTAGTTTATGTACTGCTTTCGCCACTCAGGCGTTATGTGGGCGGACAAGTGCTCAGCGAATTTCATCTTGAAGCAGAGAAATCGCCAATTTGCACCCTCGCGAGAAGAGAACACTTCTGCAATGAAAACAAAACACAAAACAGCTGATCTGCATGTGATGCCAAATTAGCGCTAGATGGCGCGCCTCGCAGAGAGCTTTAAATTTTAAATACCGATTTTGGGATATATTCCCAGTAAATTACACTCGATAGTCCAATTTCTGAGCGTTCACGATAAGCTAGCATTCCAATAAAGTGTAGAATATTATGTTCAGCGTTTATTATTTGGTGGGTACAGAATTATCTTCTTGAGAAACCCCTCGAACTAGTCCACTTTCCGCACACATGGTGGCGCCACAGTTTGACATCTGTGGATTTTTTTTATTGTTTTCTCACCGTGCAAAACAGTGATGAAAGAGTGCAAAAATCCAGTGTAGAACCGTGAAGAGACCATCCAGACCCACTCACCCGCGCCACAATGTACTGTCTGCAGTGTCTGCTGCCCGTGCTACTCATCCCGCGGCCCGCGAACGCCGCGTTCTCGCACACGCACTTCCTCTTCGTGCTGCTCTACCTGGTGAACTTCTTCCTGGAGCGCAAGCCCTGCACGATCTGCAGCGTGATCTTCCTCACGGCGGTCTTTCTGCTGTGCTACAGCGGCATCGGGAACTGCTTCCTCTGGCCCAGCAATTGCGACGCCGCCCAAATGTGCGACAACGGATAGAGCCATCGAACGATCGCGCGCGCCCTTATCAGCTGGCTGGTTTTTTTTTGTTTATATGTAGAGAAAGTCTGGTTTAATATTTATATGTAAATTGCTCTTAAATTAATCACTTTGGCGTGCTGTAATCGCCTGTAATACTGTTGCGAGTGCATATTTCCTGCACTTTTGTCGCCACTTTACTTGCCGAATTGTGCTGGACGTGCTCTTGACAGGTTTCCCGGGATTTTTCGTCGTCCTGCGGAGAAGAAATGGCGCGAAAGCAAAAGTGAGCGGAGAGATAAATTAAAAATAAATGTATTTCAAGACTAGCATGAATCTTTTTTCTCAAAACTTCATATATATATATATCATACATATACATATCTCTCATCTGCAATGCAATCTATAGATCATTTTTGTTAATTCTCACTTTTCAAAATCCTATCATTTTTTTTTTTGGGAGGTTAATGCTTTTCTTCTTCTCTCATCTCTGCAACACCAACTTTTCCAAACTCCATCCGGAATTCTCAATCACAATTATGGAAAAAATCTCTCTCTCCTCATTTGCCGTCACGTTTTTTTTCAAATAAAGTGTGGCTGAGCTTTTAGTGTACAATTGATGCTTTTGGCCGTATGGATGGACAGAAGAGCGCAAAAGTGTTTCACATCATCTCAAGAGCCTACAGCTGAGCCGAGTCCTGATGCAGCGATGAAAGCGGCGTGAGCAGTGGTCCAGCTGCGGCAGAAGTCACCTTCCGGCCACCCTTCTCCGTCTCCGACTGAATGTCCAGCGAGACGCCTGGCAAATATAAACAAAATGCCGCATTAAAACCTCCCTTTTTCATATTTCACCATGCATAAATCATCCACACTGACCTGAAACACGACGAATCACCCTCTCGGTGGGCCCCTCGGGAATGTAGGACGCCACCAGGATCGCCACGATGACCATGAGGGCGCCAAAGACAAAGGGCGGCCCCGGCACCAGCTGACTCATGAATTCCCCACTGCGGATCGTCTCGTTCCTTATCAATTTCGTATCTACACTATGACTACTGTTTATTGTGTTGTGCTCATCGTTCAAGTCCACGTGGAAAAGGTAGAAAATCACACCGAACATCGCCGGTCCGAGACCATTGCACAAGCCACGCATTCCAGTCACCATCCCCTGAACGACTCCTGGCAAGAAGGGGGAGAAAAAGGTTGGAAAGCATTAGCAAACTCTCTTCTCCACTCAAAGGACAATCATGGGTGTCAAGCATCGAACTTTGAAATCTAACCTTGTCTGTGTGGTGTGGACAGAATGGAGACAGACGCACTTATTGCTGGATAAGTAATTGAACCCAGAGACGCTAGAATTCCCGCAGCCCACATCATCCTGAAATGCGAAGAAAATCACAGTAAATACACACTTTCTTATCACACACTTGTTGTTTGCACAGCATCTAATCCATCTCACCATGTTTGACTCCCAAATCCGTACCAGAGAAGTTGCATCATCTCAAATAGCAGCCCTATTATTATTGTACGTTTCGCACCAAGAACCCTGGAAGTCGTCAAGAAAATCAAAAAACTGACTCTCTCAAACACACACACAGCGCGACTCACCTCATTAAGACTCCTAAAACTAATTGCGCCAGAATACTCAAGGTTCCAACAACGGCAATAAAAACAGAAACTTCAATAGAACTGAAGCCCATTTTCAACTTCAAATACACAAAGATGCAGGAATATTGGCCAGCCTCGGGCAAGTACGACAGAAGCACTGTGACACACTGCATCAGAATCGTCTGATCCATGCCAACCTTGCGCAGCGCCTGCAACAGCAATCATCACCCAGTCAATCCCAGACAAAGGAAGAAAGGACAGAAAGACACTCACGGCAAAGGGGTCCGCCTGTTCCCAGCTGATCGGCGCACCCCAGGAGCTCGGCCGCACCTTCTCTGGCAAGCTCTCCGGCACGGCCACGAGGATGAAGAAGACATCGAGGATGGCAATGGCGGTCGCCAGGGCCACAATCACCGTGTCATTGTGCTTCGTGATGAGATACGCACCCAGAGCGGGCGAAATCACGAGACTGGCGGCAAATGTGGCCGACACGAGTCCGTAGGCCCGCGAACGGTTCTCCACTGTTGTCACGTCGGCCACATAGGCGAACACAACGGAGAAGGTCACGGCGAAGACGCCACTGATTGAGATCATAGCAAAGAACCACCTGCAAAGGGAGGAAGAGTGTTCAATATGGATAAATCATATGTATTGTTCTGTCGCATTTCAGGCTCCAGAATTTCAAGTATTTTGGACAATCTGATAAGAAAATAGCATTCTGAGAGACTACGAAATTATCCAATTAACACTGGGAAGGTTTATTTTACAGATAAAAAAAACGCACGCATTGGTTTCCTGACCATTTAACAGTTTTTTTTTCACGCCAAAATAATTTGACGAGTGTTTTTCGCGACTTGAAACATTTCAAACAGTTTCCTGGGAACGTCGAGAACATTTTTCAGGTCGTGGAAACTAAACTAAACAGAACACGAAGGAATTTACTGAAAATCGCACATTCGGAAAGCCGTATTTTAACATAATTTTCATGTTTAGCAAGTTGCATTTTCGCTGTAAAATTTACTTTTCCTCTACTTTGGCTCAAATTCTTTTGTATAGTCTTAAATGGCATTCATTCAGCTAAATTGTGTCTCATAAAGTCATGAATTTCGCTTTTGATATTTTTGTTCAAATTAATTTTTTTTTTAGTGATGCACTTAATGCCAATTAAAACTAATTCAATTGTCCGCGCAATCTCAAAGCTATAATATGTTCACAATGAAGCACAAGATTCAGAAATGTGGTGGTAAAAAAGACTTTTCGCGTGTTAAGAATATCAGAGAGAAAAATTTATAGCAAATTTTCCAAATAATCCAGACAGAATATTTGCATTCTATGAAGCCTTTTCCAATGCACATGTCAGTATTGTGATCAATTCACAACTCAAAGATCAAAATTTGTAGTTAGCAAATAAAATTGATCTGCTTCTGTGAAAATCCAGACATTCCTTTCAAAAATAGCTCCACCTGCTAAACATATGCAAACGGCAAACCCTACAGAGAGCGGATTTGTGACTAAGAATAGCCCCTCTGCCATTCTGTTGCCGTATGACATCACACTGCGACAATAAATTGTCCACGGCAATTGTGGCCGATATTATCACACAAGCTCGTGGTCTCGCGAGCAAATGTGTTACTCTCCAGAGAGTGGCTTCGCAAATGTCTTTTCTCCTCTGCCACAGAACATGCATGACTATGTGGCAAAATCAGAGTAAAATTTGCATGACACCAAACAAGTAATTATCTCGTAAGAAGCAATTAAGGCGTCTCGTATGGAATTAAGTAATTAGAACAAATAATGCAAACATTCTGGGTCAATTTTCTGGTCATGTCCAATTGAATTTTTTAACCACGAACGACATTGACGTTGTTGTTTGAAAGTCTCGAAAGTGAAGAAAAATGGAAAATTCGTCATAGTTTTTTTTTTCTTTTGGGTGGGGAAAAAGAATCAATGGTTTATCGTCGTCTCATTGGAAAGTCATGACGGTGAGAAGGTGAAAACATGACTGACAATAACACTGGTGCAAGTGACTTTTTGACGGTGAAATTATATACATTTCCTATTCAATTCTCTCACGCAATGATTCAATAAGATATTATGAGGGCAAAGAGACTCATATTAATTAATTAATTACCAGGTATTGATGGTCATGAGTGGAATTGGAGCGCATGTGAAGAACACTGTGATCAGCAGGAAGAACTTCCTGCCCCACACATCGGAGAGCGCCCCAATCAGTGGCGCACTGAGAAATGACAAAATCCCCTTGATTCCCATCACCAGGCCATTCATCAGGAATGTGTGATCTGGGAAGGTTTGATTGAGAACCTGCGGAGAGAGAGACACGGCGAAACAGCGATGAAGAGTGCCATTAAACGCACAACAGGCAATGTTCTTACCGCAATAACGGGCATCGTGAGCAAGCCCCAGGCGAAGAACTCCAAAAATATCACCACAAGTGCATGATAGACGCTCGGATCGCCAATTCCGGAACTCTGCAATGACACACAAAATATGCAATACAGTTTTATCAAATTTTTTATAACGAAAGAATCTTGTATACAATTTGCCTGAACGTTAAACACTTCATTTCTTTCAAGTTCAACAGCGACAACTGAGACTCAAGAGAAGTTCGATGGTGTTCTCAAGTGTGGATTTTCTTTTAGGCAAGCGAGAAAGGGAAAATAAAACACACACCACAAAATTCCCCGTTAAGGGTTGAGGTGGAAAAACAGCCGTTGCTATGATATCGATTACAACAATTAAATCAATATAAACACTCACAGAACTCAGAGTTCAGCGGAGAAAGAAGGAAAGGAAAAAAAAGCCCTCTAGCATCATCAGTGACAGCCAATTTAGAGACCCACCCAGAGTGTTTTTTCAGGTCACTGCAGCTGCAGAATGTCCACAACATCGGACACATCCACTGAGACATCAACCACAAGCTCCAGCAGCAGCGAATCCCACACCACTGACGCCCAGGAGGACGTCCATGAGGAGGCAGCCGAAGGACGTGCCTCCAGTCTCACATATCGCGATGTCACAGTGAAATTTCAGATAAGTGAAAGTCAAATTGTCGCACATGTCTATGACATACGCATTACAATTGCCGAAGTGAAGTGTGACATGGGCAGCAAGTTCCACATTCCCCCCAATTGTCTCACAATCCGACAGCGCGGCGCTCCCATAGACGACACCGACACGCTTCAGCATCTCACTCGCAACGACTTTGGCATCATTGAGGTGCACCTGCACCTCACCGATGCCGCACGCGAGGCGAAGATGCTCCTGGATCTCGGCACTTACTACAGCCACTTCACGCTGCCGGAAATAATCACCGTTCACATCGTCAATGAGGATCCTCAGGAGGGCGAAGCAAGAGTGCGTGAAGTCCTCGTGGAGATTGAGAATAGATCAATTGTCAAGCCCTTCCTCGGTGGCTTCCGAAATTCAAAGACAGGCCTTGAATTTCATCATGCTTTCTCCCAAACTGGACCGCCAAGCGACAGCATTCGATATGACGGCAGGACAACAAGAGAGACACAAACTATCATTCAGAAATCCTGCTCACATGTAAATATATTCAGTCAAATTACGACTGTCGTATGAGTTTCCCACAGACTATTGCAAGACAGTCCAAGCATGTCACACGACAAAAACCCAAACAATTCACAAGTGTCCAAACTCTAATAGAATACACTTCTCTTCTAGCTTTCATGTTAAATTATTTGATAATAATGTGATATTAAACAAACAGCGCATAGGATAATTCCAATGATTCACGAAGGACTGTCCATAATTTGTAACTGTATTGTGGCTACTGCGGAATTTTCTCAGAAGAAACATAATTTTCGTCCAGACTTCTCATTAATTCACTGCATTGGAAACGGCACGCGATATCGATCGACACTTTGAGAGATTCGTCTGTATTTTATTTCATTTGTCCGATTCGTCCTCCAAGAACAGTTCAATGTCTTCAAGATAAATATTTTCCATGGACAAATGATGGATTGTCTTATGGTTTGGGTCAAAAAAAAATTTCAACAACCATTTAGATATAGACATTTTTATCTATTTCAAAAAGAAATATCATTAACTAAAAGATAAATAATTTTAGAAGTTATAATCTCTCAATATATAGGGCTTAATTGCCACGGTTGTTTTTATAAAAAGCAAACAAGCTATTTCCGTTTCACTAATTTTCGTGGAAATACCAGATGACATTAAAGTTTCATATAAACAGAATGTCGTGATAATATCAAGACATTGCTTTTCCTATTAAAAGCCTTACAGAAATATTATTAAATTCCATGCTAATGACTTGATATAAATGTTTTCTTTGAACTCCTATCGAAATACACAACAAGGACACAAATCAAGAGCGCGGAAGTCAATGCTGCAGTCAGTATTTCCTCTCCCAATCGGACAGAATCCTCAGATCACGCCGATACGTGTCCTCAGACGAGATGATAAACCATCTTGAGCGTGTTCGCAAGGCGAAAATCATCCAGAAGAACTTTCGACTCTACTTGTGGCGCAAGAGAGTTCGCGAAGCGGCTCAAGAGTGGCGAAATCTTGTGACAGAACAAAAAAGGCGTGAATCGCAAATCGAGGAGATTTATGAGAATCGCTTCAAGAAGGAATATTTGGGCAGAACTTGTCCACGCTCAAGAGAGGACTTTGAGCTGCTCTACGCTCAGGTTGAGAAGTGGAAAATTGATGAAGTTCAGCGAATTAATGAATCATGCAGCGGTGCCACGAGAATTGCCGAATTAAATGCTCTGCTGGACAAGGAGATTCAACTCCTGAACGGCATTGAGTATCAGAAGGGACTCGTGCGGAAGGATCTGAAAGAGGAGCGCATTCAGCGACTGCTCGCAAATCTCGGTCGCCCAACAAAGTGGGTCGGCTACAGAAGTGAGTGAATATTGAACGAAACATGTTGCACATGTTCCAAGCATAAAGAATTCATGGGCACGCAGCTCAGCGTTTGTGTATTTTTCATCAACACCATTAATTCTCAATTGAATTCCTCCCCAAGCTGTGTGGATACCACACATTATAAACAGGCAAATTAGACGGTGTTTCAACTCTCATGGCATTACACAGGCAAATGGTAAAAATGGTCGGAGAGAAAAACTCTGTGTTCTGCTGCAAATTTAATTACCAATCTCCAAAGCCAGTAAATTTATTCACTTTCTACAGTTGTGGATTCTCAAAGAGAAGCAGATATGTATATATTTTAGAAGACACCAAAATGGTCATGTTAGGAAAAAAAGAACCGGTTAAGTTACTCCTCAACTAATCCGATGCTTCTTGCGAAAGAGAATTTGATTAGAGTCTCTCTTGGCGTCTCGTGTGTGCCTTTTCCACGCACCATGAGAATTTATTAGCACAAATACACCCAATCATGAGAATTATAAGTGAATTTTAATCGTTGAAAACAAGAGTTTGTGCAGCATTTACGGAATAATATTTCAATTTATCCCATTTAATGAGCATCTTTTTACGCTGTTATCACACTATGAAATTGCAAATTGAAGGAAAAATTACCACGTAATTTTAATTAAAAGTGTTAATTGAAAAAAAACTGAGCAGATTCTAGGAATTTACACTTCTTTCCATTTTCTTCTAAGCACCAAAAAATAGTGACTTAAAAAAGTCTTAAAAAGATTTAAAAAAGTTCATTAAATTTAACATCAGTCATTATGAATGTTAGTCATTGATGTGGTTGAGAAATCGCATGAAAGCACAACGAAAATCGTGCATTTAAAAGAGTTTTTCCAGTATAAATTCAATGTCTTATTGTTGTTGCAGATCAAATAGTTGAAATGGACACAATTCGATCGCAGCGAACGCGCTTTCTCACGTACTTTTACGACCGAATGCGTGAGAATCTTGGCAAAAGGGAGCGTCTGCAGCTCATTCAAGAGATCACCGAACTCCTGCAAATGAGCGACTTCACCGGCAAGAGTATCGAACTGGAGGAACTTTTGCATCGCGAAAAGCGCCTCTGGGACTGCAATTATCACCCCAAAGATCTCGAGAGTCTCCACCAACGCCAACAGACGCTCTTCCTCGACATCATCTTCGATGTTGGCAAATCGAGGCCCAAAGGTGAGCTCAATATATATTTGCCTTTCAATTGTCAGTTGAAAAAAGGCACGATATTCAGCCATGATCCACTAAATTCAATATTCTCCATGTTTGTCTCGCTCTGCGTGTGTGTCACCCTCGCCTGGGCTGAGCAGCTGATGACACAAGAATGTGTATCAAGTGTAAAAACGTGCGTCCATTGGCGGATTTCACACTGCACACTCGTCAGAAAGTCGTGGCAATTTGTCAGACGTGTAGCAATTTGAAACTTTCCGCTATTGATAAATCCATCTACAAGGCCATCCTCAGGTCCATCCGCCGAGATGAGCGCCAGCGCGGAGCGCTCGCCTCGTACGCCTTCATCATCCAGGAGGACGATGTGCGCTTCCTGGTGGAGAACATCTGGCACGGACACTCCGTCCTCAGCCAGAACGACAACCGAATGGAGCTGAGGTGAGAAAAAAGTGCCCCACAAACACGCCCCAGCGCTTTGTGTGCGCCTCTGCCCCACTGAACAGCCGGAAGTACAGCCAATTTACAACCGGACAGGTGTCCTCCACTCATGCCAGACCCCTCTGATGCTTTTTGCTGGCCATTCACCCATCCACAAAAAGACCTAACGACCCTAGCGTGTGCTCTAGAAAGACCTTCCGCCGAATGCACACAAACTATGAGAAAATCACATGAAGAACATCACACAAAACAAGCTCTTTGAGACAACGCGACTTAAACCGGATTTTTTGAGGAAGCAATCACACAGCTAAAGGTCTCTCACTCGCTGCCCAAACATTCCAAGCCCCGTGATTTGAGATTCAAAGGCGCGCCTCGCGATACACTTTATCACATGAGTCTGAGTGTCTTTGATGGGATTTAATTCACGAGAATTGACTCAATTCATCAAAATTCCACTTTTCACTACTTGTTAGACACTTTGAAAATTACTTAAACCTCCTCGTTAACCCATTATCATTCGTTTGCATAACAATGACGCTGAAAAAGTCTAGAGAGTGACAAGGGAAAAAGCTCATCAAACTGAAGATATTCATCGCAATTGCCCAGAAGCCTTATCTCTGACACAGTGAAACACCTGGCCACGAGTTTCCCCAGCTCTCACGCGCTTTTCCAGCGCGGACAGCCGCTCAGTGGGGCCTTGGCACGAATCTTGTCTCTTTTCCAGGCTGCCCAGGTGGAAAGTGACCGACGACTGGGCGCCATGGAACTGCATTTGCCTCACGGAGGCCGAGGCGAGGGCGCACGTGGTGGTGGAGCACCTGCACCGCGTGTATGAGAGGAACTTCCTGCAGGACGTGCAGGGGAAGAACGCCCTGGGCATGACGGCCTTCCGGAAGCTCAAGGAGGTGGACTTTGACTTCGTGGAGTCCGGAGAGTGGTGGAGCGTGGGCATGGATGGCAAAACAGTGTAGGGAGGGGATGAAATAGACACTCACCGTGATGACACCGTCTTTTATTGTCTTCCTGTTGCGGATCACCATTCCGAGGGGCTTCCTGATTCCCGTCCTCGTGGGCATTTTCACACACTGGCGCTGCACCGTTGATTTATCCGCGGAAACACCTCACTGCTGGCATTTTCCACTGTTTCCAACGTCTATACACTCATCCGGCAGCACGTTTAATGCGATAATCACAATTTTTCCCAGTCGCAATGTCGTCAGAGGTTGCCTTTTGTTCACACACGAACGCCACTGGGACACTGCTTTGGCGGCTGAGAGAATGCGTGGAGCCGATGTCTCCACAGGTGAACGGCGACGCGAGGTGTCGTATGGTGGTAAAAACAACTCAAAATACGCGGAGGAGAGTCGTGAGAGTGGAAATTAAATAAAAATCATCTCGCAGAGTCAAATTTTTTCACACACGGCGTCTGTCAAGATGACGCGATCGATTGTGAGCGCCAACTGACGGAATTTTCGTGCAAGAGCATTTCCCGGCTGACTGTCTCCTGAATTGCTCTGCATCGCGCGATAATTTCGATACATTTACTGATGTTGGCCTGCGGATAAATCAAGGAATGAGAAATTCGAGGCATTCAAGAGATAATTGATTTTCGGAGAATCACATTGGTAAAAGAACCGGCCTTGATTTCGTGATTTTCATAACACTCTCTGCACAGTATCACTAACGCAAGGACCAACGCGTGGGACTAAAGTGTGGGCTCACTCAGCCGGGTTGTCGTGGTGCTGGACGAACAGCGTGACATTTGCAGAGGAGGAAAAAATCCCATTTTTCGCTGTTTTTATCAGGAATTGCACATGGTGGAGTGATTGAGTGTGAGTGGCGACAAGTGGGGCGACGATCAGTGCATTTAGACTCGCCATATGAACATTCCAGTGAGTGAAAAGCCAAGAAAGCGAGTCGCGTGAAAGTTCAAAATGGACAGCATACGCAAGGAATTGGACGAACTGGCGGCGGAATACAAGGAATTGGAGGTGAAAATGCCCAGAAATATCCTCCTGATGCACATGCAGATTAACTCACGCATGTCCGCGTTTGCTTTGCCTTGCAGACCGTCAACCAGAACTACCTGGAGCTGCTGGAGGGACTGGGAAGTATGCAGGAGAAATGCAAGAAGGACATCAAACACCAGCGATACCGGATGAATCAGATCAACCTGAACCTCAAGAAGTGAGTGTGCAACCTTTGAAGCAGCTACTTTATCAGAAAAACCCCCATAAAATTGATTAATGAGAAAAGCACGCGTAAATTGCACGATAAAACTTGTTCACGTAACTTCTCCGCGGGGCGTGTCATCCGGCACTGCAATGTACATCTCTGTCCGGACGACAGGGATTGAGACAATGACGAGAATCTCAAGAGGAAGAGATTCTTGAGGTTGCTTGGGTGGTAAACGGGGGTTTTGCAGAGGATTTCAGAGTGTTTTCTGGTGTATTTGCCAAGTCATGCTATATTTTTGCCCTTGAATAACCTTTTTGTAACCTTTTCCTTCGCCTTTTCAGGCTCACAAAGCAAGAAACACTTTCCCAGGAGTTCCAGGAGGAGTTTGGGGAGATCGAGAAGGGGATTATGAAGCGGAAAGCTCAATTGCATGAAATCGAACAGACTCTGCCGAAGGAAAATGGACTGTATTTGAAGGTGAGTGAGAAGGATCTTCTCTCAAACGTGCTCCTAATCTTTCCTTTTGCTGTCTCCAGATCATCCTGGGCAATGTGAATGTGTCAATTCTCAATAGAAACGACAAGGTGCGATATAAGGACGATTATGAGAAGTTCAAGCTGATTCTCAATGTGATCGGACTCGCCATGGCGCTTCTCAATCTCGTGGTGAACTACAGAGCGCTGGAGTTGGCGTTTATGTTCCTGCTGGTGTGGTATTACTGCACGCTGACCATTCGGGAGTCCATCCTGAAGGTGAATGGCTCGCGAATCAAGGGATGGTGGCGAGCGCATCACTTCATCTCGACTGTTTCCGCCGGCGTTCTTCTCGTGTGGCCTCAAGGAGAGCCTTGGCAGCTATTCCGCAGTCAATTCATGTACTTCAACGCCTACATAAGTAAGTATTTGGGAATTCGAGGAAAAAAACAGTGACTAATTGCTTCTTTCTGGTTCCAGGTATGGTTCAATACTTACAGTTTCGGTATCAAAAAGGAGTTCTGTATCGTCTCAAAGCCCTCGGCGAAAGGCACAACATGGACATTACAATTGAGGTGGATTTTTTCTTGCAATCAAATCTTTTTCAGCGCTCTAACAATGAATTTCCGTTTCTCTATTGCAGGGTTTCCACACGTGGATGTGGAAGGGAATCGGATTCCTCCTGCCATTCCTCTTCATCGGCTATGTTTTCCAAGCCTACAACGCTTGGGTGCTGTACAAGCTCTCTCACCATCCTGACGCCACATGGCAGGTGCCGATGATGAGTTTCCTCTTCTTGATCCTCTTTGTCGGCAACACCACGACCACAATGCTCGTGGTGCCGCAGAAGATGAGGGAGCGCGCCAAGGAGCGATACAGGCTCAAGAGCTTATCCTGGGCACTGAAGATTAGAGATCAAATCAAGGTGAGTCGTCTTGGTCATTAATTCAGACGTGCTTTCCCCGGAAGATCGCTCAAGAGACGATTGACTGATTTTTGTACAATATCACGCGACTCGTGAAAGAGTGTGAGAGTTTTGAAAGATATTTGAGCACTTTGGAAGGAAAAGTGTCAACTTTCCTGGACTGTTAAGAGCTTATTCTGTCAACAAACTGTTTCCCACAAATGTTTCATTGAAAACTTACCTTCTCTCACGCTTATTTCACGAGTATTTAATGGATGGCGCGAGAGCTTATGTTACAATAATGCTCAGTGGTTATTTCAATGAATTTTGTGGTCTATAAATACCACTGAATTATACACACAAAAAAAAAGCCGCTTCTCATCTCTCTTCCGACGTCTTTCCGCAGGGCGACAAGAGGAAGGCGTCAGAGAAGTCGTCGCCGGTGAATTCCAGTGGGAAGAAGAGTGATTAGGCTACGTAGTAAAAAAAAGTTTTGAATTTTGGGGCCAGGGCATCGAGGGAAGATCCAGACGGAGAGAGAGAATTGGTGGTAAATAATCTTTATCTTTTTTTCCTGTTTTGTTTGTATTTGAGATGGAAAAAGGAGATATAAAAAAAATCATAGAGAATACATACTTTGCAAAAAGTACAAATATCAGGAATGTAAAAAAACACACACACGAATTAATATAATTAATTTAAAGAGAGAGAGGGAGGTTCCTTCGGGGGTGTTTTAGGCACAGAGAGAGTTTGAGTTAGATGTTTTGGATTAGGCTGTGAGTGTTGAGTATATCGTGAGATGTTAGCGTTTTGAGGGCACTATTCGCTGTATTAGATTTGAGTTAGTGGCTTTTTCTCTTCATTAATGTTATCAATCGATGCTTGATTTATTGTGCACTTTGTTAGGGTTTTTCTTCCTTGTTCCTTCCTTGCTTTTCCTACACGCTCTCTCGCTGCGCAGTCTCAAGAATTGTCTAACTAATCGTCTCTCGTCTTGGGATTCTCGAAGGTTGTTGTCACTTCCTCAGGCGGCTCCTGAGCAGGGCGCTCTGGCCGCCGGACGGCGGCGCCTGGGTCTGGGCTTTGGTGGTGGAGGCCGCAGTGGGTCTCATGAAGTTGTTCCGGCGACTGGCCACGCTCGCGGCATTTGGTAACTTTGCTGCGGACAGGGAGCGGAATGTGGTGCCGTTGGCGAGATTGTCCGCCGAGGGGGAGGTTTTTGGGTAGCCGGACGATTGTGGCTTCATGCGCAGGGATGTGCTGCCGATGCTGGAGTTGCTGGAGCTGCTGCGACTGGCCGGGACGCGACTGGAGCTGCTGGACAGTCGCAGGGAGGCGGTTTGGAAGGGTTTCTTCTCTTGCAGCGGCGCTGGGGTGAATCGCGATGGCGGCGGCTTGGCCGGGAGTCTCTTCACCGTGCTGGTGGACACTCCACTGTTCAGGGAGGAGCGCGACGACCTCAGGCTGCCTCGTGAGCCGCTCCTCTCCACGTTCCTGCTCGACAGACTGGTAACTGATGACTTTGAGTCGTTCTTGCGAAGGGAATTCCTTCTGTACAGCGGCTTAGCGGCCGGGATTGTGGGCGCCGAGGGACTGTTTCGCATGGAGTAGGTTCGTTTTGGCATTAGATCACTGATTCTCTTAGGCGCTTCCACGCTCTCGCCACCCATTGCACTCGATTTCTCCCGCACATTCACCTGAGGATCTGTGTTCTCGTTCCCTGAGCTCGTCTCCTTGCCCTGCGACAGTGTGTCCGACACCAGGCTCTGAGACTCCTCAAATCCCTCATCGTTGAACTCACAATTTGCCGTCTTCGTGGCATTTCTCACGCCCTCGCCCGCTTTCTCGCCGATCTGGAAGCGCCGTGGATTCTTCAAGCCCGCATCTGGATCGTCGAGACTCTTGAGGCGTTCCTGCCAGCGCTTCAGGCGCGCCTCCTTGTCCTCCTGTGCGAACTGTTTCTTCTCCAGCGCCACTGGCTTTGACGATTCCACGAAGATCTGTGTTTTTGGGGCTTCTTCAGGCGCTTGGCCCTCTTCAGCATTGCTTCCTATGTTGAAATTGGATCTCTTGAAGCGCCTGGTCTTCCTGGCAGATGAGAATCTATCGAACTGTCCGGTGCCCAAGAATTCTGTATCGTTGAAGTTGTCTCCGGTGCCAAGAAGACTCTTTCTGGGCGTTGGCGGAGTCTCTCTATTGTCCGCATCGATGTCGTCCTTCTTCCGGAGATCCTGCGATAAGATCGAGGATGACTGGATGCCAGGACTTCGTTGGCCAAGGGTAGATATCAGGGACTTCCGAGGAGAGTTGTCGGGACTCGTGATTCTGAGTTCTCGTGGTTTTGGTTGAGATTCTGCAAGACAAGGCGGTAAATATTTGCAGGGAAGAAGAGACGTTGAACAACTTCTTACCTTGGATGGCCTCAATCGTGCCCACCACGTCGGTGAGTTCGATGGTATTTGAGGGTTTCCACTTCATGGGCGTCCTTCTCTGCGTCACTTCTGGCTGGGAAACCTTCTCCTCCGGCAGAGGATCAAGTTTTCGTTCGTTTTCTGCCAAAATCATGCTCATTAGAATGACTTTTTGCCATAAATGTTGAGACAACTCACCAGAATCCTCCTCATAAGACTTCCTCTGCGACAGACGTTTCTTCCTGCTGTCAGGATCGTTGTGCTGTAGCCACGTTTGGATCTTTTCGTGCCACTCCTTGGAAATTCTGGGCTTGACATCATCAGCAACAGCGTCCTTCTCGATTGTCGGAATCGGATGCGGCTGAAGAGGCGACGAGGGTGAATTGGCTCTTTCGCGGTCTGCTGTGAAGTCCACATGGAACAAGTCTGGACGCTTCTTGAAACCATTTTCTGCCCTCGCTCGTCTCGCCCACGAGCGATCCAGGCTTCCGTACGAAGTCTTTCGCTCGCGCGAAAAGTTGTCATGGCCAGAAGAGCGCAAGAAGTCCATCAAACTCTCATCTTCGTTAAGATTCCGACTCTTCCTGCGTCTCAATGTGCCCTCAGGCGACGGTCCGGGATCTTTTGGCGATGCCAGGTCGTTGTTGTTCGTGAATGAGCCGATTCTGCGCCGCTGAAGCGCTGGACTCCCTGTCAAGAGATTCGGATCGAGGATTTGACTGTCCAGTCCGAGAGACAAGTCTGGAGTCACTGGAAAGGGAGAATTACAACGTTAGAATATGTTCAAAGCTCAAGTATCGGCAGAAGATCGTACAATTTCTTCTCTTCATTGCCAACTGATCTTCGCGCTGCTTCCTTCGGAAGTTGGCTTGTTGCTCCTGGATTCGTCTTCTCTCGTTGTCGACGACGGCTAAGCGGAATTTCTCCCTGAAGTTCTGGAATATCTTAAAGCACTCCTCGAGTTTGAAGCTCTTCACTTCCTCAACGAAGAAATCCGCCAGCTTGATCCTCATCTTCTCCAGATCCAACATGTATCGCTCGAGGATGTGGACTTCGTGCTCTGACGTCTTGAGGAAGTCCACCATCTGCTTCTTGATGTCCTTGTCTGTGTTCGGAGCGTCGACGCTCTTCTTGATCTTCTCAATTCTCTGGCACAGAGTGTAGAGTTCGTTGTTCAGCTGTTCCACGCTTGTCCTGAAAACAACCAGCAAAAAAGTCTTCTTAGTTTCATTCTTCCAGCTGAAGAGGCGTTCCTACTTTGCAGCGTTTTCCAGCGTCGTGAGTTCCGAAGGGAAATCCAGGAGCTTCGGATTGCTCTTCTCAATCTGCAGTGTCATGTAGTGGATCAGATTCATTCCCGGCTTGTTCGCCCGGATGTCTGTCAGCTTCTGCAGCGAAGTCAGTTTGACGCCGGCTGCGTTTCCTGCATAACCACCGGAGTTCAGGAAGTTCCCCAGAACAAGGATCATGTAGAGGACTTCCTGGAGGGATTTGTTGGTCATAAGATCTTCTCCCGCATAGAGCATCGCTCTGATCGCGGGCTCCAAATATCCAACATTGGCTGCGAATTCCTCCTTCAGAAGCATGCATTCGATTCGCAGCTTGTAGCTGAAAAAGAGTGAATCAGTTAAACTTCTTTCCAACAACTTGAAAAGTCTTTAACTCACTTTGATAGATGAATGAGTTCCATGAGGAACTTCTCTGCATTGCCTAGGCGTGATTTATCCCCGTCGAAGGACTTCAGCATATCCAGTTCGTCCACTTCTGGCAGGATCTTCAGCAGTCCTCTGAGTCTCTCCGCTCCGACATCTTCATGTTCGCCATTTCTGATGAGATTGATGATGTTCTCGTTAGAACTGCGGAATTGCTTGAGGAAGATGTTGACATTCAGGCTCCTCTTGCCATCCAGCAGGCTAATCTCTGAGTTCTCCTTCTTCTTCCGCTCGAGAGTGTCTGTCTTGTCGCGCCCCAATTTGGGTGACGCTTGAGGATTTGGTGTGCTTTGCTGGCAGAAGAGGTCTTCAATCTCCTCGAAGTCCAGAGTCTTGCTCTGATCCTTCGTGCTGTGCGCCGATGCCAACGAGGACCAGATATTGTGACGTCCCAGGATCCTGTTCGAAGGGATCTTGTTCCAGTTGATGGTCTTCATCTTGCTGCGCGGAATCGGTGTCTCCTGCTGCGGCAGGAGCTGCTGTGGCTCTGCCGGAGGTTCTGGTGTCTTGGGCTGCGGCGCTTGAGCCGCCTGAACGGGGGCTTTGAGGGCGGCAGCCATGGGCGGCGGCGGAGGAGGGATTCCCATGGGCTTCAGCTCAGCCATGGCGGGCGGGGGCGGCGGTGGAGGCAGGGCTGCGGGCGGCGGAGGAGGCGGAGGCGAGGGCAGAGCTCCTGGCACGATAGATTGCTTCCGCGGAGCACCGATGTCCGTTCGACAGTGCGGACAGACGATCTTCTGCACGCTGGGCGCGCGAAGGAGTCTCACGGAGTCCTCGTGGTTCTCCAGCAGTGTCGCCCGGTGGACGAGAGTCTCTGCCGTGTCCCAGATCAGATCACTGACAGCTTCCTTGGGGTCGATGCGCAGCAAGTGCTGCAGAATCGAGAGGAAGGGAATTCCCTGCGGTGTGTCAGAGACCTGGCGCAGGATGGCATAGAAGACATCCAGATGGGAGTTGAGATTAATCCCATCCGGATCTTGGAGGTTCTGCGCCTCGTCACTCTCGCGCTGCTCGTCAAAGACATCCAGCTGGACTTTGATGTCGGGCAGATTCTTCGCCAGTGGCCTGAGATTGTTCAGCACTGAGAGGAGATTCAGCCCTATGAACTCATTTCGGACTTTGATGCGCCTCTGCAGAGTCGGAGCCGAGATGATGAGGCAGTTTATGAAGGCGAGCAGGGCCATCTGGTATTCAGCCAGAGAGGAACTCTCCAGCTCACGGACGATGATCTTGAAGCGGTAGCGCTCCTTCTTGAGATTCTGCAATAGATTTTTCTGGTTGACAAAAAGCTCTGGTGGATTTGGGGGAAAAACCCATTTGCTCACCGTGAAGTGCTCGAGCGTTTCCAGGGCACGGTTGTAGCCCTCAGTGCTGTACGCACAGAGAGCTGATAAGAGTTCGAAGACTTGCTTCTTCACGGTGACATTGTCCGTGTCCAAGGCGCTGCCCAGCTTCTGCACATAGTCCTTGTTGTCCACAATATAGTCGAGTCCCGTGCGAGGATCCATCGTGATCGTTGTTTTCATCTCCTAGGAATGCCTGAGAACAGAGTGATCTTCAGCATGAGATCCTGATCGATGTGAAAATGCAACGAGATTCTGTTGATTTTCATGTGAACTCAATTAGAAATTGAGAACATTAGAAATATTGATGATCTCATTCAGATTCGAACGTGTTCTTCTCGAACACTCAACCTACCAAGAGTGGCGAAAGTGATGCAATTAAGTTCTCTGCTTAAAAGTAAGTATCTCCAGTGACATCACGATTGATCAAGAGTCGAATAATTGTGGCAAATTTGGCTGTAAATTGTGTTTAAATGAAATTCTAAGTCTGTCTAAAAAAACACACGGAAATCTTATGCGTAAGAATTGTAAAACAGACTTTTTTTGGTGGTTTCTGAACATTCGAGAAGTGGAATAATTGACTGGAATCAGTGGAATAAATAAATATAATTCAAAAATTCGACCAAAACAAGCTGAAATTGTGTTGTTCTGCGCATTCTCGAGAACATCATGAAGAATTTGAGAGTGAAAGAAGAGTTTTCCGAGTGGCAATCAATTGCTGTGTGGCACGTGAAAAGTGTCAATATTAGTTTGCCTTCCAAAAGAGACAATGAACTTGCGAGATTATTTGATGTTCTGGCGAATTATGCAAATTCATACTCACAATTGAATTGTTGAATTATTTTAAATTAGTGGACTTTTCTTCGACACTCTGTTATGCTAATTGACCCTCGAGACAGTCCAAGCCCAGTGGCAGTTAATCCCCCAAAAATGCTCTCAGAGATTCTAGACAAAGAATGAGTCTCTCTTATATTGATTGAGTCACGATTGAGATGTCGATTGGAAAACGGTTTTCGGAGAATCGTGGATGGGCGCTCAAGTGAGGGCTTCTTCTGCCGTGTGAAAAAGTTCGGTCATGAAGGATTTGGAGAGACCTTTACGCGGCTCCGCCAGAGAGATTAATTTTCACAAGTGCGCTGCTGCCGATCGTCCGAGAGTGCGAGTGAGAGAAAAAGGCAAAATTTAATCATAATTGGAACTGAGAGACTTAACATAAACCGTGAAAGCATTACCAATTTGGGTAATGTGAGGTCAACCGGCAGCTTTTTAAATTGCAAACAACTTGAAACGTTTGTCGCGCGATATTGAAAAATTTAATTATTTTATATTGTGGCCACAAGAGAGAAGCTATTCGGTGTCAATTTCGAGAGAGTCACACACAATCATTGATTTCGGCGGCCACAAAAACTCTACTACACGGGTTTTTACTGCTTTACGGCCGAAAGAGCGCCAGAACCATCAAACGATTATCTGAGGACGTACAATTTGTCTTCTTTTTTTTGTTATCTTATCGCTCGCTTCTCAATAGGCGAATTGGATTGTATATAGAAGAAAAACAACCTGCAAAGGTCTATAAAGCACTATTTCGCCTCTATTTACCCTCAATCCCCGAAATTAAGATGGGAACAATATTTGGCTAAGCTCTTAATCAGCTCCTTATCGTGTTTTTCCATTAACGCGCGCGCGTTCGTCATGCAAATTTGAGGAAAAACGGCATCGCAAGAGCAGAAATTGGAATATGAAAAAAGCCTTGAAAAATCCACGATTATGCCACATTTTCAGTGTCAAACACTTTTCAACAGTGCAAGAAAATGATGTGACATTGTGCTTTTTGCCTCTGTTTGGATCGAAAAGAGAGAAAAAGCACTCGATCGTTCTCAACAATGCGCGCCTTCTCGTCCTCAATTTTCATGTCAGTTGATTTATCTTCACTTTGAGTCACTAAAACATCGCACTTATCGTGCTCGCCTCGATGGATGGTTGGGTGGGAAAAATTTCCACGCGAGGAAAGGTTTTGTGCGGTTCACACCCATGAAAATTGGATCATTATTCATGCTAATTGTTCTAATTGGTCGCTAAGAGCCCGTGAAATGATTGCGGAAAGAAAATATGATGAGATTTGCTCGATCTCTTAACTTAAGAGTGCGATAAGATGAAATTAATATTCAAGAAGTTATCAACAAATGTAACTCAAAATGTAATCCATGCCAAACAAAGCCAGAAGAATGCCATCAATGGCAGACATGGAAAAAAAGAAAGCAATATTTTTCTCGATCGCTATCTTAATTTTGTAGAACATGAAAGTGTCCAAAGTGAAATAACTTGTCTCTCTGTCGAGAAAAATGAGAGAGTGGGTGGATCGCGACTAGAATTTACAGCTCATTTGTTTAGAGATCAAACAGTTTAATAAAGTATTTTATAATCTACTCGAGATGATCACGGCCAAAGCCAAAAACCGCACGAGATTGCACTCAAAAATCACCTCTTCTGGTTTGTTTACCCGAAACTCAATTGAGCGCAAGTGGCAAAAAGCTCAAGATCGCTTTTTTTGCCTGATGCCCGCATGCAAATTTCCCACCCACACGATCATTCTTGCGAATTTTGTGGCTCTTCTCTTTTGTGGTTTTGTCACCTGAAATGCTCTCAGGTAGACGCGCCAGGGAGGCAGAGAATCTCGTTGGCGCAAAGCTTTGTGCGCTTCGGTGAGTCGCGCGAATGTTTTTCTGCCTGAATAAATCACTAAAGACTTTAATGATCGAGGTGTGTGCGCCACCACATAAAGCAGGTGGAGTGAAATTATCGGATCCATTCACCTTGGAGTGTTCTGGATACCTGACATCCCATCTCGCGTCAGATTCAAAATCTCTGGATCATCTGCAGCCCCGGCGAGAGTCAATCAATATGTTTGCCAAGAGTGTCCAGAGATTTTTCATCGCGCATTTCATGGCGTTTAATTTCAATGCGCTGCTCCAAGTTCTCTCCATCGCGCGCATATTTTGTAATCGACGACGACAAGGTCACATTATTTACTCACTTCGAAAATTGTGTGTCTTTTGAGAGAGCACTTTTGTTGCCTGTGCCGAGATGCCTGTGTATAGATTATTAATGTAGAGAAGCAGTGGCGCAAATTACGGACACATGCAGCCACTAAACTGCCATTTATGCTGCCAATTTGACCAACGATTTGGTCACTTTATTATTATCATTTGCTAATTTGCAGAGAAGTTATAAAAGAGAACATATTCTGGTTGAGAAACAGAACTCATCTTTCGTGTGTCATCAAGATATTTGCAGTGGTCTTCTCAAAAGACACCCAGCGATCGTTAAGACAACAGTGATCTTGTGATTATGGTCAAAATTTGCCTAAAGTAAGTATTAAAGGAATTTCATGGAACAGTTTCGTGTTGATTCATGAGCTGATTGAGGAAAAGGAAAATAGAAGGGAATCAAATGAAAACCCTTGAAACAACAATTGTTGCTATATTTACAGTTTTATGTGAGTATTTTACTAATGTATCCGTAATAATTGACGCGCGTTTCTTCAAGAAAAGACTTGATGACGATTTTTCATAGCCTCGCACTCTCTCGCTCGCACGCAAATCCGGCCACGATCGCCGTGCCCAGATGTTTGTTTGATCGTGAGTTTTCACATGAAACTGGACACATTTTTCATCTCTGGCCACGCCGTGTGCAAGAGATCAGTGGAAATTTGTGACTCGGTCATGCACCAAATGCACACGATCGCGCCAAGAAGCCAGAATTTCGGTTTGCCATCGTCGCATTGCCATTGATTGATTTTCCGCTTCGAGGATCATCGGCACACAGCCTCCGAAGAGGTCCATTTGATGGTGTCTTCAAGTTGGGCGTCTCTCACGCCAGAACTCTGATGGTCTCTGGCTACGATTTCGGTTGCGCGCATGGCGTCGGAAAGGAGGAATGGAGAAGAGAAGCGGAGAAGCATTTAAATGGTGTTAAGTAAGTTTGAAAAATATATTGTGTGATTTTTTCTCCTCTACCAAATCTCAACTAAAGTGGCCGCGCGAGGGAACTTGCGAGGGAGAGTCAATTTCCGCTTCTGCGATCATTTTGACAATGGATGCGCGCACAGTTAGGAAGAAGCATTGTCTGATTGAATTAATTGAATACCAATGGCGTGTGTGTGTGGACAAAAAAAGAGAAACACCCGCAGGAAGTCACATAGAGATAAAACTGTATTTTCTTACCACGTCCGAACACTTGAAGATCACCCAAAAATCCACTGTCTCGCTGGCCAAATTGCTAATTTATGTGAAAAAGGCGCCAATGATGATCGAAAAAGTGAGAAAAAGCCTGTGGATGTCTCTTCCATGATCACTTGTGTGATCATGTGGGTGGAATTTTGTGACGATCTTGGGTGAATTTTTCGAGGGTCTCGCGCTCTCACTGGAGTCAACAAAATTCCTCAAGGCTTCGCAACCACACTTTTGACAATATCTTCGCGAATAGGAGATGGGAGAAAAAAACCGCGATCTCGGGGTTCTTTTGGCAGAAGAAGAAATTCTCAGGAATTATATCATCGGCGCACCAATCATGATCGGCCGAAGAGCCGAGAAACGCGGGGAGAGAGACAGAGAGGAGATCAGAAAATAGAGGAATGACAAAAACACACACTGGAAATACCAGATTTGTGGACAATATCCATAATTTTGTCCATTGAGCGATCTCGCGACTCGATCGTGTCTTTTTGTTAGGTGATCTTTTGGGCGCGCTCGCGAAATAGCCTCGTAATCCACTGTGTAATCCCCAAAATGATTGAAAACTCGCGAGATTTTTGCCGTTCAGGTGCGATCTTGCGATCATCACTGATCATCCCACTGACGAATTTCACTTTCAGCCTCTCAGGCAATTCGTAAGTGGGGCCAAAATGTGCAGTCACAAGAAATTACATCACACACTCTATGCCAAAGTGTGGCGTTCTGGGCAAGACACACTCACAGCATTAGGATTTTTTCCGTCCGCGCGACTCCGCTCATCTGTGTGGCTCTTGGAGGGAAATTACGTCAATTTGGGGCTACGGATGGCTGGCAACATTCTCCACATTGTGGTCCAAACTGCAGCTGAGAAATTCCACACACGCACACTCACTCACTGCTGCGGGAAGTCTGGGGATAATCACTTTCACGCCAATCTCACCCACAATCCACTCGCGATCGAGGCTCCAAGTCAACTGAATCGGTTGAGAAATCCCTCTGACCGTTTCTCGGGCCCGCCAGTGTCGACTCCGCGAGGTGGGAGAGAGGCGCGCGAGGCCTGGAAAAACTCCATTCACAGCCCACATCTCTTGTGAGCCAACGTCTCACTCGCGCCCATTTGTCCATCGCGCAAGAGAATTAACTTTAACATTTGCCTGCCTTTTTTTTCGCCTCGAGTGTCTCTCGCGCGAAACTCGCCTCGCCAGCCCATGCACGACCATTGTGAATCACCGCCGACCCGCGAATCCCCAGAGATGAGCCACACACGCTTAGGGAAGAGTCTCTTTAATTTCTCACACTGTACAGGAGTAGGGCGAGCGGCAGGAGGGCCGCCGCTCTGCTGGCGCTGGCGGAAGATGTCAGGAGTCCGGCTGCAAAGAGAGGCGCTGGCATTAGTCACTGCTCGCATCTGGCCGAGAGCGCGCTCAAGAAGTGGCTCAAAATTGGTATAATGGACTCGTGAGTGCACTGCGAGGAAACTCCAGCCAGCAATTTGGCGGTTTCCGATTTCTCTGCATTCACAGTGCTTGCAAGAGTTTTAGGATCATTGCATCGCGAGTTCTTGGGTGTAATTTCAGTATGATTACAAGAAAAAAACTACTTCGTGCGTTTGAATTTATGCAATTCTCCAAATTAATTTCGACTTGACTCCACAATTCTGCCCAGCACTGTTGGCATTTGGCATCCAATCTTCTCGAATTTCTCTCAGTGCAGTCTTAAAAGAAATATTTTCTCATAATATTTAGATTCTCTCTAATCGATACGGAGAGCCGTGTTATTAATTTCTCGGCATAAAAAGGCCTTAATTAGACAGCTCTTTCCAATAAACTTCCACATCGTGCGGTAGATTTATTTGTCCTGGGCGTGGTGGTAAAATTAATTTAGATCACTGATTACATATCACATCGATTAAGTTAATTGCTCAACAAATAATCAGCAATTTTGCGCTACTTTCCGATCAATGTGTGATCGCATTTTGAGCACTCTGAGCTGCAGAATCTACCTTTTGCGGCCTCTAGCAAAAGCAGAAGAGGCACTTGAGGAGTCGCCAGAAGGACTGTGGAGAGTGCGGAGTGGGATCGGGAGTGTCCGTACCTTTGCCTGCGTCGATGAGCAGCATCACGGTGTCCGTGCCGCTGCCCGGAATCGAGCACGAGTACGCGCCGTTGTCCTCCGTGTCGGACGCGATGAGCGTGAGTCTGCTCACGACCACGTGCGGCTTCCACTCTGTGTACACGCTCACGCCGCCGCGCGGGCTCTCGTGCTTCTCCACGGGCCGACCGTCCTTCAGCCACGTCACGCGGCCGCCCTCGGAGCCGTTCAGCCGGTGCACGGCGGAGCACTGGAAGGTCACCACGGAGCCCACTTTGACCACCTCCTCGCGCGGCCCCGCGATCTGCGTCGTGACGAAGGGCGTGTCCGCCATCGCCACCTCGGGCTCTGCAAAGGAGCGCGAAATCAGCGGGAAATTGACTTTTTCTCACCCTTCGCGCCACAGAGCAATAAAGCATTCGCTGTTCGCGCGCCTAAATAAATCCACCGCGATTAATTTACGCTGGTGAAAAGCGACGCTCCCAAAGCTGATTAATTAGCACCACGGACAGGTTTATTGGTAACATGGCAGAAGAATCTCGTAGCGCATTCTTCATGCGAAGATCACGGATTATTTCCGCTCATTAGAAAAAGCCCGTGGAGAATATTTATGCGGATCTCAATTGGGGGAAATTTCTGCCTGAAATAACATCGAAGTCGAGAGTGAGGCATTCATATTGAAATGATGGTTTTCTGCCAATTGAAATTGATGTATCAGTGATATTAATTGCAGAGGTTTCGAGTGATCGCAAGAATGCCAGTTTGGAACACGCAATTTGGGGAGGTTTTAGTATCTGGCAAAATTGCTTCCTCAACTTCTCAAAACAAACAATAATTTTGTGAAGATGCTAATTAAATATGCGGAGTTTTTATCGCTGTGGCGCGGTGGAAGATTCTTAGCAAAATAGGAAGGTTAAGAAGGGAATTTCACAGTTCTTTTGATCCCTCATTCCAATCATTCCCAAAGACTCTGTTCTATTTATAAAGTGAAGTTTATGAACAAGGCCAGGAATGGAAGCATTTGTTGAGTAGTTCATCACTTTCGGTCAGTGTTTATAAACTACGGGAGAGTAAATAAAGGAATTACCATTAAAATAAGTAGATTTGTTCTGAAAAACACTTGGAAAAACACTACTTTTCCAACTCTCCTCTTTGCTTCTCCCATAACTCTACTCACACTATCTTTGGGATTGGAAAAATCAAATGCTCAAGCACAAGAAGAACGCAAGAAAGCCATAGTTTTTGTGTGCTAAAAGACTATTTTAGTTATTTCAGTAACTTTTATCCATAAAACAGAATGAAAAAAAAACCAATTTGCAGTCGTTTTGTCGCATTTTCCACTCACCGGAACTCTCGATGACTTTCAGCTTCACGATGCTCTTCATCTTGGGCTCCGTGGACACTTGGCACTCGTACACGCCCTCGTCGCTTCGCTGCACGTTGCTGATCACGAGATTCCACACGTTCCTCGCCGGCGGCGGATCTTGGCGATCGATGCGCGGATTCGTGGTGAATTTGGTGTTGTTCATCAGCAGGATGCTGTAGTCCTTCATGCGCAGCCACGACACCGTCCTGTCGCCAGCATTGTGGATGATGCACGACAGTATCACAGTGTGACCCACGGCGGCCTCGACTTCGTGCGGAACCTCCCCAAACACCGGGCCCAGGCTCACGAGATTCGTCTCCTCGCTGAAGCGCACTGCAAGAGAGGCGCGCGCGCAAAAATGCCGAGGCGTTTTGTGTGAAATTATTATGTTTTCAATCGAGTTTCAAACAGGCGAAAAAGACGCGCGTGACTCACAACTGTCCCCAAAGAGTTCATGAATGAATTGGATGAAGAAAAAAAAACAACACACGAGCGAAATACTTGAGAAAAACCTCACATTTGCGTGTGTTTCATGTTCGATTTTCTTGAGTTTTGCTTGGCATCTTGTTATATTAGGAGGAAATTGCCTCGGCGATCGCATTTAATTACGCCAAGTCGGTGAATAGGTCGTAAAATGCCTCAAAAAGACATCTTCAATGGCAATTTCGCGTAAAATTGACCAGCTAGAAAGTTCCTCGATTTGTTCGGAATGTCGTAAAAGATTATTTAGGGAACAAATAACAAGTTGAATTTATGGAGTTTCCAGGACATTTTGCCAATTGCCAGAAAGATCACAATCTGGAGTGTAAAATGTAATTTTCTGCATCAGATTTTGGACATTTCTGGAAAGTCTCTACGCCACTGAGTAAATTTGACATCAAATCATATTTGGAGGAACCAGTTTTGGACAGAATTCTTAAAGCTGCCTCCACATTGGAAGTCAAAGAAACTATTTCTTTCTTCCCTAGAAAATGGCACTTTAATTAGCGAACTTCTCTGACCTTTTGCGCGAATTTCATTGATCTGCCCTTGAAGGACACTAAATTTATTGGTCCTTTTCTCTCTGTCCGTTGCTTCTCGTGCGTGGGCGTGCAAAAATGTTTGTAGGAAAAGAATGCTTTGAGAGAGCAGAAGACAAGGCCGCACAAATGTTATTTATGGCCATTCATCATCAAATTGCGTGGCGATTTTTAATTATCGCCCATTTTTGGGTTCGCATGACGCGTAATTTAAACGCACTTGATTGAGGCCAGTTGTGATCTATTTCGCGCACTTCCTGCAAATGAAGATGCTGAGGCATGGAAAAAAGTGTGTTTATGAGGACATTTCCGGATGATTTATTGGCACATTCGTCACATTTTATCACTTCTTCAGCCCATTCTCCGGCTCATTCGCACTTGTGACACACAATTTTGTTGCGCTCTTCGGCCGCAGCTCTTTACCTGATGCAGCTGTGACTATTTCCGTGGTTGAGTGCAAAAGCAGAAGCAGGACAACAGCGATTGTTTTCCTCATCTTCACGTGGGCTCTTCACGCGTTCGTCACACGGCAGTGAAGCAAGAACAGTTGGAAAGACTTTGAGACACTCTTTTTTCTCGTCACTGCACAGTTTTTCACATGATATTTTTGGGTGGAAAATGTCGTGCGTGTTTTTCCTTTTAGACAGCAAAATAAACCCACTTGAGATGGCGAAGGAGAAGAAAAAATCACTCCAATTCTCTGGCTTTCTGCTGAGGAAAAATCCCGTGAATTCGACCGGCCGTTCTTCACTGAGCAGAATTAGATATTCGACTGAAGTAGAAAATAGATTTCGCGCCTGTCCATACTTAAGTAATTGAGAATGTGTGAGGAATTTCCCGCCTTTTTCCACCTCACCACATACTATCCCATAACATGTGATTCCTCCGCGGATTGTTTATACAGTAGCATATCAACAACTTCTTCACAGATACACCAATTTTCACGGTATTTTACGACTTTTCACGCAATTCATTCTCCCTGGCTTCTTGTTAGTTTCCCAAACAGAGTCTCTCCTCCTCCTCCCCAATTTTCTCCCATTCCGCCCAAATGAGGCTCATTTGACCGACAAAGACATGCCTTTCCCATCAGGGAAACCTCACGGAATCTCGGGCCGGATTCGTCGCAACAGAGACAGAAATCTGTTAACTCTCCCTGTGAAAACTCTCCAAAGAAAAACACTTAAGTCTGCCTTTTAATTTATTATTATTATTATTATTTATTGTAAGTAAAATCGTGTAACAACTTTTTGTATAGTATACAATAGAAATTCTATCATGTTTTTTTTTCCATCCTTTTTCTCAATCATCTTAATCAACAAATTGTCAATAGTAAGAAGAATTAGCAAAGAGGGCGCCTAAATTACAAAGTTTCAACAATTTCCTTTTTATTATTTTCACTATTGCTCCATAATATCGACCAACGTCCTTTTGTCAGTCAATCTAACAGGGTTTCTTTGTCCTTTATGATAATTTTTTAGCTAGAGGGATTTTTTTCTTCTTCCTAAATTCCTGTTCAATTTCTTTTTCTTCTTGAAATGCAAAGAGAAGAGGTTTTTTTTTTGTCATCTTGTATTACGCCAAAGATAGTATAGTTTTTGTTTGTCACAAGTTTCCTTTTCTAACTATAGAATGATCATCAATTGAGAACGAGTTGAAACTTTTTGATCACTTTTCCAAGCTTTGAGGTTGGATTGATTTTTTCTTTCTTTCTTATTGTGGATTAGCTGGAAAATATAACCACAAATTGCAACTCATTTTCATTTTATACGATTGTAAATACTGTGTGTTTTCCTTTGTGTGTATGTTTTTCTTCCTTTTGTGTGATTTTCTCTCGTAGAATTTCATCATAGATAATATATTTTCATGTTAGCACATAACAGATTTGTGAAAATCTCTCCTTGTCAATTCTATAAAGTGAAAAATCTGCAGTTTTTTTTATATGGCAAAGTAAAGAAGAGTGAAAAAGATTCCCTTCAACAGGTCAGAGTAAAATAATATTTCAACAATTAAAATTCATTGCATTAGCCAGAATCTTCCGCTCAGCGGAAGTTCACCACAAATGGATTAGCTAAGAAAAATCTCTTCTGGAACCTAAGAATCATCGATGGAGCATCTCTAAAGCATTTTTTTACGATAGTTTCTATCTCACAAATTTCTTCACAGTCTCTCTCTAATCGCCAAGAATTTAGACATGCACATAATTAGACAAATAATAAGATGAACAGAAAAAAAACTCAATTTGAACTGACTTACAACAATTGTGCCTTCTTTCACACGCACGTCGGCGTCTTGTCCAGATTGAAGATGAAGTCTTTGCTCTTTGAGCACATCTCGCAAATCTTGCGACTCTCCGGATTCAGGTAAGTACAAAACCGGCAGCTCCACTCGCTCTGTGTCGCCTCCGCATGTCTCACCGTCTTCCGCTGCTGATCCTGAATCTGTCGGTTCTTCGTGTTCTCCTGCTGCATCTTCCGCCTCTCCAGCGACTCCACATTGTTGTTGTTCACCACCTTGTTGGTCGCCCTCTTCTGCGTGCTCTCCGTCTGGATGGCCTTCGTCACGGGCTCCATCTTCGTCACCTTCACCTTCTGCGCCACGGCCGGCACACTGGCCTGCCGCCGCTCCTCCTGCAGCGTGAGCGAGCCCAAGTCCAGGCCCTGCACCGTCAAGTCCCGCTCGCCCAGATCCTTGCTGTAGCCCTGCTTCTCCAGGTTCTGGAAAACATAGTCCCACGTCTCGAACGATCCCACGCCGTCGTGATTTTTGTGCCTCTCCGGATCGCTGCTGCTCATCTCCTCGGGCTCCACATTGTGCCGCGACGGCCTCACCGGCCGCACATTGTTCCTGGCATACAACTCACCCTCAGACGGCCGTGGCCGCACTTTCTGCGCCACCTTGACGCGCTGATAGTAGTCAGACAGCTCGCCGTTCGACATGCTAGTGGCATCGAAAGGCTGCTGCTGCTGCTGTTGCTGATAAGAGTCCCTGTAGTCGCCCAAATCAATTAAATTCTCACTCCTGTGCCCTGAGCCCTTGGGGCGCGCCTTCTCCCCGCAGAAATTGCATCCCTGATACTCCTGATAGCATCTGTGATCCTGCCCATAGCATCGCCCGTACGCGCTGCCGTTCATCGCCATTCCGTTCATGCCACCGTCGCACGGCTGGCTCAGGCCGGCCAGGGGAAATCCCCCGGGCAGCGGATACCGATTGCCCGCCGTGTTGTACGCACTGAAGGCGGCGCAGGTCGGAGGGAAGCCATCCACGCAGTCGTAATTGCCCACCGCGTCGTAATACCCTGGCGATCTGGCGTAGTCGTAGGCTTGCTGGTCCAGTGAGAAATGCCTGTGCTGCCGCATCTTCTCACTAGGATGATCCAGCGACTTGGAGTGCGGCATGTACACGCCCTGACCGGTCGGATAGGGGTAGTTGGGCACTGGGACCGGGTGCAGGGAGCACGGAGGTGGCGGAGGCGCGCAGTAACTGCTCACAGGCGGCGGCACGAGCTGATACTGCCTCGCTCCGCTGCACGAGTTGCAAGTGTTCGTCACGGGAACATTGTAGTAGTTCTCAGACTTCTCCTGGTGCGTCCTCTTCTCCTGCAGCGAATAGACCATCGAATTGATGACCTGTTCAGGTGTTCCTGCAGGGAAAACGGGGAAAATGTTATTATTGATTCTCCAAACAGTCTCTGGCAAGTGGCCAAGAAACTGTCTTGTTCAGTGACTCAAACTCAAAACACTTGTGTAACTACAAGGATTCAGGCGATATCATGACACAAACTCATGTTCTCCGCAATGATAAATTCCCAGCGGATAAATAAATAGTCAACTGGTTGAATTCTGCTCCGAAGTTTCAAGTCCTGCACTCTTGCATGGGATGCGCTGCTCGGCATCGATTTGAATCACTCGAATGCAATCAATCGAGTGGCTAAAAATAACCGATATACTTTTGATTCCGCCCACCCCTCGCGAATTATTCAACGAAAATCAATGCCCGCGCGAGCGTCTCGCGGCGCCCAAGGAGAGTCAGTGACACTTACCGGTGTGCATGCTCCGGAAGTTGTAGATGTCGATCCAGTTGCTGGACACCTGCATGGTCGTGAGTCCGGAGAAGATCTGCTTCAGGATCTGGCACTCCACGAACGCCGTGAGCGCGTCGCGCGACACATTCGTGACCTGATCGGGACAAATGGGGCCGTCCAGGACGAGTGTGCCGTTGGGCAGGATCTTGTAGCCCATGGCCTCGAAGATCTTCTCCGACTCCACGAGATTCGACTGGATCTCGTGGTGGTAGAAGCCCGAGTACATCTGAAATGGAGGCGAGCATTGTCAACACACTGATAATCGAGGCGATGATTCATGCGCTCGCCAACCTTGATGACACGGTACTCTTTTCGCCAGGGTTTTGTGAACAGATTGTTGGCGTACTGGCTGATGGACTCGAAGCCGATGGAGGCCTTGTAGGCCGAGGAGTCGTCCGCCTGCAGGATGGACTTCTGCAGCACGTACGCCGTGACGGGAAGCAGGAACTTGCGGGAGTGCGGCACGATGCAGAGGAAGTCCTTGAGGCACTCCTCCAGCTTGCGCCTCTCCTCGATCTTCTGCAGGCTCTCCTCCGTCTCCAGGTACGTCCAGTGCTGCTGCAGGATCTGCTGCCACAGCTCCGGAAGCAGGTTGCACGCCACCATCTCTGACATCTCTCGCACGCCTGTCACTCGCTACACCACCGGGAACGCCCTCGCCGCGGCAGATGCCGATCTAGAGGGTGAAGCAGGAGCAGAGGGAGTGCGTGAAAAAGTGGGTTCTTCCCCCAAAATCTATAAATAAGAAGGCCTCCTTTCTATAAAAAGACACCTTTCGGGATGGCCAAAGATGCTCGCTTTCTCGCCACTTGGCCGCGATGTTTCCACCAGCAACACCATCAACAGTGCTGGCCCACTGTCGCCCTCGGGATTGCCGCTGAAACCATGACGATGGGGGGTTTTATGGGGGTGAAATCACACAAAAATTAATACTTGCAAATTTCACGGAAAACAAATATTTTTCTCCAAATGTCAATGTCACCTGTCCAGAGGGCGCACGCAACAATCAAGGGGAGCGAATTGGATTCTCCTCAGCTGAGACACGCACCTGAATTTTGCGCGCCCAAAATTGTTCGCGGCGCCAAGTTTATGCAAAATTGCAAATATCTCACGATTCTCACCTTTTCTCCCGCTGAAATTCACTCATGGAGGGCATGAAGGAACTAAAGATCACGCAATAGTCGCCGAATGCATAATCTTGGTAATCAAAATCAACGAGGAAGCAGTGAAAAGCAAGTATTTACATAATTCTGCCCATTCTGCTTCACACCGACACGATTGAGTATTTCTCTGTGTGACTAACATTTGAGGAAAATGCCATGGAAAAACGCTCAAAATATCACCCACAATTAATCCAGTGAACACAATTAGTCATTCGTAAAATTCATTGTTTTTTTTTGCCTCAATCTCAAAATGTTATTCAAGCTGAAAAGTGTTTTCAAGCCCTTCTCAGAATCGTCTTAAGATCAGTGGATCGCCAGAGATATTGTCTTTTGAGTCTCGCGCCTCTGACGAGTGGTTCCTTTCATATGAAATTCGAAAGTGCATCCAAAACATGACTTCTTTGTTCAACTTTACGTGCCCAGTGGGAGTCTTTAGAGTGACAATTTCACGTACTTTTCACATGGCCAAAAAATCAAAGAGAAAAATAGAAATTTCTTCAACTGCTCAACAATTGCTGCTCTGTGGTCATATTGGCAATTTTGCCCGGCACAGAAGCATGCCTATTATAATCAAATTACTCGGGCAGAATTGGAGAGAAAAAGGCGCGCGACTCACTTAAGCGTGTGCGTGGCAATACAGACGAGTTTTCACCGAAAAAATCGAGCATGAACGTGCTGTTTGGGCGATGGTGGGAGGCTCTCCCTCCCAATCGCCGAACGGGAGAAAAGCGGGAGAGTGTCTTTCAGTCGGTCTCGAGTCAGACGCTTCTCGACTGTTTGCCACTCGAGACGTGAACCTCGTACTTTTTCCCTGAAATTCGCGCGAAACAGAGTGCGATCATCGAATCCCCGATCGAATTATAGCAAGTCCTTCGGTTGTGTGTCAAGTGCCGGAAAGAAAGGCGTGCAGATCCTGTTGTAGGGACTCCATCTCAGTTTTGCGCAGAGCAAGTGGTCAGTGAGTGAGGAGCACGGAGGAGAAAGTCATGGAAAAGGACCCCGAATCCATTGCAACAGTCCAAATGAAGCCAGAATACGCGGCCAGTGAAGTTTATAGCACCGCCTCTGAGGCACCGCCAGTGAGTAATTATGGCTAGATTGACTGTCATTTGCCATTTTCGCCCATTTCCTCTTCATCTCTGCGCCGCGCATGCAATTTTTGCCACAATCGCGCGGCATGATTGTTTATTTCTCTCCCTATAAAAGTTGCATAACCGTGAAATATTGCATCATAGACGCCGCGAGATGCGGTGAAAAAAGCGAGCCTCAAAACATGGCTGGTGTATTAGCAATTTTTGCTCAAAGTCGAAAATGTATTGAACGCGAAGGTAAAAAGCGCAATTTAATTATTGGCAGCGCGCGCGAACGCGATTGAATGGGAGCCGAAAGAGAGAGAGAGAGCTCATCTTCACGATCCACACCTTTTCCTTCAGCCTTCATGACCATCTTCGAGTCGCGAGATCTTTTTCTCGCGATTGCTTTCATATTATTCCGTTGTATAAGTAAAATGCATTCAACTTTCACTTTTTCTACATTATATCTTCGTCTATGTGCTGCGCACATATACTTTTTCTCTGCGCACATGAGTTAATGAAGCTTTGAGAAGTGGAAAGTTAGAAGAAATCGCAATGTCTCATTGAAAGTCTCTCTGGAAAGGGGATCTTTTAATATTTCTACATGGTTTAACAAATTGTTAAACCTCAATGATCGACAAGATATCCGACCATCAGCCATAAATTGGTCAATTCGAGAACATCAGTCGTGCATATTTCCAGCGCATTTCTATTCAACCGTAAAAAGACATTTCGATGGAAATTAAGTGGGTTTTTATCAAGAAACCGCACACATTTTCTCATCCTGAGATGATTCAGCTGCGACCACAAAACAGAGCAACCAAAACTTCCTTTCTGTTGCTCATGAGATGGAGGTTAAGTCTCAACCTTGTGCGCTAAGCTTTTCAAAGTGAGTGGCTTAAGATTTTTACCTGCACAGCTCTTGTGCCAAGTTATTATTTCCACTTCAACAGCTATTGTGCGACATTTTCAATCTATCTTACAACTTTATTATCAGTTGATGCAAGATATGTGTTGTTATTTAAAAATATGCCATAATAATAATATTTTACAGTCAATAAATTTTTTTTCTTTCCATTTCATGATTGAAATGTATTCTATGTAGAGTCATCTTCATTGGCATTAAGTAATAAATGATTTTGTTACCCAATTAAAGTATAAAAACATAAAATTTAGCTCTATGATTCGCTTTTTTTGAGATTTTTTCATGCCAAAATCACATCTTCATCGCGTGATTTAAACTTTCATTTATCGATTGAATCTTCAATGAAAGAATTGTTGAAAGATAAAGTGTTAAAATATGATGAATTTGATTAAATGTAATTAATTTTGTCCAGCACAATAATAAATTGTTTAAATCAGACTTGCTTGCTGAGCTCAAGAACTCAGAGGAATGATAGAAATCTCTCCAAAACCAGAGAACAAACTCGAACTCGTAAACACACATTGAAGCATTTCAAAACGCTTCTTTGGCATCTCAGCCGCAACTTCGTGATGAGGATGAATACGAGGATTATGCAATGCTGCTGGCATAGAGTGAATGCATGGCTCTCGAGTGCATCTGATTTCTCCCTGGATATTTTTCACTAATTGCGCCATCCGTCAATTTCGGAGATGCGCCGCAAATGTGCAAGACTTTGCTCCTCGGCGCGCGGTGGAAAGTTTGTGAGTTTCATTTTTTCTCCCATTTGTTGGCTCTTTTTTTCCATGTCTTCTCAACCTCTTGCCACGGAGGCGAGAAAACAATTCAACAATCAAATGTATTCAGTCATTGTTTTCGACATTTTTTTTGCCGAGTGCGCGCGCCTCTTGCAAATGATAATGGACGCTCGCGCGAGGAAAGAGTGCCAAACTCAATAGTTTTTCGCGAGGCTTAATTAGTCAGGAGGCTCGCGATGGTAGAAAATAATGCATACTGGCAGTGAGAAAATGAGTCAGAAAGAGTGGGAACAATATTTATCCAACATTTCCGATATCAATGGTAATTTCCTTCTTCCTGTTTTTACATAAATTATCGCACTTGCGCGCGCGCACAACTTTGATGAGCGCGAAGAATCCATGAAATATAAAAGAGGAGCGCTCAAGTTTTGCCAACATTATGCAATGCCGCAACTCATTTGCATACTTTGCACTCTTGTGGGAAAATGCGCTTTTTGCCCAAGGTGGCGAGGGAAAAACCTGAGGCGAAATAGGGAAATTTATTAGAAGGGCAGAATGGTAAATCCGCTAGAAGACATCAATTGGAGTGAGGAAACGAACTCGACCCGAATTTCTCGGGAGAGGCGCTTTTGTATGCAAATTCACGTCTCTGAAAATCTCTCTTATATTCAAGCAATGTTTATTTTGTACAATGACTCATTGCTCTCTGGCTCTTTTCGCCCAAAAAAGCCAAAGACTTCAACATTGCATGTCGCTTTGGAGAGCGCTTTTGGGAGCGAGGCGAGTGCAACTACCTTCAGAGAGCCACCACTGAAGGAACCTTCTTTTCTGGCCACTCGACCATTAAAAACACAGCAGATAAAGAAGCTGACATTGTGGGGGGGAAAGCACAATGATAAGTTCATTAGCATCCATTAGAACTGCGAGTGAATTGGTACATTTTTTTGTTAGACAGTCACAAGCCGAAGAGATCTCGTTAATTTCGCTCCAAGGTGAATTTTGTGCGCGATGATGAAAACAATTTTGTCGTTTTATGCCTCCTTGGGAGAAAATTAACACGACAAGAGAGAACCACTCAAACGAACAGAGGAGGAGAAAAAAACGTGGCATTACTAGAAAACAAGTTTTCCATCGGCCACGAAATTTTCATTTGTCGTGCCGCGCAAGATTTTAGCATACAAACGCTGATGATGCACTATTGACGTGATCGTAAACGTTTAAAGAGATGGCGGAGAACATTTTCGAAAATGAGGCAACAAAATTACGGATGTTCATCGCGTTTTTTATCACCTCTTTCGCATTAATCTTTCTCTGCAAATCGACTCTTTTTTCTGTTCACCACAACTGCGAATGTGTGCTGTGAAAGAGAGTTTATGTGACGGATTTTGCCATTGGACATTTCCATGTTGGCGCTGCTTTTTTCTATGTTCAACAACCTTTTTTTTTCTCTGTTAGCACGTGATTTAAAGCAGAGGGTGTCACTGACTTTCTTTCTCTCTGTTGCGGATTTTCGCTGCGCAGAACTTCAACAAACAGCGGAAATTTCATTAAGCATGAATATTTTTTTTAATTGACAAGAATTCCAGTAGCGTTAAAAAACAAGTCTATCTCAGCGTCAAATTGGCGTAAAATAAGATGTTAAAAGGCACAATTTAAAGCAGTTCTTTTCTTTAATTCTCTGGGAAATAAAAATATAGAATTTCTAAATTTAATTTTGAAATTATAGTGCAAGAAAGACATTCAAAAGGCGTTTTGCTGATCACAATCTGAAGCTCTAAGAAGCGAATCGCAGTTGGTGAAAGATTAACACTGGTATTTCTGGTAAATTCTCAAGTAATTTCTTCATTTATTACAAGTCAATTCGCCCTCATTGTGTGCAAGAGCGTACCTGAATTTGAATGACTTGTTTGACATGTGTCAATGACGTGGGCGTGTCTAATTGATCACAGTGTGATTTGCTCATCGACAGATATTTTCACCTTCACAACTTTTCCCCCTAAAAACTCCAACGAGTATTAGAATTAGCACAATTACAGTGCTTGTTCTTAAATCTCTGGCAAAAACACGTTAAATGCATTCGTCAACAGTGATTGGACTTCCCCACTTTCTGGAGGTCATCACGAAAATGCCAACAAAGTGAGCACTTAAGTCTGGAATTTGGGGGTAATTTTCCATTTCCTCCATTGCGGAAAATCATCCTCTCGTGATCACCCTGCAGAAAGATCAGCCATATTTGCCGTGCTATCTGTTGGCTGTACATACAAAACAATCCATTCTAATTTGACCTCGTTTTTTGAGAGTGTACCTCAGTTGGAAATTCATTCGTTTTGTTATTCACACACAGTCGCAGAGCTGCAGATAATTTCTACACACGATATTATAATGTCTCTCTGCGCTTCCACACACAAAAAAAAATGTTGGCCAGAATGTTGGGAAATTCTCAATGGAGAATTCATCAAGACAAACCGTTCTTTCGCCCATTCTGCCATCGCGTCGCGAAGATGTGCATTGAGAAGAAGATATATCTGCATAGATAGATGTAGGAAAAAGGGTCAGTGAAGCAATCACACACACGCACAGCACTCGATTCCGGAAAAAAAAGTCTATCTATCTCACATGATTTTCTCTCAAACCACGCAAAATACAAGTTCCGAATGGAGGTGAAAAGAAAATCCATAATGTGTGGCGACGATGCGCTGTGGTGAAAAAGGAGAGCAATAAATTGAAAGAAAATTAATAACACGAGTGAGAGTAAAAATAGAGTTGAGAAAATTTAATGATAGAGTGCAGCGGAAAGGCGTTGGATTGGCGGTGAATAGAAAGTACAGCGCAGCTTAAGCAAAAATCCTCTCTCTCTCTGTTTTGCAGGCATACAAAATGCGCCAGTCCAGCTCTGTTCAAATTGCAAAAATTATTGCAATGACGGTAATTGCATCGTCTTTCATCATCGGATTCTTCGTGCTGGCCTCCGCTTACCTGCAAGCGAAGGCTTCGTGTGACCAAATGCAGACGCTGGACGCCGTGCTGGAGAAGGAGCTCATGCTGGAGACCCTCCAAGTGAGTATATTGGCAATTAGTCCTCCGTAATCCGGCAAAATTGGGTGATTTTGCTACTTGCCAGTAATTATGGCAATTCACTTCACGAGTATTTCATGCCATTCCTAATCGATTTTTCGGCTTTTTCTCCCTCTCGAAATTCCAAGTAAATCCCACTGAATAAACTTATCCGCAATTGCTGGTGTTTCTCAGAATCCTCTGAGCAATGTCACCAAATATTGCGACTAATATTATTTCTAAGAGATTTTGCTTATTGAATCAGGTGTCAGTAAATGGAGAACAATAAGAGGCAAACAGGGGCGGAATGAATTAAACTGCACTATTCTTTGCCTACATCTGAAGCTTGCAGAATTTTTGCTTTCAATTAGCACACATTACGTCAGGAAATATTTTCAGTAACTGTGAATAATATAGAATAAAGTTTAAGGCGTTTTCTGACAAAGAATTTCAGCTATATTTGAGCAATTTTATTGCCTTTCTTCTTAACTCTCAGTTAAGGAGATCAAATCAAGCGAGCGCAGATTGATCAAGGAATTTTGAAAGCTCTCTTGAGTGTTGAAATAAATGACTAAAAAATGAAGAGTTATAGTTAGATTTTTATTTACTTCCATGTCATTTTGTGCTCATATTTTCCCAGAATTCTTAAAATTTTTGTCCGAGTTAAATATTTGATTGTAGTTTTTTTTTCCTGGGCAAATGAATTCCCATTTACTACACTCGAGATCACTTTGAATGAAAGCGAAACTGTCGGGAATACCTTAAAAAAATCATATTTCAATCCTAAATGATTACACTCTGGGTATATAATGTATTTGAAATGATGGTTATTTAAGCGATGAGAGAATGATTGTTTTCCACGTTTTTTTCACGATTTTTTTTGCTCCGTTCTATCTCAGTCTTTTTCTCCACTCGCTTATGTGTGTGGATGTTTGCAATTTCGAGAGGTTGTTGAGGTCACGATGACCTTTCGGATGGAAATCCAGCACGTTCAATGTGGGGAGAATCGGCAAAAAATTCACACACAAGTCCGGTAATAAATTTGAGAAAGATCACAACACAACATGAGAGATTCTTCCTGCAACGCGCGAATAGCGCTAGACCAGAATCATTTCAGCGAGATGCTAAATACATGAGATGTTATCTAAATAAGCCAGTAAGAGCTGGTCAATCGCCGTGACGATTTTACTGCGGCTTTGCTGGAGTTTTTCCATCTAAGCCACAAACTGTTGACTCTCGCGATGTGTAATTTTCTGATTATTCAATGTATATTTTCACAAAAGCCACGGAGTTTTTTCTCTCTCTCTCTCGTCAATTCTCCCCAACATTCACGCAAATTGTGAGATCGTGAGAGATGCTTACGAGGCACAAAACTTGATAATTTCACAGTACATACATGAATTTAATTACAGAGAGTGGCTAAATTAAATTGTGCCCCTTCACAGTAATTAATTACTGCGCATCTTTGCAATTTTCTCTGCACATTTTTAAGATGAACTGTGCAGAGAAGAATCCCGCGAAAATTTGTCATGTTGCGCAGATAAACAGAGACAGATTAAATAATTCATGATAAAAGCAAACTTCCAGTGCGAAGTGCATGTCAAATTGAAAAAAAATAAATGTTTTATGTATTTGCCTCACTTGATATTGCTCGTGATTTCGCATGAGTGCCTCACGAGAAGAGTTATTAACCGTGTTTACTAATATTCCTCTTAGTTCACTCAAAACACTTATTTCATAACCACTTGATAAAAACAAATAGACGGTTAAGTAAGCTGACAAATTCCACTCAATTCCGCAGGATCTGCCGAAAGCAGAGGCTCTGCAGGCTCAGTCGTCCACCTACAAGGAGAACAGCCTGCAAAATGACGAAAAGTATTCATCACCCAATGGAAAAGACGATCCCGACGCTGAGTCCATTCCCGCCAGCTCTTCAGACTCCGACAGTGAATCCGAGAGCAACGAGAACGGCGACGTGAATCGTCTGCAGATAAGACTGCCCCTCGAATTTGACCTCAATGACCTCACGAACGCCCTCCTGGAAGGCAACCAGAAGTGAGTGCGTTTGCGCGCGTCAATTTGAATACCTTCTTCACACCCTAAATTTGCAGATCTCGCATGAATTGCGTGGTCGAGCGTCGTCGTTCTGAGGAGTTTGTCGATTCACCGGCCAAGACAATGCAGTTGCCGTTCGGACTGAACATCTCCAGCGATCCCAAGAAGCAGAGAATCACCGGCGAGAGAATGGCCATCTTTTGCGAAAGTGGATCAAGTCAAGTGTGAGTACAAAACGTCCGCCCACGATTCTCAAATCCATTGACAAAGATATTGACGACAAGCTCGACTGTATTTTTTACGGCAAAAACGTGCCATTTGTGAAGTTATTAAATGTCCGTCATCCAATTGAAATTTATTGCGAAACTGTGCAAAATAGAATTTACCTCGCTGTCTCTCAACAACTTCCTATAATTACAATGATTGTGAAGAATTCCTTGACTCTTTTCGTGCTCATATATGCATATTTTTTGCGTTTTAGTGGCACTCATCGTCCAATTAATTGAAGTTTGTTGTGGTTTTTCGTGGTTCTGACGCCCATTCTTGCGATTCTTCCGTGATTTTCACACACAATTGGCGCCGCCGCTGAGCTTCTCAAGAACGAAAGTCTTTTCTCTTTTTTCCCTCCCCAAACAATACACTTCTTTCACCATTGCTTCGGCACACAATCTCACATTGAAATTCAATTATATTTGCAATTAAGCATCGCGTAAAGAACTGCAGACACGCCACTTGCGTGCCCATTGTAGCTTACCGGCGCGCATTTCTGTGGAATTTTCAATGAAAGTCATTCGCACACATTTCTTTCAATTTCATCCCGCATGCCAAGAAGAGGATGGGAATCGTGTTGACCGCGGCGAGTTATCTTATCAACTCTGCTCTCCGGCTTTGAGCGACTTTCAACAACAACAAAAAAAATATTCAAGGAGATCTGAATATTGGTTTGCCATTTAAACTGTGCCAAAAGTGAATCCAGTCTTCTCAAGCGTGTGATACAAAAGATTTCATCAATATATTTGCCATAAATTCCAAAAGAGACGCGCGCGCGACATGGAAAAGAGGAAATTTTGCAAGATGCCAATTGTGAAATTGTGACAAAAGTGATCGAGAAATGTGGTGGAAATCGCCACAAAACTATATTACAAAATTTCACACATCATTTGATGGAATTGAAGGGTTAAATAATATTGTCTCACAATGTGAAAGGTGTGAAAGTTTCCTCAAATGAAGTGCCAAAGACATTTCCGTTTGTTAAATTTTTGTGCGCAGTCATAGAATTAAATGAACATTACATTTCGGCACCTTGACGAATTTCCCTTTGGGAATCATATTAAAATAATACTTGTGAATCGAGGTTCCTTGGCATTTCTTGTGCTTATCAGAGCCATTATCTTCGCAGGAATGAGGAATCCGAGCCCGTGCGCCAGGTCGTGATGCCCATCCACGCCATTCCGCTCAACTTCGACCATCAGGTGCCCATGAATCAGCCTCCGCCGCCACCGCCGCAGATGCACCAAATGCCTCCGCAGTCCATGATGCGTCAGATGCCACCGCCGCCGCCCTCAGCCGCCCAGAGCGCCCCTCTGCCCATCCAGATCATGCAGGCCCCACGCCCATACCAGCCCGAGGTGCGCATCCAGCTGCAGCGCGTCCAGATCCCGCGCGAACTGCTCGGCGAGGGTGGCCAGGAGCAGCAGGTGCAGATCCAGCGCGTGCCGCTTGACGTGGCGCTCCACCGCGCCGGCATCACGGCTGAGGATCTGCAGAACATCCAGCGCATGGCCGAGGAGCGCATCCAGCAGGAGCTGAAGGAGATGTCCAACGCCGACGAGGATGACGACAGCGACGAGAGCTCGGAGGAGGACGACTCCAAGATGGTGCAGATGCAGCAGTTGCCCGTGCCCGCCCAGTTCCTCCAGATGGGACGCGTCGGCTACGGCCGGAGCCTCCTGCAGCCCGTGAAGATCCCCGTGCCCATGATGCAGCCGCAGGAGAACCAGGAGCAGCCGCAGCAGGAGGAGCAGCGACCACACTGTGAGTAAACCACAGCTTCCCAATGAAGAAGCCCGCAAACTGACCAAGCAAATCCCTCCTTTGCAGTCGTGCAACCTCGATCCGTTCGCTCGGTGGACAGCGTGCTGCACCGCGAGAAGCGCGTGAAGCGCTGCGCGTGCGACTGCAACTGCTAAGGCGAGTCACGGCGGAGCATCGATCGCAAGAAATGTGGGAGAAACAGTGATCAAGCAACTACAAAATGTCCCCCCAAAAAACGACACAATCAATTTATACGCAAAAAACTCTCCAAACACACACACAAAATTACACAAAACATTTGGAGTGGAAAGGAACAAGAAACCACCGCAAAAAAAAAGATCCCCGAAAGCCTGCAATTATTTTTGTGAGACAATATTTTCCTTGACAAAAAATAGTTTTGTTTTCATTATTTTTCTCACTCTCACGTATTTTTTGTGGCGTGGTAGCAACAATAACTTCGTAGTTGGAAGAAAAACAGAAAATAATGTAATTTTAAGTATATCTTCACGATTTACCGACACAATTATGTTTTATATATTTTTTTTCTATGACTCATTTGGCGCATGGAGCAAAAAAAAAGAAGAAAAAGATTCAACAATTTATTATTGCTTCACTTTTGTGTATTTTTTTTCATGTCTTTCGCGATGGAGAAATGTGTGCCAAAAGCTAAATTTGAAGACAAAACAACATGAATATATTAAAAAAGATCGTTTTCTCATTTGTGAATATTTTTTTTCGTATTTGTAATCTCTCTTTGCTCTAATCAACTTTGAAAGTAAAAATGAAAATATATGTGATCAAACCTGTAATTTACAAGACAAAGTGCGACGATCGTCCGAAGTGAGGATCTCAAACAGAAAAAAAAGCATTGTAATATTTTTTGGGCCCAATAAAAATATTAGAAGTGAAACCACAGTGTCTTTTCTCTACCAATTCTTACAAAATTTTTCATATATTTCACGTCTCTTCATGGCCGTTGGGTATAAAAAGGTCTTACAATCTACTTTGGACGGAGTTTCTGTTGATACACAACTCTGTGTGGACAAGGCAAAATGTGTGCTGGCACAGCGAGAAAAATCCACCCAACAATATTCGGTATTGTTGTGAGAAAGTCGCTGCGGACAATATATCATTTGTGAACTCGCGCGACCTTGATTGTGAGAACAATCCGGTGAGAAAAAAATAAACAGATCGCAATCTTTGCCACGAAAAATTCACGGCAAAAACCGCATTGGTCAGAAATTTAATTGAATTATATTTTATTCATTGTGCGCGGCCAAATGAGAAATTCTTCGGATCAAAGTGAATTTTCAACGCCTCACCCAAAATGCATTAGTGCGCGCGAGCATTTCACTTTGATTTCACACCAATTTCCCTGACGTAATATCCGCAAAACGGAGTTGAGATTCAGTGATTTTCAAATGGTTGAGATTTGTCTATGAAATTGCCATTTCTTATTCTACATCTTCACCTTTTCTTGCGCCGCACAGCGACACAAACCGAGAAATTTCACGGAGAAAGCCTTTCTTCACACGATCATACGCGCTGATCACTTAGCCCAGAGTGTGATCTTCTGTGTGAGATTTCTCAAAAGAGATCATCTCAAGTCAATCAGTGCTTTTCACAAAAATTACCCAAGAAATTGCCTCAAATTTATGATCTTTCTGCTGATCCGCAGCAGCTCACCGAAAAAGATTAATGGCTAATTGCAACATGTTTCTCTCTCTCTTTCTCAGATGCTGTAAATACATTTAATATACATCATTTGCATAAGACTTCTTTGCATGATAGATTTTCGGATGCTTTCATATTCGCCATGATCTTTTAGTGATCGTGTGATTTGCTCAAAAAAAAGTTTCTCTGCAAATTTCGCACGCAACAACGCTGTGATCGCGGCATTTTGATAACCAATTGACTCTTTAATTGTTCTTGAGTGATCACCAAATTGACCACTCGTCATTTTGTAAGCGCGCTTCTTCGCGACTTTCGCTCAAAGACGCAATTTTTCATGCACTTTTTTCCCATGATTCTCAGACTAGGATCGAGAAAAAAGCGATTCATAGATGATATTTGCGATATTTGTGATGTTAAACAGGTCAAAAACTTCATTGTTTTCTTTCATTACCTCTTGAAGATATGAATAATTCAACAAAATTGCCAAAGTGCCTCTTCAGCAAGCGTACAAGCAATGTCTTGTACCGCTGTGGAAGGGCATATTTATAAAGAAAGTGAAAAGAAAAACAAATATGTGGGAGGAGGAGAAATTTCTTCATCTCCGAGTCAATCTCTCGAGGTGCTAATTTAGTGCGCGATATGAAAGTTTTTTTTTTCCCCTCTCAGAGAGTTTCTAATGGCAGGCAATTCAAGAATTATCTCAACATCAGTCAGAAGAGCATGAAAGCCCAGATAAAAGGTGGTCAAATGGTGGAAATTTCACTGACGCCAGAGCTCACATTTTCCCGCCTCAGCAGAGCCACGCGGACGGAATTTCGATGAGAATATCTAGGCATTGAATCTACACCAGCAAGGCGAGACAGATTGCGCCGATGGCGACAAAGACGTGGGACGATCTCAAGGAGCTGGCGAAGTTGCAGCCGTCCGTGGAGCAGGTGAAGATGCACGATCTGTACTCCATTCTGTCGCCCACGTTCTGCACGTAGTTGCAGTAGTTGCCCAGATCCTTGGACGAGCAGAAGCGCTTGGCACCGATTCCACCTGCGAATTAGGCCCACACTTGAGTCCTCAACACTCCCGGATGGCGAGCGGAAGAGATTTGACAAGCTACAGAAGCGTTAGTAAAGAGCATTAACCGTAAAGAGCGGTGGATTTGACGCAGAACTGAGCGTCGATTACGGAGTCGCAAGGCTCAGGCTTGATGGGCGAGTCTGGCATGTTTATGAGCAGGTCAGAGCAGTCCATCGTCTCTCCGGAATTGCACTGATAGCAGGAAATGCTCCCGCCTGTGTTAGTAACAGACACCGAAGACAATAGGTTAGAGAAGTAGTAACAAAGCAGCTTCTAAGAGGAATTCTACAAGAGTTTGCAAAGATCTGGAGGAAAGATTAGATCTCTGCTCAGGAAAGACCTCTAAACACCTCTAATCCCGCACTATTTGTCTAATATCCTAGAGAGCCAAGGCTAAATGAGATGCTTCGGCAGCCCGAAGGCCGCAGGATTAGTCCATGAGTGGGTTAGTGGCGACTGCGATACTCCCGGAACCTTCTCCTTCGCTCTACCTTCGAATCTGCCGATGTGCTTCACGCAGTACTGCGCCCCGTGCACGTCCGAGCAGTCCTGCGGCTCGATATCGGGCGTGTCGTAGCGCTCAAAGAGCTCCCCGCACTGGAAGGGCGACGAGGTGTCTGTGGCATTGCACACATAGCACCGGATGCTGGAAACTGCGCCCGGGAATCAGATCAATTTAGAGGCGCTCCTCAGACAGGCGCTGCTGGGAGAGAACACCGCCCCAAGAGAGACACTTACCTGTTCGGAAGGCCGCCAGGAAGGTGAGGAAGTACACCAGGAGATTCATCTCGGCACTTTTAGTGGTGACTTCCGCGGGGAAAGCGTGGAAAACAGGGACAATTTCCGCAGTCAAAACACACCCAAAACAATATATGAATCACCACGACGACAGCTGCTTGACATGTCTGCAAGTGGCGCCGCCTTGGGAACAGTTTCTGGGAACAGAAATCAGCGCGCGAAAACTGTCTCGAGAATTGTCGGGATTCTGCGAGATTGTGGAGGGAAAATGCATGATTTCTGCGTAGAATTTCACAATTGATTAATTTGACAGTGTCCCTCAGAAAATATCAACTGTTTGTGGTGCATGGATTCAGACTTCTCCGAAATTGGCGTGCCCGGTGCTCTTGGCGTGCGCCTGAGCCTCCACCTGGCCAACTAGGTGGCAATCGCACACCAGGCAGCGCAACGTGAAGCGGTTCACGTCGGTGAATTGCTTGGACGCTTGGGCTTCCTTGGCCAACTGCTCAGCTTGCTGATAGATGCTTTCCGCCTCGATGGGGAAGATTGTCCGCGGAACGCCGCCCTGAAACCACGTCAGAAACGTCAAATACAGCTTGTTCAGCAGAGTTTCGCATGCGTTCAGACTCACGGTAAGGGATTCTAGGTACAGAGGATCATAGTGAATGCCGTCGAAGAGGAGGAAAATACGCTGCCCGTAGTTTTTGTCCTCGCCGAAGCGGTTGATGATGGCATTTGTGATGTCAACAACAGCGATTTCCAGGCCGTAGAAGCTCGACAGGATGGACACTTCGATGGCGCCACCCCAGGAGTCGTCTCTGAGGATCCAGGCGCAGTACTCCCGATTGGGGCGTCCCAGAAATGCCTCGTTGAACGTCTCCGAGTCCGCGGCAACGTGTTCGGCGATGATTTGGCGCATCAGCACGCCACAGTCCGTGTTCACGGCCCCGTTCAGCGCGTATCCGATGCTCGTGAATAGGCACGAGTTGTCCGCCGGCACCACCTGCTTCAGCAGCAGCCCCGCGAACTCGTCCTCCGCCACTGCAGCCGACTGCGCGGCCAGGAGAGCGTCTTCGCGCCTCTCCGGTGCTGGCGTTTCCACCGCCACTTCCTCCACGATCAGCGTGTCGCCGTTCACGATCCCGCTGGCCGAGATCGAGTCCTCCGAGCCCGCCATGCTGAGCTTCCGCGGCGGGAAGCCCACCAGGATGTGCATGGACTCCGGAGGGAGTTTCGTGAATGCCACGATCTGCGATTTGAGCTGCGAGAGCGTCAGCGAGGGCGACACATCCCGCATGATGTGTTGACCAGTCTTTGTCTTCACTTTGAGTGAGAATCCCATTGTTCCTTCTGGCTAGATCGGGCAGATTTCTCTAGGAGTTTTTGGCCAGAACTTTGTTTTGGTTTTGCCACCTTGAAAAACGTCACGCAACTGTCACGAATTAGAGTTTGAAAGTTTGCGTGAAAATTTCATAACTCAGATCGAATCGTGAGTACATGCGGTTTCCGGACGCTTCTCCTTGGAAGTCACCCACAAAGATCACCAGAATCTGCTGAAAATTTATTTTCCGACTCCAAGCTGTTTTCACAACTTTAATTTTTCACAGAAAAATTATGTCTGAAATTTCGTTGCAATTTCAAATCATCATTTGGCGCTCGCGGCGAAAAGCTGGCGAAGTGAAAGTTTACCTGGTGAATTGCCACGAGTGGCGCTGCAGTCGCGACGATTTTTCAGTGCGAGAGAGATTTTCTTTGCAAGTTTATCGTGTGTGAAAATTGCTCAAAGTTCCCATGAATACCTGACAAAATCCGCCAAATCTCAGTGCATCGGGAAGACAGACGGCCAGCGCAGCCATGAACAAGTTCACGAGCGGGAGTTACAGCTTCAGCTCCGCTTTCGACTCGGGAAACTTGGGGAAGGTGGTGCTGGTGAGGGCGCCCGAGGAAAATGGTGAGGAAAACAAAGGCTGGGCTGTTTGTCTGGCGGCTGACCAGTGTTTGCTTGCAGAGCCTCCGCCCCCGGACGGCGTCACGGCGTCGGCGGAGTTCAATCTGTGGACGTGCCCGGACTGCGGAGGCACGCAGTACGAGAACTCCAACAGGACGTGGTTCTTCTTCAGCGTCCGCGGCGGGCGGCCGCTGGACGTGGCGAAGTTCAACGTGATGAATCTCAACCGTCAGGCGAAGCTGTACAGCCAGGGCATGCATCCCGTGGTGAAGGTGGGCGCCAACGGCAAGTGGGAGAGGATCAAGGACAAGCCCAGCTACACGGTGGAGGACGAGAACTTCATCGTCTCCTTCCTGCACCGTGGCGGCGAGGACAGCGAGCAGGACTTCTTCTACGCCTTCACGTATCCGTACACGTACACAGAGCTGCAGAACTACCTCACGCGCCTGGACAGGCGCTTCCGGAAGAGGCAGTTCGAGCTGAAGGTGCGTCAGTTGGAGGGCGCGGCGGGCAGCAGCAAGGCGGAGGACGTGGCGGTGGCGAAGCGGCTGAAGGACCTGGAGAATGCGTGTGCCTCGCCAGACGTCGATCCGCTGCAGCTGAACGAGGAGGACTTCAAGTCCGAGATCTACTTCCACCGCGAGCTGCTGACCTATTCGGTGGAGAAGCGCCGCGTGGACCTCATCACCATCTCCTCCTATCACGGCATCTGTGACGAGCGCGAGCAGCGGCTGGAGAATCTCTTCCCGGAGAAGACGCGCCATCGCTGCCACACGTTCCGCGGCAAGAGGATCATCTTCGTGTCCTCGCGCGTGCATCCGGGCGAGACGCCGGCCAGCTTCGTGCTGAATGGCTTCCTCGCGCTGCTGCTGGACCGCAAGAGCTCCATCGCGGCCACACTGAGACGCCTGTACGTGTTCAAAATCGTGCCATTTCTCAATCCCGACGGCGTCTTCAACGGCCTCTATCGCTCAGACACGCTCGGCCACAATCTCAACAGGGTCTATCTCAGTCCCAGCCCTGAAACCCACCCGAGCATCTACGCCGTGCGGAAGCTGATCAGGTGAGTCCACGGTCACTCGCGCTCAAGAGCACCCACTGACCCACAATCTCTGCAGATTCTACCACTTTGGCTGCGACAAGGCGGAGTGCGAGGAGCCAGAAATAGCGGCCACGACTGAGAAGAATGCCGGCGGCAATTCCGACACTGTCACATCACACGAGCCCTCGCCAGAGGCATCCGAGCGAGGTGAGCTATTCCTCCTGGCATTTACTCTACATGGACTTTTGCCATGTGTGGCGAAGATCCGATCGGGCGCTATTTCGGGCGCCGCGGCCAAAATAGATCGCCAATGCCAAGGGCGTAGGGAAATTATACGTTTCAATGAGATTTTTTTTAGAAAATGAATTAGTTAAACAACATTCTAACGATTCTAACACACATTTTCATATAGTTCAAGACATTGTGCTGCTGAAAATGTGTTTAGAATCGAGGAAATGGCTCAAATCTCACCTACGCCCATGCCAATGACGGCGCACTTCGAGCTGAGAAGCCAAGAGTGCATTTTCTTATGCAAGACGATCTGTGAATGCTATCGAGAGATGCTGCGTTTTGTTTTGCAGAAAGTGAAAGTGCTCCAAATGCGGAGAACAGCACAGAAAACCCCCCAGCCAAGCCCGAGGTGAGTGCTGAGAAGAAGATTGCACCGAAGAAGCCTTTTCAGCTGGCGCCGATCAGTCAGAACAAGGCGGCGGCGGCGCAGCGAAAGGCCGTGAGTGGCAGGAAGGAGGTGAAATCTCGGGGCGTGAGCAAGGATGCGAGTGTGGATGTGGAGGAGAAGAGCGTGGACAGCAGCAACATGTTCCTGTACATCGATCTGCACGGACACGCGAGCAAGAAGGGCGTCTTCATGTACGGCAACCACATGGCCAACTCAGCCGAGGCCATCGAGTGCATGCTCCTGCCGCGCCTCATGAGCATGAACTGCCACCACTTCCACTTCGACGCGTGCAATTTCTCCGAGAGGAACATGTATCACAAGTCAGTGCCCCGATTTTCCCCCATTTGCGCTCAACAGATTTTCTCTTCACCTTTTATTGAGGAATTTTGAGGAGCTCGTTTGCGTCGTTGAATCAGTTTTCTTCCTTTTCAAGCGATTCTTCGAAGTGATTTAGAAGTTCTTTGAGTTTTTCTTGTCTTACTTATTGCAATTGCAGTAGATTTAATGTTGTGAAACTACTAGATTAAGTGAAGAATCTTGTAAGATGCTTAATGAAAAGCTTCAAAATTCAATTACCTGGAGAAATATGCTAAAAAGCATCAAATTACCTTTAATTTTGGTATGTTTGAGCTCATTAAAGACACTTTTCTGGTTTCTAAAGCATTTATGATGAGAAAAGGTGAAAAGAAATCTGTAAAAAGTTCATCCACAATGATGTTTCACGAGAAATTTTCAACTTTTTTCCAGAGGAAAGCGAGATGGGCTGTCCAAGGAAGGTTCTGGCCGGGTGTCGGTGTACAAAATGACTGGGTTGATTAAGAGCTACACCTTGGAGTGCAACTACAATACAGGAAAGTGTGTAAATATTCTGCCGCCGCGTGGAAAAGAGTCTGCGTCGAAAGTTGTTAATCTGGTTCCACCGAAGTACAATCCAGCGATTTTTGAAGAGGCAAGCATTGAGATCTTGTGTGTTTTCAGTCACTTATTTAATGTTATTCTTCAACTTTTGCAGATTGGACGTGCTTTGGGCCCTTCGATACTCGATCTGACCAACTCCAATCCGATCTCGCGGCTCCACAATTCAGACTACAGATCTCTGCAGGGTCTGCGGAATGCCATTCGGCTGGAGATTGACAAGAGCTTCGCCAAGTCCTCGCACTCATCCAGCTCTGGCAGTTCCGGCGGCGGCGGCGGCGGTGGAAAGGTGAGAAAAAGGGCTTTGAAGTTGATTGAGATGGAGTCTGAGGTGCAAATCGTCCTCGAGAAGCGTATATAAGTTTGCCTCTCTAGCATTGCTTCTATTCTGCCCTTCTGTCTGCCCTTCTTCTTCGGTTACTGGTGGGGGATTCTGGCTTTCTTGTGGGCGCTTGTGCTTTTGCGGCTGTGGCGCGCGTTCTGCCCGTGGATTTTGATAATGCAATTGAGCGATATTTTCCAGGCGAACGCCGGAGTGCGGAAGACAAAGGTGATAAAGCGGGGCGGATTGCTCAATCCGCCGCCGCCGCTGGAGATCTCCAAGGAGAACAAGGCGTACTGCAATCTGCAGAACTGGGAGAGTCGCGCCAGTGTGAATCTGGTGATGGCGCGCGGCGGATCGCGCCTGAATCTGTTGAAGGGGCAGCGCAAGGTGTTCGGCAGTGCGGCCAAGGTGGCGCCGGGTGCGTCCACGTCGCAGGCCGGCGCCAAGAAGCTGTCTGTGGTCAAGGGCGTGACCAAAGAGGCGCATCCGCAGATCCCGCCGAAGAGGAAGAAAGTCACCGGCGGCGGCGCGCTGAAGATGGACAAGGAGGAGAGCCTCTCGTCGGCCACTTCGCTGCCCAATCTCTTCCCCACGCCGTCTGGCGGCGAGCCGCTCTTCTTGCCGACGCCCGCGAAGCCCGAGGACGAGGAGCACCCGCGGCCGTCGTGCTCGCACGAGAAACCACCGTTCTTGCAGAAGCTGAAGAAGACCCACACGTTCACGGGGCTGCCGTCCACGAGCGCCCCCACTGCCACCACTTCGGGCGCCGCCAAGCCCGGCAAGAGGCTGCAGAAGTCCTCGGCGGCGTCGCCGCTGAAGATGAAGCGCACGCTCAAGACGGAGCCGAATATCAAGAGAAAGAAGTGCCGCGTGAAAACCGTGTGGCATTGAAATGGTGCAATTTTACATCCTCAGAGATATTTTCTTATACACTTATATATATTTTTTCTCCCCCGCAAATGGACGAAGCGTCGTTGTTTTCTTTTTTAATGCAAGATAAGGACTCTCATTACTCTTGTATGTAAATTATGTTGACATATTGGATATTTTAATAAAATTAAACACGTGTATTGAAGCTGAAGTGTTTTTCTTTTATCGTGTGAATTTGGCGTGAGTTTCGATGGATTTATCAGCGAACACACTGACCTATAATGCAACACTGAACTGTCATTCATAATTTAGAAAGATAGCTTATAAAACTGCGGAGAATTGATATTGATACATTGAATTGGTGGCGAATGAAGACTCTTTGCAAAGTTGCAAAAGTGAACAGAAAAGTGCAAATTTCAAAGGTAAAATGAAGTTATTTCTAATCACATATCAATTTAACATGTCAATCGGGGCGGAAATTAAATTATTGCACTGTCTGGCAAAACTGATTGCTTTAGTTTAGCGATTTAAATATTTGATTAGAAACATTTATAATTAAACTTTAAGTGAGTCTAAAATTAAAATTGAGCTCTTCAGGTAAAGTGAAAAAATGTCAATTTTTTTATTCTACATCTTTTATTTCCACAATTTTAACTTTTTCCAGACAATATTTTTAAAAATATACATTATCTAAACGGTCTATCTAATGCCTAAAAATGATACATTATGTTTTATCATTGAATTTCTCTTACAATCCATCATCAAATGTGTCTTTTCCGGATAATTTCCATCGTCAAATAGCCTGTCGTTTTCCACTCATAAGTGTGTAAATATTACAATTAATTATTACTTCTCATCTTTAGATACAATATTGATACAATTACATGGATTTCATCATTGAAAAAACAGGAGAAAAAGAATCGGTATACATCAGTTGATACACTTTTTTCTATTTATATTACTCGTCCTTTGTACAAATTAATCAACTCTATGTAATGTATAGTAATTATTTATGCTTGCTTGCTATGAATAAGTAGACTTTTTCTTCTTCTTCACTTTGAGTATTTCTGGGGAAAAATCCTTTGAGGGCGAATTATGTCTGGTTTGAACAAGAGTGTGTCTTGAAAGAGTGTTGGAATGTTGCGTCTCAACCGGGAAAATCAAAATTTTTATTTCTCTACCATAGTTTTTTTTTACCTATAATTCTCTTATCTTATATTCTTTTCTTCCATTTTCACTGTAATTTTTTTCTTCTTTCGTATACATGAGATAAGTCTGTACATTGAATACTTTCCTCCTTCGTCGTTCAATTTTTCCTTAAAACTGGCCTTTAAGATTATGCTTAATAATTCACCTCTCTTCGTATATCCTCATCAGTATCGCGGGCGGTCCGCGGTCTTACAAGGTATTCACAGTCGTGAAAATCGTATACTTCGTGGCTGTTCCGCGACAGGGCGTCCGCCGAGGTGGGAGCAGCTCAGCTGAAGTAGCCTAGATCGGCGCCCTCGAGGAAGTCTCAGTAAACCGAGTTGTGGTGCTCGTAGTTGTGGGTGTGCAAGTAGGAGGGGATCGAGGTGGCGTTCAACTCCGAGGCGCGGCGCCGCAGCGCGGCTATGCTGTGTCCTCGCCACACATCCTCGTCGCCGTCGCCGCTGGACGGGAGCGACTGGCAATTGCCCACGTGCCCGTGGTTAGCGTTCTGGGTCTGACCCTGGGAAGAAGAGAGAGAGAAATCCGATGAGAGAACGCTGGAAATTCATTTTCGAAAGCCTCGACGGTGTCCGCATTGCAAAAGGAAGTTAAAGTCTGCTAAACCAACTATGCTGTAATTGAGACGATGCTTTTGGCCAAAACTCACCATTTCGGTGTTGCCGTTGCTGTCGCTCTGACTAGGATTCTGCTGTGAGTTGGACAGCGGCGGCGTGGTCGACGGACATCCTGTGGCATTGATGTTGGGCGGCGAGGAAGTGGTCGGGGAGCTTCCGGGTCCGCATCCAACGGCCGCCGCGACGCCTCCGCCGCCGCTGTTGGCGCCCGCGCCGCCGACAGTCGAGTGCTGGTACATCATCGAGTCGCCTGCAATGATTTCGCGGTGAGATGTCGATCATCGTGTTCTCATCACACACAATGGGGAAAACGTAAAAATGTGGCAGAAGGCAAACAGAGGAAAAAAGTGAGAATCCTCCGCGATGCCACGAGAGGAGAAACACGCCAGCTTTTAATGGTTTGAGCAAATAAATCAAGTTGAAATTCGTGACAAATTGATTTAATATATTTTATGAAAAATAATTTTTTTCACTCCATCTGCGCTCTTCTCTTCTGCCGCGGCCCAGGTGGGGCGCAGCGGGCGCGGCGGGGGGACGCGGAATGGGTGGCATGTTATGTGTATGGAAAATAGCCACTGAAAGGTTGGATTTGTGTCCGCGTGCTTTTGGAAGAAAAAAAAAACTTTCCGAGTGTGTGTCGCTTATTTATCTAAATAAATAGCAAATAGTGATTTTCCATTAAAAATTTTTAAGTTTGTTTGTTAATTAGTGTTTTAAAAGTCACGAGCGTGACGATTATTTCTTTCATGGCGCTGGCGGGCGTGTTGAAATTGCTTTTTGTCGCGGCGCATCCACGAATGTGACGTGGGGACATGCCCAAAAGAGCGCCACATTTTGGCGGCACCTTGAAGGCAAATCACGACATTCACGCAAAGCGGAGACAATCGCTGGCGAGCGCGCTAATCAAGATCTGTTTTGGGCAGTCACTGCCAATTAGAACCTCTTACCCAGTGCATTCAGGCCGTAGTGCTGGTAGCTGCCGGCGCCCATGGCGGAGGAGATGTTGATGCCGGAGTTGAGACCGCTGTTCAGGGTGGAGGACAGGGTGGACGATTGGTTGAGCTGGCCGAAGCCTGGGCGGAGAGAGAGAGGATTAGCTCAGCCAGGACTTTGCGACAATTGCGACAAAGCAGCTCAAATCTGATATTTTCCAATGATTTACAAGAAAATGACTATTTTCTTAGAGAAAAACTCGACTTTTGGGAGTGCAGACTGCATTTTGGCTTACCCGCCGTCATTGGATTGACGCCGACGCCCCAGCGGTCGCCGCCGAACATGGAGCCCCCGCAAAGGCTCTCCCCCATGGCGATGTTGGTGATGTTAGCACCGAAGGGCGGCAGCCCGTGGGATGGCAGAAGAGCACCTGCAACGATACCAAAACTCTCGGTCTCTTCCTTTCCACCCCAAACACTCCTTCGCACTCACCTGGAGTTCTGAACACGTTGGTCGTCTTCTTTCGCTTCTTCCACTTGGCGCGGCGATTCTGGAACCAGACCTGCAAAGAGATGCAATTCTTTAGCTCGGAATTGCACTGTGTTTCCAGTCAATTGGCAGCGTCGCGTCGAATGGCGATGTGTGGCTAAATTATTAACGCCACTCATGAAAAAGTGATTTTTTCCATAAACATTAAACAAAACCATAATTGATTCTTACACCAGACAATTTTGGTGGGCAATTTGCATGCGTCTTTTCAAGTTGATTGACTCAAAATGCTCAAAATTAATAGCTTGACTGTGGATTTATTGCTGTCAAGAGAATCATTTATTGTAAATAAATGTAATTATGGTAATTTTTAAAAATTTAAACAATTCTGGCTTCATAAAGCTTCGCATATATTGTAGTAATTTTTCCGAGTGTAGAGAAAATATGTTAAAAATTAAATGGCTGCTTAGTTTTGGCGCTCAAAATTTGTCCATTGAGAATGATGATTTTAGAGGCGTTGCTTAGACACTTAACCAATGAATACTGCCTCAATGCGATGGTGTGCTCACGAGGACAGTTGCTGAAGAGAACGCATTCTGTGTGGAAGCGCAATTTGCCGACGGAAAATCGTTTTCAAAGGGCTTTGAAAGAAAATTCTCTTAAAACTAAGAGACGCTGCTTTGCTAACTTCACACCGAAAAATTTGACTGTCGCGCGAGTTGAACGCAATTGGGAAGAAGAAGAACATAAATAAAACTTTCTCTTTCGTGAGTTTCTCTTCGTGTTTCCTTAAAATCCTGGCTCAAAATGGATATTACACAAGGTGAAGAGTGCCGTTTGGATTTATCAATTGTTAAGGAAGAGTTTGTTATCGAAGAAATCGAAGAACCTTCAGAGTCTTTGGGACAAACGGAGGTTAAGATTGAGTAAGTGAAAAAGTGTTTTTTGTTGTCAATAATCAGCTGTTGATTGTTGATTATAATGCGTTTCAGGGCAAAACAAAGTAAATTTGATACTAAAGATAACACAAATGCCTCAAAAATCAGATTAAAATCAGCTAAGAAGAGCAAACAATATCCATGTCAAATATGCGGCAAGATATTCTTCAGTTCCTGCAATCGGCGCAAGCACAAATTGATTCACGCCGAAGAATTCAAGTTTAAGTGTGAGCACTGCTCGAAGATGTTCAAAGTGAAGAAATACCTCACGAGACACTTGAGATGCCACGCAATTTTGCCCAGACAAACGTGCGAAATTTGCAATAAAACCTACAAGAATGTCAAATCTATGCAGATCCACATGGAAAAGCACAAAAACAGCAAGAACAACGTCTTCAAGAGATATCTCACGTGCGATCTGTGTGGAAAACTGGACTTGAGCGACAAGGAAATGGTGGAACACACGAAGAAAATGCACAGCGATCAGGCGTCAATCATCCATTCGTGTGAGATTTGCGGAAAGACATATAAGACGTTGTCATACTACAGAAATCATTTACGTCTTCACGCCGACATTGAGTCAGGGATTAAGTTTAGCTGTGCCAAGTGTCCGCTGGTGTTCAGACGAAAGGACTTTCTTGAGAAGCACTTGATTCTTCATGCCCAGGGAAAACTTCACACTTGCAAGATTTGCTCGGCTTCTTTTGAACGGTTGCAATTCTATCGAAAACACTTGCGGACGCACCAGGAAAAGCTGAATATCACAAGAACGAAATATTCTGGATTGCCTACAACCACAAGGAGTGAGTTAATAAAGATTTCACGAGAAATATGCATAAAAAACAAGACTAATTGGAATTCTTTGGCAGACGGAAAATTAATTTGCACTGTCTGCAAAGGCGTCTTTGGTGATTTGGATGAATTGAGGAAACACACTGAAGAGGAGCACATTTACAAGGATGATCCAAGTCAGGAAGATTTCTTGTCGACAATTAAAACCGAAAGTGATTTGCAAGACGACACAGAAGATGAATTTTTGCTAGGCGTGTAGAAATTAATAACTGATAAACTGCTGTACAAAATATCTTTTTCCTTTCATTGTAAATATTCATGCAAGTTTACGAGATAAGTTCAGAACAATTTGAGTGATAAAATATAACTTTTGTGCTGCTTGAATTCAAGAGGTTTCTTCAAGCTTCTTCGCCTTATTTTAGCGCTATCAAAATTGTACTCTATTGAGCGTGAAGTTTAGAAGGATGCTCTTCAGAGGCGTTGCTTGGCATGGCCATTGGGGTTCAGCCTCAATGCGATGGTGCTCATGAGGGTAGTTGCTGAAGAGAACTCATTCTGTGCAGAAGCGCAATTTTGCCGTCGGAAAATCATTTTCAAACGTTAAGAGGCGCTTTGCGTCTAATTTCACGCCGGTGAATTCTATTTGACTGTCGCTGAAGAATTGACGTTTCCGAAGTTGTTTTCTCACTTTTCTTGAGGATTTTCAACTAAAGGACGATGGAAAAGTACACTTTGGCAGATGTTTTAGTGGTGGAAGAGGAAAAGCTTGGAGTTCAAGGGTAAGAAATTGGTATATATTTCTTTGAGACAATTATCTGATCGCAAAGTGCTTTTTTCTTCATGCAGCCTCATCCGGAAAGACTGGAAAGACTTAAATGATGATGATAATGATGGAATTGTAGCAACAAGAGCTCTCCCGGATGAAGAATACAAATGTACGAAATGCCCTGAAAACTTCTCACTGAGCATTCAGCTCGAGGAGCACATGAGAATCGTTCATGGCGCCAAAAGGGCCAAGAAACGAGTTCAGTGTGAAGAATGCTCGAAGATCTTCGCAAGTGCGGCGAAATTGCGGGCTCACGTGGAGCGTGAGCACGGTTCAAGGCACAAGAACACGGGCAATTATCAACTGCACAGATGTGAGATCTGCGATCAAGTGTTCAATCGCCAGGACAAATTCAATACACACATGAAGCGGATTCACATGAAGTACCTCAGAAGATTCCTCAGAGGCTTTGCGGAGCCACTAAAGTAATCCGCCGTTTACTCCACAGGTTCTGATGGCAAGATCGCTGGCTCAAGTGCCCTGACTTGCCCCGTTTGTGGAAGTTATTACTGGGTGGTTGGACTCCATAGGAGGCACTTGGAGAGAGTTCACAAGAAGACTAAATTCTTCAAGTGCAGCATTTCCTGCACTTGCAGGATAAAAGCAAAAGGATGCTGCAGAATCTGACGAGGAACTGTTTGAGTACCGGGTTGGTGTTCCACGAAATTTCGCAGAGGTCAACTGCTCATACACAGAATAGCGCATAATAAAAGAAAGCAGAGGAAAAGAAACCGAAAGTGCCAAAGCCTCCTTAACCAATGATTCCACAGGCTCCGGAAATACTGAAGTGTGTGAACTGCATCAAAACCTTCAGAGCTGACGAGGAACTTCGGAATCACAAGCTAAAATGCAAAACATTTCTCTGGCATCCTGCTGCAGATCCGCTGAGAATCAGTCTAATTCCGGATAAACTTGCGTCTTTAGATTCAGATATGAATGAATTTTCGAACCTTTCAAGCCCGATATTGGAGATTTCTGATGACGAAATTGTAGGAAATCCCTTAATCGATCATTCGTATGCATTCATGGTGGATTAAATGAAGTGTGGAGAGCCAAATAAATGAATGTAACAATAAAGATCCGCAAGACTGAAAATATCGCTTTCTTATGTAGATTGTTTCTTAATCAGTGCTTATAATTTGCAAATTCTTATATTCGCGTCGCCGGGAGGTTCAAAGGTTTGCTGAATTGTTCATTTATCTCTCATACAGCATTCTTGTGTCTTGAGCACACAAGAAACCACAATATTTCCTCATAAAACGGCGCACAGAGGCGAAAAGTCAAAAACTAGACAGAGGAAGAAGTTGAGACAGGGATTTATATTGCAACTTGACAAATTGTTCTCACTCTGAGGATCGTAATATACCATTAATACCAAATAGATTTGCACCAAGATTTATTATTTGGTGTCTCTCTGGAGCCCACAAAATAAACATGTCGGGAATGAATGGCGTGCGGAGGGTGGAAATCTTCAGTGTCACCCTTGGAAGGAGAGGAGAGTGCATTGCTGCAGGGATCCTGCTGTGTCCGTCGAATTCCTGAAATTTCACTTGCAGAAGGTGCGAAATGTCTATTTAAATTTCCTGCAAATGCCGAAGACACACGCCCAGAGGCGAAATCTATTAAATGGCAAATCCATTCGACAATAAACATGCCCGGACACGTGCCGGAAGATTTAATAAACTCACAAATTGGAAGAGGTGTGAAGGGTGCTTTCTTGTTCAACTAATTTCGAGGCTTTCTCAGCACCAATTGCTTGTCAATCGGCTGTTTGTTTGAGCTCAGATGTCTCCAAAATGCATGCATAAAAGGTGTTTATTAATCCTCTGAATGTCATTCTTCCAGGGTTTTGGAATTAGCCAGAGCATCTAAAGCAGGAATTGCTCTTATTTCTGCATTAACACGACTATTTAGATTGCGAGGGTGCCCAGGGTGAATTCCGCAGCAAAGCCGAGGGAAAATCCTTGTGACATTACAATAAAAAATAAATTTCCCGCACGGAAATTGAGCCTCGGTATCGATGTGAGGCTCGGGCGGAAGATTTCAGCTGGCACAAGTCATGGAGGAATCCCTGCGGTATGATTTAATGCATGCACAGAGGAAGACCCCGACATTAAATCGGGCGAGATGAGGGTGAAAATTGTAATATATATGTATGTCCGAATTAAGGGATTACAGAATGTGAGCCCAGGCGAGAAGGAGAGCAACAGACATAAAGTCAATCTGGGGGACCCCCTTTATTTGATTTCCACACACAGGCATTTAGTTTTTCACCCAGAGCCGCACCCCATTAGTTTGCGATTAGCATCGAATGAATATTTTCAGTTAATTTGAGAAACATCGCACAAACCCTCGGACGCCCTTGGGAATCCGCAATGCTGGCTCAACATGGAAAATCAATACTTAGGGTTCATCGAACATTTCACACCGCGAAACTGATTGGAATACTAAATAACATGCTCCTGTCTTTCGCCAATACAACCGCTGCTAAACGTGGTTTTGGCGCTGATATGCAAGCTTTTCGAGAGGGAATTTTGCCCTGAGTTTCTTTCATTATTCAAAAACTTTCTTCTTAGATGCATTCACAAGCTAACCAATGGCGCTGAATTGCGTGAAACCGGAGTGAAACATACATGAAAAGCCAACAATTCTAAGGGTGGTTTTACAGTCAAATTCAATAGAAATCATACTGAAATACTCTCAATTCTTCGTCTTTTTATATGACTTCCAAAGACAATGTTTTAATCGATCTCTCTCCCTTGTTACTTCTGCTTATTTCCCTGGAAAACTCCCTGAATGCGAAATGAAGACAATTTCCTCAAGCGAGATATTCAATTGAGAAAGCCCTCCTACGGCCTACGCCTGTTTTGCCCCTGTGCCAGCGATAAAAGCGAATGGCATCCAATAACCGTATCGACAGCAATATCAATGCAATTTGGCGCAAGCGACACAAAATAAGGCAACGAAACAGCCACAAATTGAAAGAATATTCCTCCAGAAGCACGTAGGTCGATATTTTCATTCTGGGAAATTGTCCTTTTTCGCCCCTCCTTCGGGAGATTCGCACCCAGAAAAAATGTCTTGCCAGAAAGTTTTAGCAATTCTGTCGCCCATTTTAATTATATATCTGCCGCCGCATGGCTTTTTTTTCCACACTGTGTCGGCAGCAGAAAGACGATGGTGAAAAAAAAGAAGCATTCGGATGCAAACTACGTGTGTTCGCCTACAATAGAATTATCTTTTATGTGGCCATTGTGCGACATTTCATTTAAAATTAAATTAATATTTGGTGCTTTTATATGGGGATTTTTGCGCACAAGCACTTTTAGATTAGATTTTATATTTATGACTGCAATATTTTAATATTTTTCTGCTTTCCACATTGTTTTGCTCACGCCGTATTTCGGAGCTTGTCACGGAGTTTGTGACTTCAGAGAGGGTGATAAAAGTTATTGATAAAGAGACGATGTGAGTTTTTTTTTATGACGGAACAATGTCAAATTACGGCTTCTTTTTAACGATAATCATCTTTTTTTTTCTTTTCGCAATTCAGGTGAGCTTTCACCAAGCGTCCCCACTTGCGTATATTGGCGATTGTGTTTGGTGTGTGAATTTATGGAAAAGACATGAAAGTATTGAACATTTTATGGGCAATTCAGTGAGAAATGGGTGGAAATTGTCGCCCAATTTAAAATTCACCTCGACGCTCGATGCAAAGCATCTCGGTGGATTTGATTTAAATGGGAAGCTTTCTCTCTGGCATTGTGTTCGGCAAATCCGTGGAATTGAAAAATCCACAGTGATCAAGACAGCGATTTGCCTGGGCCAGAGAGAGATTTGCAAATTCTCAGAAATTGCCATGAAATAAAAAGAGCTTTTGCTATGTCCCTGAGCTTTTCTGCGCATCACGCATAGTTGAGATAAAATTCCAGCTGAAACATGAAATACTTTTGTCTCTTGGTGGAAAGATGAAGAACTCCGAAATATGTAATTTCATGGGGATGCTGGGGGTGAGATGCTATTTGAAACATGCTCGCAGTCATTCCAACCATATTTCCCGACGTGTGGGTGGGCGAGGGTTCGGGGCTGCAGGAGCCCGTATCTAGGTTGAGTTTCCATAGTTACCATTGGGTGGTGAGGGTAGATTTTGTGTATCTCCGGAGCCACCCTTCTCGGCCTCCCACTGGCGCAGGCGCAGCCATAATCGCGAATGCAAACAGTGGAGAAGTGCAGGGGGAGGGAAGAAAAATAGCCCCAGAGAAATTGCTCTATTGTTGCCATTTTTCTCATCCACGCCACACAGAGAGAGAGAGAGAGGGAGAAAAAAAGCCCTCCGCCATTCCTCTGAGGGCGCCTGGATTCAATTAAGACCCACCCTATCAATCAAATATCATAGTGAAATTGTCATTCACCGCAGAAAGTTTGCAGATAATTTAATTATGGCTCTCGCCAAGTGGCCATGTCGCGGCGAGAATGCAGCCTGAATGATTTCCCATGTCTGCCAATGGACTTTTCCAACCAATCGCGACATGCAAATGCAGCACTTCCTGTCCGAATTTGCCATAGTTGTCAATATTCAATTTGCAGTGCCTCTCAACTTTCACGATCAACTAATAGATTTCCCGTGTCATGGAAGCGATGGAGAATGTATGAAGGCTTTTGCTCCGAGGAGAGAATTAGAAAGGAGCGAGTTAAGTCTCGAAAATCATAATCATAGGCGGATTTAGCGTCTAATAAAAATGCCAGGCGATGGGGTTGCCAGTGTAGAGTGTCAAGGAACTGTCACTTAATTGCCCCATCTGTGGGTGCGAGGTATGAATAGTTGCTGAGCGGAGTGATGTGATGGGATTAGCGTTATTAAATCCTGCAGGCATACATGGCTGAAATGTGTGCCTTCAAATCAGGATTAATCACCCAAAATTGTGTCTCCCAAGCCTGCAAAGCGGGGGGTGGGGGGAGTGTGGGTGCTGGCCGCCTCGAGGATTGATGATTAATATTGTTTGACACGTAATTCATAATTTTCATGTTACAACTATGAATATCATGTAAGCATACATTAGGAGTTGTGATGCCAAATTGCCCTCCAAGAATTAATTGCATGTGGCAAGTACAGATAATGGAGGCATTAATCAGGATCGTGGGCTGAGAAAGTTCTTGCACTATATATATATATGTGTGGCTTTTTTCCTCCCAGGCGGAGTGAATTCCATCCGCGGGGGAATTGAAAATAAACGATCCAAACTTTGTTCTACGACACACTTCCTCGATATTTACTCCACGTCTCTCCCTGTGTACATTTCAGCGCGAGAGACGCGCAGAAGAAGATGACTCTGGGGGAGTGCGAAGATGAAAATCCTCAGGTGAACATGTTTGTCTACCTTCTGTGGCTGTTTATTCAGCAGAGACGTGTTTAAATTCTCTTTTATACGAAAATTTCACACTGACCCGCCAAAAAATCAGTGTTATTCGCTCCCGAAAGACACGAAAAATCGCTCCGGCACACAAACAACTTGCGATAATACGCCCAGCATCTTCCCGGATGGGGCGACACAGTCTCTGTGTGCAGTTTTTCCCGCCAAAAAACCACCCCCACAGAAGCTAAGCAGAATTCCATGTTCTGGGACTCCCTGCCAGTAAATCCAGCTGATATATTTTTGGATAAAATAAAACACACAGTGACTGACACTCGAGAATAAAATATACGATGCAGCCAAAGTAATTTTGCTTGTAGCACCAGCCAATTCTCATGAGGGTGAGAGTGTAAGCGCAGTAGAAGAAAAATCCGTGCGAATTTATCTCCTCCTGCCACATCACATCCTTCGCCCAGCAAATGAGCAATGAGCAGCTCTCCTTATTATTGATTGTTTCACTTCCACGGCGCTTTTGTGAGGTTTTCCTTTCCAAATCCAATTCTTCTGTGATTGACAGCAAAATCAAAATATTTTCATGGAACACTCTTTCTGTATGAATGTATGATTGCAGTGGCAAAAAAGCGTTAATTTTTAAACTCATCCCCAATGCTAACTGACCTTGCCAGTTAGTTTGACGGAAAAGAGTGGCAGCGTTGCGAGTGAAAAATAGAGTTCTGAATAAGAGATGAGGGTACAGAAAAGAGAAGCGCAATTTTCCACCCAGAATTCTGGTGTTTCAACACTTGCACTGTCACGGTAAATAATAGATTACTTGCGGTGCCGGATGACTTTTTAATGTGCATTCAAATCCACGATATTCTCATGGTTGCCACCCCTTCGGGTGGGTGAGAGATCTCACACACCTATAAATTTGTTTATGCGCGAGGCGGTTTCGGCATCACCCTCTGACATGAGCTAACATGAAATATAAAAAAGCGTTAAAATATGCTTAAATAATAATAGAGAAAGAGGGTGCGTCAGACGAGGTTTTCACTCTTTTTCTCACTGAGAATCCTCGGCGTCATTAAGTATTCATAGAGCATTCTTTCTCTAGCTTGGAAATAGCTTTTCAAAAACACCCAGAGACTTTATACATGGGCTTAAGGGCGAAGAACGGAGGTCAGAAACCCTTCCAATCGAATGCTTAGAGCTGACCTGGGAAAGTGTGGGTGAAAATCACAACAAACCACACGCAAAGGAGAAAATTGAGCAAATGCGAAGGGTGTGAGTTGGGATAGAAAAGAGGGATTAACTCCATTGCGATGAGGGCTGGTGTCACTGAATCCCCTTGGGAAATGTGACTACATTAATTGTGCATTAAAAGAGCATATTCGGCACCTGTTATGTGATATATTTCTGCAACAAAAACCTCAAGGATATTGCAAGGGAATAAAGAAATCTGGGGTGTACAAAATCCATGAAGATAGACGATCTAATGTTCTAACATCAAAATGAGAGACAAATTATAATATAAAACGCAAGTTATGTTGCTTATAATTCATCTGTGGTTTCCTTATGTAGTCTTCAATTATTCATTATTTTCTAAGTTTGATAAGATTGTGATATTTCACAATTATTCCTATTATTTTGTGTATTTAGAAAGATTTTCTTGTTATCAACTTAATTTGTATAAAAAGATTATTTGTCAAGTGTTTTGATAGAACATTTAATAAATATTCTGTTATTGTACGGGGAAACATCCTTCGGGCAGATAATCTCCCCCATTCCACATTGCGGAGGGATGAGAAAAGGGGTTGATCGATGTGTGAATAAAAATCCTTGGCTATTTGGGAATCCATCAGAGTGTTGAATAAAAAAATAATATAAATTCGTGTCGATAAATCTCATGGAAGAGCGCGTTATATTTGGAAGACAACAACACACATTTCGTGCTTATGAAAGCTTTTATCGGCATCACTCAACGTCACGACGCCCAAGAAAGAGTTTCCACCCCACCCAGAATGGAAGATTTACGACCTCACCCAAAAGATTGACTCGATTTTTTCGGCTGTGGCCTCAGCAGAATGAGAGTTGGGCGGGTGTTGAAAACAGATTTCGCATAAATGCGCCCAAATTGAATCCGGAAACGAGATTTGGTTTTGCGAAAAAGCACCCCCTCTGGTAAATTGTTTATCGATTTGGTGGTTCTCCCAGTGGAGAGACAGCTCGATTTTGTGGCTATTTTGTTCAATTTCGCCAAAATTGTCCTGTCACTTCCAAAAATATCACCCAAAACACTCACACACAGTGAAAATTTTCAATTGACACTGCACTTAATCCCAACCACTTAATCCCAAGATTGTGACATGGCGAAAGTTAGCCAGAAACATTCACCCGAAATCAGACACTCACTGAGTTAATCTTGTGGCATTTTCCCAGGGATTTCCCTGGAATTCAGGCAGAATGTATTTTGGGGAAAACCACGGACGTCTCGTCCCAAGGGTGAGTGTCACAGGGACTCGACCGAGTTAACACGCGTCAGACAAATGTATTCTGGTCAGGAGCTTCATTTGCATCCGTGCAGGATGCAAATTGAAGGTGATGTTATCACTTATCGAGTGGTTCCTGCTAATCGATTAAGTTGTTTCACTTGCAATGCAATTTTCATGCTGTCTTCAGTTTTCTTGTGTGGCTCCGAAAATCAACCCATTTTCACATCCCTCTCGAGTAAGCATCGCCCGATAATTTATTCACGTTGGCCGCCGTGGGGATGAGAATGAAGGAAAACCTCCACCCATAAATCGTTGCCCGATTGAACACCCTTCGACGTAATGACCAGGAGTGACTCGCCCGAAACAGCTGCTCTCTTGGCCAGGAGGGAAGGTCAAATCAATTAAGCGCCGGGATTAGGAGAGTCACGAGATCGATTAGGGGTGAGTGACACTTACCTGGACGCGGGACTCAGTGAGGCCGATTCGCATGGCGATCTCCTCGCGCATGAAGATGTCCGGATAGTGAGTCTTGGAGAAGCATCGCTCCAGCTCGTTCAGCTGGGCGGGCGTGAAGCGCGTGCGGTGCCTCTTCTGCTTCCCCGACTTCTCGGAGTTCTGCAAGTGTGATTGCGTGAGCTGGGGTGGAGTGGGCGCGGCGTGCGCGATACCGACCTGATCCTGGTGAATCGTGTGGGGCTCGCAGATGCCGCTGGACACGTGCAGGCGACTCCCATTCGTGTCCGTCGCGCCGGAAGTCTGCAACTGACCGAAGGTGTTGGATGAATGGAGGGACGTTATGGCCGACTTGGGCAGATCACAATCCTTCTGGGCTGCAAAGACATCCACAAATCACCACAATTCGCATGAAGAATAGTGTTGGGAATTTCAGAATAAACGTCTTTATCGAGTTTGGTGCGCATCAATGCCTGAATTGTGACTTGAGTGAGTGATTTCATCACTCCAACTCAATGATGTTTATGGTTTTTCTTATGAAGTGTGATGTAAATCACTGGATAATCATCAGGAAGAGGAAACTATTAGAAATATGTCATTTTTGTATATAATTTGTTGATTAGTTATTGAATGGCTTTTTGATTTTGCCTAAAGGGATGAAGATCAAAGAAGAAATGCTTGACATTTCTAAGCATTTCTTGGGAAAAGCACTCTGATATGCAACAGAATGTTGAAGAGAATTTAACAAGCCATCTTCTCTCTCAATTCATCTGCAAGTCTTGGTGTTCTTCAGCCATTTGCACACTTCAAAGTCACGAAAGTTTGAAACTTTGAATTGACTTTTGGCCCTAAATTAGAGCTGAAATCAGCTTCGACGCCACAAGCTTGTTTATAAATGTTACTTCCATGAGCGTTTCTCCTTTGGTGCCCTCGAATGATGAAGCGCAAGACATATTTTTCCGGCAATTGCCATGAGTTTGTCCGAGACAAAGATACACAGTGACTTTTTTTCGATGGAATTTCTTTTGGAGAATTTATCGTGTAAGACATTTTGTGCGCTGGCACTGAGAGACTCATTTTATGTGTTTACCAAAGAGACCACGTCTATATGAGTTGGTATATAATGTGGATATGAGATGAAAATATGTAAATGTTCACGCTGCTGTATTATTTCGTTATTTTTTAGTGAGGTGTTAATTTTAACACATCCATCTGATGTCAGCTACCGTTCCACAAGAGCCGGTTTTTCACACAATTTCAATATCACAATATTCCCCATAAAACACACTCGCCGTGTTTCTTGGGTGATCTCGCGGGATGAGGATTTTCAGAGTCACGAATGCGTGGTCACAGGTTTTTGTGCCCTTCTCTTCCCCCTTCCAAAACTAGACGATCGCGTCCAAAAAACTGCCCACAGTCGCCTTTGACGGACTGCCAAGTGCTATTTAGTTAATATATTCCGCCACAAATTAATGTTAATCGAAATGACAAAAGCCCAATAATGATTAAAACAATATGCTGAGATGCTACCGGTATTGAAATTTTTATGACAGCGTTAATGAAGCGTTTAGTTAACACAAATCAATTTACACAAATATTTGATGATGATTTTTGTCTGGCTTTTGCACGAACGCTTGAAATTCTCTTCCGAACGCACCCAAAGAATATGGTTCAGACGAGAGAAGAGACTCCGTCGACCGACTTCCCGAAAGGAAGCCAATAATGGCTGAGGCCGATGCTTTTATTGCACCTCATTTCGAACCGAAACATTCCACCGTGCTCTCCTGGCGGGTCTTCATTAAGCCTGGGGCATCGTCGCTGGTATCCCAAGACGATGTGTTTACCTTTACACAACTCCCAATCTCACACAAATGTGTTAAAATATTTTTCTTCATTCATAACAAAAATATTCACGTCCAATTCGTGATCACTCAAGTTTTCTTTCCACCTTCCAATCCCAGAACGCGTCGCACATCGGCAAAAAGGACCAGAAGGAAGTCTTCTGTCCGTTGCACTGTTTGTTTTAAGTTCAGACAATGTTGAGTCTTCGAATTGCTTAGAAATGAATAAATGCTTTATTGCGACGGTTTCACAATTTTTAATAATCGTGACAAAAGCCAGTGACGGAAGAAATATTGCTGAAAGATCGAAATCATAGTAAAATTGCTCAAAATTGACTTTCTAAAATAGTTTAAATGACTTTGAAAATCTCTTATCACGTGAAGAACGTAGATTAATTGAATGAATAAATGAAAGTAAAAATAAAGCCAATATTATTTTCAGTTGAATGATTGATTATCATCTTTATCGATAAAGTTTCTTCATTTTAAAAATTACTGGCATAATAAAAACAATTTATTGCAATAAAAGAATTGATAAAATCATGGAAAAGTATTTTTATCCATCGAATAAATGAAATTCGAAGGAAATTTAAAAATTCATTGAAAAGTTTTGAATTCATCCTCAGTGAAAATACCAAAATAATTTTTTTTGCCCATTTTGTATTTCTTTCAATCAATTATCATGAAATAATCAAATCTTCCCTTATAAAATATGAATATTTTCAGCAACCGAAGGTGAATGAAATAATTTATAATTTTCCCATCTTTCCCACTCCTTGGCCGACTTTCCACTGTGTGGGAAAATGCGAGAGTCTGAGCATTAAAATTCAGAGGAATATAATTCCACAAAGTAATTCCCATTCAAATTTACAGTCGCCTAAACCTCCCAAAAGCGTCCCATTTCGCCTCCATTTCCAAATGTCACCTAATGAAAAGTTAGTGTTACACATTGAAATTCCAGGGTTGTGGAATTTTCGACCGTCAGGGCACTTTTGGGTGGCTGCAAAGTGTCAGACAGGCTTAATGAAATTATTTGGCCCCCCATTTTCTGGGGGCTTTGTTTATGCAAAAACTCATCTGCATTAGAAGACGCAGAAAATTCACCCTCAATTTTTGGGATTTACCTTGGAGGATTTTCGCAAAACACTCACAATTCATTTTCTGCATCAGCATTCGGATTTTTGGTGTATATGAGAATTAAGGGGTAATTATTTTCGGCGGCAGTTGAATAAATATTAATTAAGGGTCGCATGTATTTTGTATGGTGGAACAGCATTTAAAACTCTTGGAGAAATAAAAAAATGTATATAGTGTGACAATATAAATACCAATTATGGGATGGAATAAATTTAATTGAGAGTATCATAATTTGATTGTGCGGCGTTTAAGTGTTTCCATCTGCGCATATAAATTTTGCTGGCTGCACTATAATGAGTAAATTGGGCTGAAATTTCCGCCCGATGCAAATTTGATAAATCACCCCATCTCGGGCGATAATTCATGGGCATTGAACGGGCATTTTCCGCCGCTTAATTGCATAAATGTTGCCCACTTGAAATGTTTAGTGGGCGTTTTCCAGGGGAAAATACATGGACATTTTCTGGCTTACCTCCAAGATTGGACGCACTGAGATTGTTCAGCATATTTGCTGAGAAATTTCTTATCGACAGCGCCGACAGTTTGATGGGATTTTTATTTCCTCCTTTTCTTGCACAAGTGTCAACTAAGAAATGCGTCACAGAATTGTTAAAATAGTTGGAAAATTTAAGAGGAAAAGTGAAGTCCACGCATGAAACTCAGTGACAGTTCGGCAAAAGGTGGTATTGAAAGCCTTCCACTTGTTGAATTTCCCTCACACACTTATCAATTAGGGTGTAATTAATTAAATCAGCACTAACAAATTGAATTTATTAGGAATAAAAAGGCGCCACTTCACAGACAATTCGCACTTGTTCACACTGTGTTTCACTCCTCTCGCTCTCGCAGCAGTTCTTTTGCACTCTTTTCGCGTGTTCACGCGCCAATGGCGCACACGGACAGTCTCACGCGAGGGTCTGGACGTGATGCGTGGCGGCGGGGAGAGTATCCGCGTGTGGTGAGGAGGCTGCAGAGTGGCCAGGAGCTTGATTTGGCTGAAGAAATCCAACGGCTTTCCGGAGAGACTCCAAGAGATGCGCTACAACTGACGGGCGAGTGTCGCGTCCATCCCGCACGCTCAGCAGAAGCTCTCTGTCGCGATGCCAGCCGCCAGTCGTCCACCATTCTCGCGCTGCGCCGAAAAGTGGGACACAAGACAGTCCAGCGTGCGTCGCAATTGGTCCTCATGAGCTGTGCAGTGGGCGGAGCTTCGGCCTTTCTCTCTCTGCCACTGGCAGTGGAGGCGCCTGGTGAAAGCTCATCCGCTGCGTTTTCGCTCGCTGCACTCCGTCTCTGTGACCTTACGCCGCCCTCTGCCGCCCTGCGCCCCCGCACGCTCAATGGCAGCGCCGTGAGAAGGTTAATTGCACGAAGATGCACTGATAAATCAATTATCTCCGAGGCCCCGCCCTCGCGCTGCGCGGCCGCCGCCGCCGTTGGCCGCCAAGCAGCCCCCGCCTCAGCGCGATTCCCGAGAGCTGTGATGAATGGAAAATGCCAGGCGCCACCTTATATTTTGTGTTTTCCATCCACGACGAGGAAAAAAGCCCTCCACACCAGAAAATGTAGCGTAAAAACGCTTGGAATGTGGAATATTGAATTTTATATCAGAAGCACGGAGAGTCGAGAGATGATTAAATTACATTTCTTCTGCCGAGTATTTTGTGTGGAGGTGCTTTTTGTGCACACACACACACACACACACACCCAAACGAACCCCAACGAATTCATCGAGTGACTTTTATATTAAAATTAAACATTTTTCGCATGCACAAACATCACTCGCAGCATTGGAGATAATATTCGGAGAATTCTCGGAATAACATACATTTTCTTGTGGCGGAAATTCCACAAATAGCTAAAAGCTGTCCATATGCAGACCATCAGCGCGGCGAGAGGCCAATAGAGAGTGTCCTCAGTATATGCAAATTGCCGCTAAAATAGTGAAGAAATTAGTGTTCATTTTGGACCACACACAAATTGATTGAGATGTCTTGCGGTCGCAGTCTTGCCAGCGGCGGCTGATCAATATTTAGGAGGAAATGAACACATTTGTGCAATAAAAATGCTTTCATTGCTGCGTGGAAGTATGCAGAGATATTGTGAGGCGGAGGGCGCCAGCATAAACATGGATTGTTCACAATTTCACACGAAAGCTCGTGCTGAATGTATATCGTTACATTAACGCCGAGGGATCTGACTACACTGCTAGCGAAAAGAGGGCGAAAGCCAGCCAACGAGCGTGAGTTTCTGGGATGGATTTGGAACAGGATTTTGAATCCTATTTTTCTGTCAGTAAGTCTGATCGTGGGAAAATCATAGACAAATCTGTAAATACTTGGAGAAACTAAATTTTTGCCTATTATTAATTGCTTTTAAGTATATTTATTGCCTGATTTCACACATTTGTAATTTTGTCCATGGGACAGTCAGAGGACAATTAAATAATCAAGCCTTATTGTTAATTTATTTAGGCATTAAAAATGATAAATCTTCATAAAGTGAATTTTGAAGATGAAATTACATTTTGATGAATTAAACGTATTTTAAAGTGCTTAAGAAAGTCTGTATATATTCCCTCGGAATGTCGTAAGACTAATCGTGTCATAGTTATTTAATCCCAAGACTTCTTGGGGGTAAATTCACGTGCACCACCGTTTGTCACAGTGTGTTTGCGAGCGTGAACAAACTAAGAGCTTATCTCAAATCTCGCATAACGAATAGCTCTGACCGGAATCCTCCCCAAAAATACCCCCAGAACAGAGTCGATTCATGACCGATTTATGGCGTTTCTCTATTGCTATTTATTGCAATGTGTCCATGAAGAAGTGGCCAGATAAAAACCCAGGGAGTCTGAAGGGGATGGGGGGATATATTCCAATGCTTGCGGCTCAAGTGAATTAGGAATGCATTGGAGTGCATGCAGATATTAATCAATATTTTTGGTTTGAAATATTGCGCAGCGAGTAATTGCTCGTTTAGGGCGGCCGTGGTGCAGTCGGTAGAGAGCCAGACTGAGGACATCACGGTCGTGTGTTCGATCCCCATCACTTGCAAATGATCGAACACAACAGATGCGAAAAATATTAAGCCCTTCAATGGCAAATATAAGATTTCAGCCCAAAATAAGGTTGCTGTTAAATGTTCCAACTGAAGTAGAAACTTCTGTGGAAGTGTATTTCGCATCTGTCCTTACTTATAGATGGGCACACTACCAGACTGGTGTCGCTTGTAAATAGCGATATCATCTGCAAACACGCCCAAGGCCAAGCTCTGCTAGTCTGTGAATTTGACTGGCTCACTTTGAAAGCCTTGCCCTCTGAGTGGGAATAAAATCAGAGGATAACAGGGGGAGAGGGACGACATATATAAAAATAAGATATTCAATGAAAGTCACAGGCCAAAGCTGTACCGTCTGAAAGGTAACTGGATGACTGGTTAGCTTTGGGTCTTGGCCCTTAAATGGGAAATTTTCCTGGGGATGCATAAAGGGCCCGTCAGATGGCCTGGATGCCGTGGAGCAAGATTTCTTGTACCACCCCCATTTCTAATCTAATCTAATTGCTCGTTTATGACATTTTTATTGCAATTCTGTGTTTAATAAAATACAGCACTGAATGGCTACATATACATTTTCCGGGTGGGCGGACGGGGTGAGATGAGACAAAATTGAAAATAGAGTGAACGCTTGTTTCAGGTATTTTAATAACATTCACCACCCTCGACAGAGGAATTGCACCTATTTTGATACATCAATGTGCTCTATATTTGCTGGGATGAAGAGAGAGAGAGTCTCAAAAGGTACCTGCCATGGAATCAAATCGCAATAAAGCTCTGTGCCTCTCAAGTAGCAAATCATCAAAGCAGAAGTGCACGAAATTGAAATACACGCCAGAAATTGCTATAATTAAATCAGTCATTCTATATAACGTGGCTCTCCTACCTTTTCTCTGAATAAATTCACCTCTCTCGGCATCATGGAGATGATTTTAATACCAATAAAAATCACTCCCGGCACGTGACTTCAATTTAGGGGATGATCCAGCAACATTTCGCCGGATTCGCCCTTCCCTTTCTCACTCCTTGGCGACTGTGCGGGTTCCTGGGCCACTTTCAGTGGTGGAAATTGAGATAAATACGACGAAATATACACACAATTTCATCTCCGACGGGATTTTTCACAATCCCACTTCAGTCTCTGATGGAAATTCTTCTAGTGCTGTCACCAGAGAGGAATTACACTTGACGGATGTCGTGAAATCGATCCTTGTCTCTCTGTTCTGGTGGTTTCTGGTGGTAAAGTTTTCCCTTTTTTTTGGCTTGCGTGACCAGCAATTGCAATCCACTTTGTGACCCTCAATAAAAATGAGAAAGGATGCGTCAAAACAACTCATTAATTATGAAGTTGATTTGACACGAGCAGTCAAATGAAAAACATTATTGCCCTCAATGAATATCAAGAATGAAGCGCCGAAATGAGAGTGAATGCCTTGTGCAACCCTCGTCGAATTTTCCGCTCAATCAACATATATGATTTGAATTATCTCTGTCACGAAGGGGGTGAAGAAGGGCCAGAAGCACGAGGGCGGAGCACTTACGATGCAAAAATTAATAATCATGGGTAAATAATAATCTGTGAGCCACCTTTTTCCCATGCAACATCGCCAAAGTAGCGTTTCTTGTATGGCATTTTTCTTTCCCTCTCCCTAATGGATTCATCTACCTTCCTGGCCACCAGATCCACACCCGCGTCCGCATTTTTTACCACCCAAGGGGGAGTTGTTGAGAGATTTTCCACAGTGGAAAAGTCGACACCGAATGTTCGAGCTGTTGTGATTACTTCCACGTGAATAAATCACAAGATGAGTCACCGTCTGCGGAATAATTACGTATTTAAGTTAATTTCGTAGTTAGATGTCACAATTTGACTGATTATGCTTCCCACATAAAGGATTCCACCAGCAATCTATCATTTGATTTGCAAATGTTCTCCAGAATCCACCAGGATTGCCATGAGAGCTTCACGGATCCGTTTTCTCACTCCATTCCATCGGCAATCGCTCATATTTCTCTTATTCTATGATTTCCGTCAATTTTCACAACACGATTATCTGCCAAGTTTGAGTTTGAAGTGAAAGAGAGAGAATTCAATCCAAAAATCTTCTCGTTTTCCGATCAACTCTGTTTGAAGTTAAACTGTAAAATCAGGACGATTAATGTGTCTTGGCTAAAATATTGTCTCGGATTGCAAGGGGCGAATAACTGGGATTTTGCACAACTTAATAGATATAATGATTGTAAAGTCAAAATGTACAAATATACTGTTGAAATCAAGATTCTTATATTTTTTTCATGGGTCAAAAATTTCATAGAATTTTTTTGATGTTGGTCAAAATTTTCAAAGTTATCGACCCCATGAAGTTGAATATTTGTCTTTTAGCTGCTTAAAGCACAGCGTTGGTTCTGTAAAAACAGCATGTCTCCTTTCATAAAATGATTATGACGTTACTTATTACTCTACAATAAGAAGATTTTTATTACACAATTGAATGGAATGTTTTAAATTATTATA